GCCTAGTAGGGGCTATATTAAATCGGATTATTAAGGGCTATAGCGAAGCGCTTCATTAAACTACATTACTAGCGTAGGAGGTCTCTAATCTACGTATAGCGAATACGAGGATCGTTAAGAAACGCTAGCGATTAACTAGGTAGATACCCTACGAAGAGAGCCTATCTATTAAAGAAGGCCTATAGCTAGTTAAGTAGCTAAATCAGCTAGTAGAAGGTGATAGGGTAGGATCGTATGAGTAGGGCGAATTACCTAATTAGGCAATTTAACCACCTACTAGGGCCCCGCCTAGGTATAGTAGGTATAGGGAGATTAGCTATAAGATTAATATATGTAAAAATCGCTATATTTAGTTAAATTAATAGGTGTTAGTAGAGATATCTGATTTTGAAATTTTCTAATAGGGGTAGGTGGCCCGATCGGCCGGGTGGCCCGATCGGCCAGGAAATACGTTAACTTAACTAACTAGCTGTCGAGGATTGTGGACCTGGGAAAAACCACTGGAGCAAGTTTGACTTGGCGTTTGTCGTGATTTCTTTGTCTTATCAAAGGATTTGCGACGCCCGGAAAGTTCCGAAGGCTCAACCCTTTATCTACAGATATATAAGCAAGGACATTTCAACAAGTCCTCGATGAGGTTTGGTCTCTTCTTCAATCATCTCTATTATCTCAATTCAGATTGGTTCTCCTTGCTTCTCAGGACCCATCAAATGCGTACAAGGCCATACCATAGTTACATAACTTCGCACATTATTATTAATTTTAGGCTAGAAAGGAAGGATTGAAGGTGGTGAAGAAGGTAAGATTCTGAGAGGGAGAGGAGAAGAGATCTATCAAACTCCAGTCACATGACTGGCTAACTATCTGACTATCTCACGAACAATTATCTCTAATCATCATAGGCTAGAAAGTTGCCGCACTCTTCAGCAATTAGGGCGAGGCCCTAAGCTAGCTAGGTGATGTGAAATCGTCGAACTTAGTTTGTCTTCCAGCGATGAAAGTGCTCCCCGTGCATACGTACCTAGAAAACTCAATCAAGTGTTGCTATGCGTACGCCTAACCAGATCAGTATGCGTCAGTGAAGGAAAGCTAATTGACAGCTTGTGTCGGGACAATTTCGCCGTTTTCCTGTTGAGATGAGGGATAGGGTCTAGGGAAAGAGATGGTATATGCCAGCACATTGAGTAATCTTGACCAAAGTCATTTCCGAATAAAGTTGCGGATGCTGGAATCACGTGATTAGTAAAGCAGCCAGTGTATATCGTAGATCAGCTTTAGAATGAGGAATAGCAAGTCAACAGTCAACAGAATTCCATCTCGACTATAACCGCCGGACAGTATGAGTTGTCCCTCATACAGTTACGCTTTGTGGCCGTTGGTGCCTGAAGTGCTACAGACTTGAAAAAAGAAATACATCCAACACGATTCCCACTGATGTTTGAACAGCAAGCGCACTACTTTGGCCCAAGGCGACATTCGAAGTCAGCCTCGCCGTCCACTTAGCCAATCAAGCTTTGCAGCTGAACGGATCTGCGAGTGCCAAGAAAGCACTGTTCCAGCTTGATCAAGGTGAACCAATAATACTACATATGCCTAGGATAGGCCCAGGTGAGAGAGGGTCAGTGCAGTGGTCGCGCGATGCAGGGTGATTCTCACCCGCTCTCCCCCAGACTCTCACCCCGTCTATTGCGCACTCACCCTTTCTCAATATAGCAGCACTTTGTGCATTGTAAATGAAAGCTTCAAAGCATGTAAGTCAAATTCAGGAAATCTCCAGCACATACGACCATAGGGTGTGGAGAACAGGGCTTCCCGTCCGCTCAGCCGTACTTAAGCCACGCAGCATTTGCTAATCTTAGCAAATAAAGTATTTTAGCTTGGTGGGGAAACGGATGATCGCCGCTTTATGGTCGCGCGACTAGGGGTGAGTAGGGTGAGCGCGCAATAGACAGGGTGAGAAGCCGGGTGAGAGCGGGTGATTCTCACCCTCTGTCGCGCGACCACTGCTAAATTTGTTGTCAGACCTTGGACCACATGAGCGCGGCAATCCTGTGCAATCTTCAATCCTGTGCAGTCGTTTAAGCTTCTATTTTTGACAAGGAAATATGCATAGCACTTTCATATGTCTAGCGTCCTCTAACCGCCTTGCCTGATTCAAGGATCATGTTGTTGTGCTCCAGATCCAATATATGCGTTGATTGATTTTAATTGTGGCTAGCATTATACATGAAAGGTCTCTGGTTTCCTTGTGAACAGAACTTGGAGCCAGTCCAGCAGTACCACAACGGGTGCGGGCATCGGAATTACCCAAAACCGGAATGAGGGTTTCCATAACCCACTTGAACGCTACTTGAGCCACCTAGATCTTGATATTCAAAGCAAGATTTCCTTTGGCCCTATTGACCCTTTGTTCGTCTCACAATCTCAAGAATTCGAATGTACACCTGAGAGTAAGGCTCCTTAGTTCCCCTCGATTCCATAGTAGATCAGGGACTGCGAGGTAATTGTAGATGGGATGCCTGCGAGTCTGTCGAGCTTCTTGAGCGAGCTAGCCAATCCTACCGTGGGATGGAGCCACAGTGGGTCTCCATAATTCGTTCTTTGTTTGCTATATAGGGTACGGTACTTTATCGAGCAAACAAAGAAAGCGTCGGGCATAGGTAGGAAACTGAAAATTTCTGCTTTGCTTAGAAAAGGCGTCATTGTCCATTCCACTCCAGCTTTGTGAGTTACAGCCTCAACAAATATCAACAAGTGTGCTTTATGTGCCGTCGTAGTAAATGGCTGGTCAATTTACACTCTGTCTGCGTTGTCATTGCCCAACCTGGAACATGTAACCTGCTTTTGGAGTGGCAGTAGGCATTGCTAAAAAAAAATCGGGGCCGATGGTTCAAAATACCCCTCAAACTTGTACCATACATAATTCATGCAGCGTAGATATCGGATTTCCACGTACGTGACCATGTCGCAGGAAGCTCGTAGACAACTTGAGAGCCGTCTGTCAGAGCCTGAACTTCAGCACACTTGGTCCTCGTTCGCGAACAAATGCTAGCGGCTGGCTTTAACACCGGGTTCTGCATGTGTTCCCAATGATAAGCTTTAGACCGGCGGCCGTGGCAGCGGATGCAACGCAAAACTTCGGTTGTTTGTGGGACCGAGTTGGACAATGTGTTCTGGACACGGCCCTCTCTCTCGGAATCTTCGTGAGGCATCGACACATAACGCGATTTCTTGTATCTGGTAGAACCCGTTTCAGAAGATGAATCCCCATGTTTCTCTGCGGGGCGCATACCGGACGCGAAGCCACAACCTGGTTCCAGAAAGCCAATTCATAGCTATTGGACTATTCCAATGGGCAGATGACCACTTGTACTTGAAAATAACTTCAGTCTGGGATATTTGCCTTTCTCCATCAGGAGTCCGACATTTGAAGGCTAGGGGGTGGAAAAAAAAGGCCTAGGGCTTTACCTTACGTTGAGCTTAGCCCTGTGAACACTGGATGGTTCCAGCTGAGAGATGATAGGAATAGTGTAATTGAACCCAGCATAGCAATGTTATACAAACATGCCGTCTGTGATATTCTACTCCAAACTGCCAAGAATCCTGAAAAACTTGTGTGAACGAGAATAAGAGGCAAAGATGAACAAGCTAGTGTGCACAGATGTGTGAACACCTGTTTAAACATCAGGAGCCGGTATCTATACCTCTAATTTCTACAAGTGAGAATATTAAAAAATAAGAAAATGTGCTAAGGCCTTGGCCATTGTAACGAGAGCGGGAACCTCTGGTATGATATTGTTTCTTGTTAAGGATTGCGGAAATCGTGATACACTGCTTTATTGATGCTACGCTACTACACGCCATCGCAAAAAGTCAAAGTTGATTCCTGTTCTAGAAATTACTAATGATGTTATGGACATAAAACCCTGGATCCAGGAGAGAGGTCTCTGGAAAATTCCCTTCCACGTGCTCGATTCCGGCTCCCTGCTCCCCCGGCCATATCGCTAATTGCAGCACATACTGATCGAAACTTGTGTCATGGTACCCGTGTGAAATCCAGTGCAATAAAACATCGTAAACACGAAACTGAAAACTGCAACGAGTCGGAGCACCATTCACTCTGTGAAATTATGAATGGGAGATCGACTACTGTCTGACCTGAAAGCCGACTTGTGATAGACAGTCTTGTGTTGAGCCAACTCACTTCGCCGGGCAGAGTGGAGTGAAGGAAAGCGAACACATCTTCACTGCAGGTAAGCGAGGAAAATAGATCGGGTCCCCTCTATTCGATAAAGCAGCAATCCTCACAGCTAGGGAAGAGAAGACAATGTATAGCCAGGGGGAAGCTGGTTGGCCCGTAATATATTGGTGATGGCTGAAATGGTAGCCATGGCAGTAATCCGTCCTGCTCCTTGCAATCATTCCAAGCACCCACAACATGAGAGGGAATGGAAACCTCTGGAAGACCTAAAATAACATCTTCAGGCTTGATAATAGTGAGTAGACGAGAATGTCCCATCCGTCAACTAACAATAAAGCAGGAATACTTTCTCCTGGAAAAATGTCCCAATAACAAACAGCCGCGTCAAGGTAATGGCACGTTCTCAAGTATCTGTTACAGGCCAAGCAAAGAGAGGATCAATTCGGTGCCATTCAACGAAGCAACTAAATCTAGGGGAAAAAAGAGGAAGAAGTTCTATCTAATGCGTGGAAGCCTTTTTGTTATGGGCCAAAAGGAATCTTCCACCAAACGCCACCAAACGCCAGTTGGCTATTCGACCTTTCTGCTCCAGTCCATCCTCGATCGTCACAGTATCTAACAAATTGTCAGCCTTCCAATACATCTCGGAAACTAGCAATCAAATACTAACGTATACTGTGTTACGTCACACGTCGGTCTTATTCCTACTTGAATGGGTACTTTGCCTTGAATCCTCCAAAAACCAGTCCATTCCTAAGTACATGTAATCCAGAAAGTCCATTCTCTCCCGAGTGACCAGTTAATCATGCAGCCCGTTGGGGTATTGACTGGCTGGTATCATTTCCTTACCCAAGTTCAACCGCCGCAGACACTCCAGGATACCGGGGTATGTATAGTTATAGTCGGTGTATTTCCACAGATCCTGGGCCGAAGCCTTGTGGTGCGCCTGGCGGGTGTAGTTTTGGATCTTGGACGCGCGCTCGCGTCGCACCCGGTCAAAGTCTATGAGCAGGTTCGGGATGCTCTCCCGTGAAACGTCCGGCTGGTCGAAAAGACGGAAGCCCTCAGCGTCTTCGATTGCCTGGTTGCATCCCTGGCCTTGATGCGGAGTCATTGAATGGGCTGCATCGCCAATTAAGACCACGCGCCCGCGCCGGTACGTAGGTAGAGGGTCTTGGTCGCGCAGCTGCCACACCTTGATGTTCTCCGCTAAGTCGAGCACCTTCAGAACAGTGGGACAAAAGTCGCAAAAGCATCGGAGCAGGTCTTCTTTGGAGCCTTCGGTCGACCATGACTCGGTCGTCGCTGTCTGGAGCACCGCATCTGGGGTGATACAGCCCACGTTCAGCAGTTCGTACTCCCGACATGGGTACATGATCACCGATCGAGTCGAGCCATCCATGCTCAGGTAGATCTCCAAAGCGCCGGGCTTCTTCGGGTCCATAACCCGGAGGCCTGACTGCTGCTGATCTAACACATCCCGAGGAATGGTGAAGCGGAATGCGGATGAGCCTGACGGACGAGCAGTCCGGAACGCTTCCTCGGCGACGACCAACGGCCGTACAATGGACTTGATACCGTCGGCTCCTGCAGCATTATCAGTTGAGGTCAGGCGTTGTCCGCGGACAGAATAAGATAGGATAGGATAGGATCTCACCGACAACTAGGTCTGACTCCAGTGTCTGTCCACTGGCAAGCACCACGTCTCCAGACTCTACATCGACCTTGACCACTTCTTGACCCCAGAGAATCTTGGCCGGCTCCCCCGAAATCCCCAGTTCGACTGATGGGCCCACGGCCAGCCGCAGGAATTCGCTCCAGAGATCCGCGCGATGCTGGAAGATCCACTCGGCCCCGTACGTGTCTTTGAGATGCGCCATGCTCGCCGTACTTATCAGCTTACCCGTTTTATCCAGGGTGCGCGTCTCGCCGCAGTTCACTGACTGGCACCGGGTCTGGCTGAACCCGAGCTCTTCGATGATGCGCACACCATTGGGGCCGAGGTTGATGGCCGCTCCGACTTCATGTCCTCCCTGGAACTTCTCAACCAAGGTGACGGTGTGTCTTCCGCGCAGGACCCGTGCTGCCAGCAGTCCAGCTAGTCCAGCGCCCACGATGGTCACTCTCAGCGGCTGATCCATAGTTCAAAGATCTGCGAGGGTGTTGATAGAGTAAGGCGCAATTGGAACGCAAGGCTTCTTATTTCTACCCTAGGAAAAGAATATCAATGATAAGCAGTTTTAGCAATCGGGGTTAACTCATGACGCGAATCCTATAGTGTGGAGATGTATGTACGGCTCCTGTCGTAGTCACCACATCCCGAAAAGTTTGCCCACACACCCGAGCGCATCGGAGAGGGTTTGAGGGCATCGATGTCGGGAAATGGGCATGGAAGAGCATACTAAATCACGGCGTCAAACCAAAATGAAGTGCTCGCGTATGAAATGGTGGTTTTTCTCCCTTTCGTTACATTCTATCCTCCCTATTCCTGAGCTCTTCATCTCATCCATCGTTCGCAATGACTCAACAACATCTGATCCGCTCCGTGGAAGCGCTGCATGTCGGCCAATTTTTGCTGGTCCGCATCGAAACTGATCAGGGAGTCTTGGGATATGGTGAGAGCGGCGTATGGGGTCACATTGAAGCTGCAGCGACTGCCGTGCGTCATCTCGCGACCTACCTGGTCGGCAAGCCGGCCTTTGCGATCGAGCACCACTGGAATGTCATGCACCGATACAGCTACTTCCAAGGCATGGCGATCAACGGCGCTATCTCAGGAATCGACATCGCCCTCTGGGATATCAAGGGCAAGGTTCTGGGCGTCCCCATTTACGAGCTGCTGGGCGGAGCATGCCGCACCAAGGCGCGTGTCTACGGACACATCTATGAGAAGGACATTGAGGGAGTACTCAAGGAGTGCAAGCGCAAGATGGACCTCGGATACACCGCCTTCGGACACATCAATCCGTTCCTGGACGAAGGCAACGAGGTGTCGTACTTTAAAACCCATGTGAAGAAGATGGAGGACGCGGCAGACAACGTCCGGCGCATGCGCGCCATCGTCGGCGATAAAGTCGATCTCCTCATCGAGCTGCACCGTCGTCTAACGCCCGCTGAAGCCATCACCTTCAGCACCATGATCGCCGACTGCCGTCCGATGTACGTTGAGGACCCCGTGCGGCCTGAGAACGTCGACGCTATGGCCCGCGTCGCAGACCGCATCCCCGTTCCCATCGCCACCGGTGAACGCTACTCCACCATTTATGAGTTTCAAGCGGCGCTGTCGCGCAACGCGCTAGAGTACGTGCGCGTTGATGTCGCACTCTGCGGGGGTATCACCGGCGCAAAGAAAGTGGCCGCCATGGCCGAGGCCTGCAATGTGCAGGTCGTGCCGCATAACCCACTTTCGCCGATTGGACTTGCGGCCTGTTTGCAGTTGGATGCGGCCATCCCCAACTTTGCTATCCAGGAGTATTCCACCGGGTTTGAGAATGGCGTCTTTACCTCTACGACTGAGCACCTCGGCAGCAATATCGTGGACTATGTGCCTACTGTGAAGGATGGATTTGTGGACATTCCCACAGGCCCTGGTCTGGGGGTGAACTTGCTGCCGGATGCGCAGAAGATCCGGCCACCCTTCACGCAGCCTATTGCTATGAGACCTCATCTGGACGGGTTCTTGGTGGATCAGTAGATAGCTCTATCTGTATATTAAAGCCTTCAAACACATTTTAGACACAATAGAAAAACCATAGTTTTGAATGAATTGGGTTAAAAAAAGGCTTCACATTTCTTCACCTGATGCAAGACACCAACAAGTCTATCTTCACTACTAACCCTCAAGAACTATCAGCAACTCCCATTCCGACAACCGACTCACGCAGCAACTCATCCTGCACCTTAATCTGCAAAACCGGCAACAAAACATAAAGCATCCGGGCCCAACCGGGCTCCTCGCGTCCATCCTCACCCATCCTCTTCGTCACATTCTTCCAGGCATGATTAGTTCCCCGCTGAATAGCAATATCACCCCGCGAGAGCCGCCTCGTCTCCCCACTGTCAAGGATCAATTCCACCTCGCCCTCCAAAACAACCCCATAGTCAATAGACACGGTGCGATGCATGGCGCTGGTGACGTCTGGGCCGATGTCCACAACTCGACAGACGGAGCCGGTCGAGATGGTTAGTCCTGGGCTATTCTCCAGATACTGATGGTACGTGGTGAGGTCGCAGTCCGAGGAGAGGTCCACGGGAAGAGTGTTGGTTGCATAGCCGAGAGTGAATAGAGCGCCTGGGACGGAGTTCCGGGCGACCTGGTCTGGGAAGGCGTTGCTGAAGATGGCAATGCCGTCTGCGTTATGGGCTGTGATGAATCTGGTGATCGGCGGAAGTTGAGGCGCGGTAATAGCTGGAGTAGCTGGGGTTGGTTTGGGAGAACCTTTGGTGGCGGAGTCGTGGTCCATCTTGTTTTCGGGGGACTGGAGAAGTCCTCAATGGGTGGTTTGCAAGTTTGTTTGTGTGTATTAGGGTATATTCCATTGTGTAGGTGGGTGGCTAGGTGTTCATAATTTATATGCTCTCGTGTAAAGCCATATCGGCATGTGGGGGTCTATATGCCCAGATAGATATCAGTTCTAAGTATGAAGTGTACTATATCAATTCCGACCAGGACTGCAAGTTGCTTGTGCAAAATGACTGATATCAAAGTCTATTTTACTGGGATAACCGGCAAGACGACATAGTTCAAATGACCCGGGCCAAAGTGAATATAGTTCATGCCCCCAAATCTCTCCGGACATCTATAAATGCATTCATTGGTTAGCGACAGCGCAGAATTCTAAAAGTGGGCGAGGAAATTACCTTTCCGGGGACTCGTGGCTGAAGATACCCACCCCCTGAGTATCCCCTCCGCTGATTTCCAGGGACAATTTCTCGCCGGGATTGAGGATGAGGTTGGTGGGCCATATTTCCACATCCACAGGGTAGATCTCACCCGGGAGGACGGGCTGCACGTCGGTGGAGAAGAAGTCCCGATGAGGACGATACGCGCGATGATTGGGGTGTTCGGTATTGATCTTGCGGAGGCTCACGCGCTGCCAACCCTTACTAACAGGGACGGGGTTACCAATCGGGCCAGTGAAGAAGATCTCTTTGCCGTCCGCCGACCAGTGACGAATAGTCAGGAAGATATCAATATCTTTGGGTATGGGACCGCCCAGATCCGGTGTTACGGAGACATGGACGCGGGCCACGATGTGACCCGTGATTTCGACCTGTTGCGTGGCTGCGGCGGTCTCGAATCGGATATACTCGTTATCGTCCGGAACCGTCAGCGCGCGATAGGACAGTCGGGTGTGATGACTGGGGGTGGATGGCTCCTCCGAAGTCAATATCTTCTGCGGAGTCAGGTAATACTTGGTGTAGTCGGTGCGTGCTAGCGGCCACTCATTTTCGGCGCGTCGTGAATAGACTTCTCCTGTAGCAGCGGCATGCGAGTCATACTGGATCATTCCCTGCCGTAGGATGAGATCCACCTTTGGCATCTTGCCCGTCTTCCAGCCGGCATAGTCGTCGTCTTTAAGGAACGCACTCAGGAAGCTCTTCTGCACTTCCACCTCCGCCTTAGAGTAGAAGGGCAGATCATGACGACCGGCCGTAAAGCGAAGGAACTTGTACTGGGAGCCGGCATTGAGATAGCCTTCGATATTGCCGCGCAGGTGGACGACAATACTGCCCCAGTTGCCCACAGACAGCAGGGGAACATCGATATCCTCCAGACTATAGTCGCGTGAGGCGTAGTACTCGTCGTCGCGGAAGAAGTGCTGGGCGTTGTCGACGGCCTGGTCCCGTAGATTGGCCTGCAGCTCTTCCTCACTGAGGTCCCCCTCGATGGTATCCGGGCCCCAGTTCCGGGCTGCTTTGCCCGGCAGACCGTACAGATTCGACTTCACCTGACGGTCCATCCAGAATTTCAAGAACGGCGCGGTGAGGATCCCACCGTGCCGGCAACGGTCCCGGTAATAATCGGCCATGCCTTCGTAGGGAACAATTGCCGCCAGACCCCGGGGACGCCGGGCTGCCACGCGCCACTGTGTGCCCGCAAAGTAGCTGATCCCCAGCAAGCCGACCTTTCCGGTGGACCAGTGCTGATCCGCCGCCCATTGGATGACCTCGGCGAAGGCCTCGCTGGTGGACTTAGACATGGTGTCGCAGATGCCTGGCGACTGGCCGGTCCCGACCTCGTCGGCCCGGACAATCGCGTATCCCTCCTTCGTCCAGTACTCTGGGTCGGGGACCTCGAATGCCGAGTGCACCGATTGGTGTTCGGGGTTCAGGTCATGGAATGAATGCGGCAGGAAACTGACTCGAGTTAGATCATTGCCAGGGCGAGATTGAATTTTGGGGTAAGGTGAAAGGACCCTCACTCCTTGTACGGAATATCCTTCCCATACGGACCGTAGGTGATCAGTACCGGACATTTGGCCTGAGTCTTAGGACGGTAGACATTCAGGCGAACTAGTCCAGGTCCACTTTGCAGCTTCACCGTATGATTTTCCTCGTAGATGTACGGGAAGCTGTCATCATCAACCTTGAGGAGGTCCTGGATTGCGGTCGGCATTGTGCTTAGGGATTGACTCTGTAATTTCTCTTCTCGTTGGTCCGACACGAGTGGTATCCTCGTGGCAGCCTCATATATCCTTTCTGGACGGGATATACGGGAAGAGGGCAATTGTCGGGATGTGGGCAAAATTCATGTATGCTATTCACGGGATGGTAGTGAAACACAGTATAATTCTACCTAATATGCATACGATCCATAGTTTATACTAAATTACAGTATTGTTCTGACTCCAACTCAGCCCTGCGCTAAGAACATACAAACACTCCAGCGTCGGAATCGAAACCCCATGTTCTCGTCCCAACAAAACGAGCTCTCCCACAACGGCATCCACCTCCATTGGTTTGTTGGCCCTCACATCCGCTAGCATGCTTGGTTCCACCCCGGGCCATGTCCTGGCCGCGCTGCGGTCCATCTGCATGGTGACGTCGGCGAGCCCGATTTGGTCTCCATAACCCAGCGCGATGGCTACCGACATCACCTCCTCCATGACCTTGCGGACCATCTCCGTCGCGAACTGAGACGCCTGCAGGAACTGCAGGTCACGACACCGCGACAGGGCGCAAATGGGGTTCCATGAGGCATTCCCGATCAGTTTCCTCCACCGCGCGATTTGAACGTCCGGGTAGAGCTCGACGGTGGCGCCGCCTGCGTTGAACAGCGCGGCCAGCGTTGCAGCTGCTTGATGATGGGATTCTGGGACGGCGGCAGCGGGGAAAGTGCCCAGTTGTAAGCGCTCGACCTCCGTGTGGTGGACGATCCCCGGGGCGATTTGCGTCGTGGGCAAGTAGACCACACACGAAATGATCGCATTGTGTGGGAACCGGTCCCGGTACGGACGTTCGATCCCGATCCCGTTCTGAATGAGGACAATCGTCGTAGAGGGTGCGACGAGCGGAGCTATGAGAGCCGGGACGGAGTCGTCAGCCGCGGCTCTAGGGAAAGCCTTAGTGGTAACGAGGATATAATCGTAGGGCGCATCTTCAGAGTCGACGGCGCTCTGCACGGATGGATAAATCTTAGGATAGAAGGTCTGACTGCCGAAGATGGCCGACTGAACGGTAAAGCCGTTGGTCTTGATTGCCGTGTAGTTGGATCGGCAGATGCAGGACAGTTCCACGCTGGCGCGGGTGAGGATTAGAGAGTACACAGTTCCGATGCATCCGGTACCAAACACTAGGATGCGGACCATTTTCGAATCCAGCACGTCGGCCATACTTTCGCAACTAGTAATGATGGACTCGAGTGTCAGTAGAAGGGGTGAGGCTCGGTTTACATAGTATCAGTCCTGGCTGCAGCCCGAATTCGGATGCCCGCCACATTTCCGAGCTCCGTCTCCTGTCCAGATCAACAAGTGCACCAACAGCTATACCAGGTCGGACTGCCTCATACGGTGGCAAGTCAGTCTGATTTCTAGCTAAAAAAGAAGTAGAACTACTGGTTGCGGATTTGTCACGGGAATTTTCCAGGCCATGGTGATTGGCAAGATTGCTGTGGTCAGAAGTTACGATTCCCCATATCCTTGTACAAGATTGATTATTTCCTAAAATATTCTGCTGAACTTGGTCCCAAAAGCTTTGATTTGAACATATCGACCGGCGCAGTTAACGATCCCCATTCCACCTTCCTAAGCAACACGCCAGTCCTCCGGCCAAGTGCCCAGACAGAACTGAGACTCGCATTGGCTTCTCTGTAGCAATGTTAACGTGCTGTAGTTTTGAACATGCAAAGACAGAGATAAAACTTACTAGCTCCCACGTTTCAGCCCCAAGGCAGCCCGGTGTCCCTTGATCCTCGACGAAAGAAACAGCTCCAGCCACAAAACAGGCCGAAACATAGTGCTCGTCGGTGCCGTGCGCTTCACGGAAGTAAGGGTGTTTCATCAGCCGGGTCAAACCGCGTCTCAGCTCCGGCCCTCCACCGTTCTTGCAAATGATGTCCTCCAGGGACTGACGGAATTCCATCGTCTTGGGCTCTGGCGGGCGCTCCATCGCAAAATTGTCTTTATACTGCAGCATGTACTTCCATTCGGTCAAATACAGGTTATGTACGCCGCCACCGGACCCAATCAGCAGATATCGCTCTTCCCGGAGATGTCGCAGGGCGACTCCAATGCGAGCGTGGAAGAATGGATCCCAGTGGGAGTTCTGCGAAATGATCGTGACGGGGGGACACTTGTCCCCAAACATCCCAATCAGGAGCGGGACGGTGTCAATCATCCACTCGAAGCCCGGGTCCGGGTCGACATCAAATCCTTTTGCGCGCAGGGTGTCCATGACGCGTTGGCCAGTTTCGAGATCTGGATTGGGCTTGAAGTTGGCCCATAGTTCCGGCAGGGTATTTGAAATCGGCATGACGCTGGGTTTCGGATTCATGGCGACGTGAATTTTGTCATCTAGGCTATTCCAATGAGCGCCCTACGCAAGTGTTAGGCAAGCTGGTCATTTGTACGTGGACCATAGCGAGGGTTGAGGTGGTCTGCTTACCATGATGATGACCCCTTTCACGCCGTGGCTCAGTGCATCACGGCCCAATGCCTCCCAGTAGTCCCGAGTCCGTGAGTCCGTGCCCAGCATCATCGTGGTCCCATGGGACAGAAAGAGAACGGGCGCCAGGTTAGGTGCTGTCATGTCCTGTATTAGTGCATGGAGGAGAACACATTAAGGAGAGTGGATGCGCATACAACTCGAGATACTGCCATCCTTTGACATCTTGGCCGTGACGACACGCACAGCACCAGATTCTGACTAGTGCGATGCTTAAAAACAGTATCAAATCGAAACCGTCGGCGTCAAGATGAGGATTGAGCCTTCTTTTTTTAACCAGGGCTGGAGCTTTCTACTAGTTATGCTATCCTAGCCGATTAAGCGCATGCCACCAGCCTCTCGCCACATGCCGGACTGTGACGCATTGCCCCAGGTTTTGTCGGGAGGAGGGGGCGCAGTATACAGTTATGCAAAATCACGGTTCACTTGCCTTTCGCGCATGGAGCTGCATACAGGCCATGATTTGCGGGGCCATCTTTTCACATCAGGCTTGAGTTTCTACGGGATAGCTAGCTATGGGCGAGAACGTCTGAGAAGAGTGAAATGTTAGACTAAGGTATCTCAAGGGGCAGATGGCCACCAGGAGTAAATAGATGTGGGCTGCAAGGGCTGCAATATATCGAAAACGGAGTCCATGCTGGTATTCTATTCTCCATGATAGTACTTCCCAGCGCTACCATTCTCCTGCTACCTTGTACATGAACTTCGCGTCCGGTCCGTATTTGTGATATCCCAGCGATCTGGGGACAGCATATGCCCACTAAACCCAATATATCAGTCGCCATACGTTGAATACAGCCTGGTGTAATCTACTTACCTGAAGGAGCCGACATCCACTGAACATATTCCACAGAAAGACTCTCATGGGCAACGGCCCGCCAATTTCGACCCACTGTGGATGGACTTGGGGGGGCCGATGAGGAGGCACCCGACGATGGTCATTCGGCCAGTGCAGCGGATTGGTACTCGGCTCTCGTCCGGTGACTGATGCGTTGGGAGTGATGTATTCGCTTTGATGGACGGTCACCACGGGGCGGCTCGGCGACATGCTCGGGGTCTGGGTGGTGAGGGAGAGGACCGGCTCGGTTTCCGACAGACTAGTGGTTGTGGCCATATTGCCGGTAGCGCCTCATCTGTTTCACTATACTCAAGCGTTATGGAAAAGGTCTGTCGGTCAAGGCATTTGTATCTACACGCATCCGACTCTCGGGAAGTGGGCACGATAAATAATAAAAAAGAAACAAAAAACACAAAGATCTACACGGCGGTGCACCGTCTGATCCGCATTCTGTAGGCTCACTAGATATAATATAATCCTCCAGGCTCGGTCGCTGGATTGGTCATCCCTCTCCTACTCACCAGTCATACCAGCCAACCGCGTGCGACACAACTGGCGCGTACCATGGCGCCCAGCAGCCTTGATCTGGTCATCACGACCGCCCTGGAAGGACGAATGAAGGACTTGCGGACCCGCCAGCGGATTCTCCGGGATCTTCACACCAAATTGACTGAGAACGTGGAGGAGTTGGTGATCGCAACGGCGAGGGATGATCGCATCTCCCGCGAAGAAGCCCAGGTAGTGGTGTCCGCGGGACTCCTTGAGCTTCGTGCCCACTATGATCGACTTGACCTCAAGGACGAGTTGGATGAAGAGTATAGCATCGCCCGGAAGGAATCTCGTCTCAAAAAAAGAGTCCCGTCTGGCATGGTGTACGTGATTCCCGAGGCCTATACCACCTTCTTCAGCATCATTACCGCGCTCTCCGCGGCCATCGCTGCCGGGAATTGCGTCGTGATAGAGGTACGTCGACCTTGATGATATTGCTATCTTGGTATCCAAGATCATGAGTGGGAGTGCCGACTAACCAAACCTTCTGAACAGATGCAGGATAGTCTCGCTCGCAGTCCCCGAGTGCTCCGCCGATGTCTTCAAGAGCTACAGCAGTACACTGACTCTGTCACGACTGTCTCCCAACGACCGGGACCCGAATTCTTGCGCCACTGTCTCCTTGTCGAACAGGCGGTGGAGGAGAAAGTCTCCGCGTCATCCGAATGTCTACGCGTGTTACCCTCCATTCGTCGGAGGACCGTGGCCATTGTGGATCGGACGGCGGATGCCAGTGTAGCGGCCAGGGAGATCGTGGCATCCCAGCTCCTGTTCCAGAGCCAAGGCAGGTACTCGGTTGACCAGGTGTTTGTGAATGAGTACGTCCTAGATGACTTTTATAGTGCCCTCACGCGAGAGGCTGCGGAGATTGCGACGCGCCTCGCCACCAGGGTTTCAAATTTGAAAGACCGTGATTCCAAAGGGGCTGTCATAGGTCTGCAGAAGCCTGAGTTTCCCGTTCTTCAAATATCTGACAGGTAAAGTCGGCCTTTACTACCAAACGACCACATGTGCTTATTGTTCCAGATCCGATTCCCGCCTACACCAAAGACAGCACCAGCGGGGCTTCATCATCCACAAGGTGACTAGTCTAGACGACGCTATCGACACGGTCTGTGAGGGCCGTGCAGCCGGAGCTCTCTATCTCTTTGCAGGGTACGACGAAGCAAAGTATCTGTCTCAGTACATTCCCTCGCAAGCCACCTTTGTCAACCACATTCCCCCGGAACTGCAAAGTAAGTCCTCACTGCTGTGACCCATGCTGGACATCCGACTCACAGAACTTCAGTTGGTCCTGCCTACCCGGAAGGTTTCGAGACGTCGGTTTCCCTGCGGTATACACGAGAGATGTTTGAGACTCCGCGGCCGGAACGGGTGGATACTGGCAAGGTTCGACACTCAATCACACTTTGTGATCATATCACCGCGGGCAAGACGTCGGCAATCGTGTCTCGGGCTTGTCAGCCACTCAAAGCGACGGGCCAAGGAAGAGCGGGGGCGATGGATTTCTTTTTGCAGGGCATGATCTTCAATTTGGTCACTTGTGTGCTGCCCTTAACCGCGTTGTCGCTGTACGCGACTAGCAAAGGCATCGGGATGCTATATCAGCGGTTTTTGAAACTCTAGGCGAAATGTCTATAGACTGTGCTGCCGCCTACAGAGTAGATCGACAAGCCTCTAGTCGAAGTATTTATAGACCGAGCCAATGATTCCCTCATCGTCCATAAGTCATTCCCAAGTTTACCGTCCTTCGTGGCCGTGCCTTTCTGCCCATTCACCGTTTTCGCTTATGGCACGCATAGTTGCTCTTGGTACCTGTAGGAGACATGATCGGAGACATGATCGGCTGTCGGGAAGTGGAGGACAGACAAAGCCTCATTGGTGGGCATGAACTCCACCCCCACAACTGGGCACGACAAAACCTGGGGTGCACCGATAAGGGTACCACGACGTAGACGTCGTAGACGTCGCACCGTTTGGATTTTGTCCCTGCATCCTCGCCATCTGCATGCTGGAGACTTAGAATTCCCTGTCATTATTATGGGGCCCTCATCAGCGAGAAGCTATAAAACAGCGAGACTGGAATCCTACAGCTGTGATGTCTGCGCGTCACAATTCAGTCGTGCAGACCACCTCGCTCGCCACTACCGGTCGCACACGCGACAACGACCCTTCATCTGCTCCGTTTGTCGCAAGGGGTTTGCGCGCCGCGATCTCATGACCAGACATCAGGCCAAACACGCTCACGATAAACAGACTTCGTCCACCGCGTCGGCAATCAACGGATTTACCTATCGAGTGGCCCAGGCATGCAAGCGCTGTGCGGCTTCTAAGTTGAAATGCACGGATGAAAAGCCGTGTCCACGATGTCTCAAGAAGAACATCCCCTGTGAAATCCCAGACAACGTCCCGGTCCAAGGGCCAGCCGTCTCAGAAGACACTCAGAGCCATAGCTGCCCAACGGATTCCAAAGAGCTGGGCGGGTTTGCCCCAGACCATGCTCAGACCGCCTGCTCGGATGAGGCTCTGCCGATCGATGACATACCAATGTTAGTGCATGAAGGGGGAAATCCAGCGTCGTTATCGGAATCATTGCTTCTCGGTGTACCAGACGCCGATGCCCTGTGGACGATGGCAAGTTTCTTCGATATGAGTGATCAAAATACGGATCCCAAGTCGGTGGGGGACCTCACAGACCTGCAAGACATGGATTTCTCCTTTCTCGATGAACTGACTGCCGCGAATGAGACTATAATATGGGATCCCGAGTCACCGGCTCACAAATGCGCTTCCATCATTTCAGCCAGCTCGCAGGTATACAGTACCTCATCCGTGGCGCGGACGTGGGTGCCTCTGCCCACAGAAAACGCAAGTATGGAGCGAGGCAACCTAACATTCGCCGGTGATACCCATGAACTCCCGGCTAAGGGGATTGCGGAACATGTCTCCCTACAACTGATTGCGCCAGCGGCTCGAGACCGCATTTTGAACATGGTCTTCGCTGCCTATCCAGAAAAGACTGGGCCCATTATTGAAGATTTTCCGTCGGCTGAGATTCTGTCCAAACTAGTTTACAGATACATCAGCCAGCGGAAGGTGGAGTATACCGACTTTATGCACCTACCCACCTTTGAATGGAAGAGTCGACGTCCCGAGCTTCTCGCGGCGATAATTGCACTGGGGTCTATAGATGGCCCCTCGGCTACAGTGAGAAAGTTCGGATACGCTCTGCAAGCGACCGTGCGCCGTGCCACCATCCAACGGGTAGGAATACAATGACAGCTCCCTTCTTATTATGATTTGCCTGATTCTTGTCGATAGTACGAGGAAAACCACGCGAAGATGCGAGATATGGACCTCGCGCAGGCATACCTGATCCAACAGTACATTGCGTTCTTCAGTGGCATCTCGCGAAAGATTGGGTTGGCCGAGAGCTGCTCCATGATCACCTCAACTATCATCTCTCAAGCGCGTATGCTTCTGCAGGGCTCGGTAAAGTCGGTCGAAGCTGCCCTGGCTGCGGACTCGATTGAGCAACTCGACCCGATCTGGCGCCGATGGTCCCAGCAAGAATGTATCCGTCGCGTCATCTACTATTCCTACACGCTAGACTCCCAGGTCTCCATCACCCGGAAACTCAACCCCATCCTTCCCTACACTGACATGGACACCCCTCTCCCGTGTTCCGATTCGCTCTGGCGCGCCGACACGCCAGCCGCCTGGAAACAGGAACTCATTGCGCGAATCACACCACAGCCAACTTCATTGTTGGACTTACTACGATCACCGCGACTGCTGCGGACACGTGGAGACTGTCTGGATTCTCCGTTCGTGCATATGGTCTACGTGAGCGGGCTCTGGTCAATCGTACAGGAGTACCGCCGACTGAGCAGCATAGCCAGCGTCTCGAGCTCCTGGAACAGGCTAGTAATGATGTCCCGCCAAGGCGAACTCGCCACAATTCTGGAACGATTCGGAAAAGACAGCATCGAAGTTCGACGTGAGGCGCCGGGGGTGGATCTGCTTTATAACCTGGTCTCCATGCACCTCTACGTCTCCTTCAAGGAACTCCAGCCTGTGGTCAGCAATGGAAAGGACCAGTCTTGCAACCAGGTAGACCAAACCGCCAGAGCGCACGCCCTGGAATGGAGACAGGACGCAGGCTCACGGTTTGCAGTCTGGTTCGCTGGCCAGGTCGTGCGAGCCGCACGTGCGTTCCACCGGGAGACGCTCTGTGATGTGTACACGATTGGACTGCTGCAGGCCACCGTCGTACTCTGGGTATACGGAAATCTGAGTGACAGTCCCGTGGGCCCGGGCCCACCGGTCATGTCCCCGATCATGGAGTTGAATGAGACCGATCCGCTGGGGCTGGACAACTACCTCTGCGACGGGCAGGGTCAGCCAGGGTTGAACGTTCCCTCGCAAGGGTTTGTGCCACTTTCGGATTCATGGTCCGTGGTGGAGGCCGTTAAGGGCATCCTTCAGCAGAACTGGCGACAGAGTCCCTTTCCCTCTGGCACCGATGAAGTGTATCAGGTACTGAGCGACTTGCAGACCACCTCTTCAATTCAGGGTCAGTGACAGTGACATCCTTCCATTGAACTGTTGATTCCGGAGGTGGTACGATCTTCTAGCGAATCTCCTCAAAGATGTTCCCGCGTAGCTCGTATATAATATAGATGAATGTGGTTTTCGCCCTGGCGAGGATAAAGTTGATTAGTTCTAAGGAAAATTCTTGCTCTGATGTCGGGTTGTCCGCGGATTTTGGTAGGCTGATGTAGGTAGATCAAAAGCTATGTAAATTACCCCTGTTCACTGCAGGCAAAAGTGTCATCCATCAGCTGGGGGCGAAATGCATGGCTTTACCCCCAACATGTCCAGGCTCGGACTTCACGTCAAGTACCATAGTATATGTATCCCAGAGTATTTCATTATTGTTTTCCCTCCGACGATGAAACTTCGCACAGAGGGAAGAAAGGTGTCGTTGGGATGGGGATGAACACGTACGGTATATGAAGTTTCGTATGCACCAGCTCTCAGTTTTTCTGACCTGTCTCTACCGCTTGCTGCATGCCATACCTTGATTGAGGTCACAACCTTGTAGAGAAGATACACAACAGCTTTTCTTCCGTAGGTGCTGTGAGAGAGGAGGCTAAAGAACATATTCCGTGGTGGAGTAAATCCAGCTGCCATGGGAGATGTGAGAGGCCTAGAGAAGTTCAAGGCGTGGGTATTTGTTTATGATAGGAGAGGTCTGAGGATGAGGAGTCACGTGGTCATGATTAGCTTTTACCAGTCATTGAGTGGGTGCTGGTGTATCCCACGCTTTTCTGCGTATATGCTAGCGTTGTAACCATGCTTGAAACATAAGTACTACGGGCTTGCACTCTAACACAAGTAGGTCGAAGATGTCAACCCAGGTGTTGCCGTATGGTGTGGATCTGTCAATTTCGTTACGCTGACTCCGGACAGGTTGTTCACGGATGTCTAGGTCATGTTGGTGCCCTGGGCACCAAGCAAACCACTTTTGGCCCAGGACGACTCGGAAGTCAGCCTTGCCATTCATTTGGCCAATCCTAGGTTAGAATTCAGTGGGATCTGCAAGTGCCAAGAAACCACAGTTTCAGCCTGGTCACGGTGAACCAATAATGCTGCATCCGAGGGAGTGTCCGTGCGGGGTCGCGCGACGCAAGGTGATTCTCACCCGCTCTCACCCGGATTCTCACCCTGTCTATTGCGCACTCACCCTCTCTCACCCTGGTCGCGCGACGCTAAAGCGGCGCTCACCCTAGACTCACCCGGGCGGCAGCCACCCGACTATCTGCCGCACATAAGCCACGCACCACTTGTCAATCCTAGCAAATAAGGTAGTTTAGCTTGGTGGGGAAACGGATGGTCGCCGCTTTATGGTCGCGCGACTAGGGGTGAGTAGGGTGAGTGCGCAATCAACTGGGTGAGATACGGGGTAAGAGCAGGTGAGACTCACCTTCTGTCACGCGACTGATGTTAATTTTGCTGTTACTGTAGATTCTGGACTCTAGAGAAATAGTCTAACTAATGTTGTAGCACAGTACCACCACTCGTAACTTATTAGCATTGGATATATACTGTATCCTTCAGACTTGAGCGCTTCTCAATTTTCCTGGCTGCCAAGAACGAGCTACAGCGAAGATCTATAGACTTAGAACAAGTAGGCTCCCGATGTAACAGAATAAGACGGATTATTAAACGTCAGTCTTAATAGAATATAAGTACAGCACTTCAGTATGTCTAGCGTTCTCTGATCGCCTTGCCTGATTTAAGGCTCTTTATGTGTTCCATTCGAATACACACGTTGATTGATTTGATAGTGACAAAGAATTTATGCTTAAAGGTCGTCTAACTTCCTATGAACGGAACTTGGAGCCCGTCTAGCAATGCCGTAACGGGTTCGGGCACCGGAATTACCCCAATTCCGGGGATGAGAGTTAAACCCTATTGACGCTTTGTTTACCTTACTATACCATCTTAAGAAATTTACGGTGCGCCTAAGAGAATGGCTCCTTGTTTGCCCTCGTTTCCATAGTAGGAAGTGCAGGGGATTGAAGATAGGATGCCAGCGAATCGGTTGAGCTCCCTGACTGAGCGAGCCAATCTAACCGTGGGATGGAGTCACAGTGGATCTCCATAGTTAGTTCTTTGTTTGCTACATAGGGTACGGTACTTTATCAAGCAAACAAAGAAAACCTCCAGCATAAGGAGGAAAGCTTTGATTTACCCCTGAGTTTGAGACACTCCTTAATCTCTCTAAAAATTTTCTCAGACCTCGCCCAGTCGCAATCTTCACAGAGCTTGATTTACAATAGGGAAGATCAAGACCTTACGTACGCTCCTCCCGGCGGAAGACAAGCACATAACGCAGTCCTTAGAAGCAGGCCCGGGTAAAGAGATGCGACGCAACATTTCTCTTACTTACATAGGGTGTCAGAGAAAGAAAACTAAGGTCTAATTCCCGAAAATAACTGCTAGGTTTGACGACAGGGCTAATATTATAACCTGGAAGTAGTGCTCTAGAACGATGCCGTGCACAAGATGTGCAACTAGCGCACAGCAGTGTCTATACGATTTGAACAGTGACCGTAGACGGAAGGAGTACACGGCCGGGCTGTTGAAAATTCAAACTACTCTTTATCGAGTGGCTGCCACGCTACGCTCCGCCACTCACGATGAGATATTATTGTTGCTCTAGCAGGTTCAAAGCTTATCAACAGATCAAGAGGCATTTAATTACCTTGTTCAGTTACTGGGGGAATAAACATGGGAGGACTAGTACAAATGCAAGGAAGTTAGTGGTATTGTTTATTGAGTTGCGAATTGTGCCTCACTGAACAGAGATCGGTCAAGTGGTGGAATGAGTATACATAAGATTGAGCTGTGGTGTTACTCTATATTTATCTTCTATATCTCTAATAGTCTGGAATTGTTTGTGAACACGCTTGCTTGTCCCACTTTACATCTACCAAGGTAAATTCCTACATAAATTGCCAGCTTGGTCCAGTATAGCAAATCAGATTTATTAATATCTTATTGATGCACCGATCAGACACACTAAGTAGTATATTCAGCTTACTGCCAAGCCTTAGTAATCACGACAATAGCCAGCAAACTGAACAGTTGAAAGACGACTCTACGAGAGCTCCTGGTCCTAGGTCTTATTTTCTCTTTTTCTTTTCCCTTTTTTCCGTATTTAGTTATAAGCTAGACCTTCTCAATAGACGATATATCCTAACTCTAGTTCAAGTTCTCGAACTTAAGCACGGAAGTCGATTTTCGGCGTCACCTACTTTCGGTTGTCTAGATAGCTGAAGCCTATCACGCAGCATTAGCTACGCCCCATCTTAGCGCCGCCCAGAGCTTAACGCGCCAAAGACCAAGATTTTCCTCGCGAAAAAAATCATGGTCGTATACTAGCCTTTCTTTGCCTTTCCCTTACAGTGCAGGTGCATTCAAATTCATATCGTCCCATAGAGCAAGGCTACCACTCGCAATATCTGCAATAATTCTATTCCGATCTGAAACTATTTTCCCTCCTACTTTACCTAATCCTTATGAGGTGCCCGAGAAGACTATGTTCCGTATCACAATTAAGAACCAGTCCAGCCGACCCGTGGCTTACGTGGTCCTGGACTACGGTGCAGAATTCGGTATTGAATATATCTTTCCGCCGGGCGAGCCTTATTACATCCCCGGTTAGGGAGAGGGCTAGGACGCATTTATTTAGATAGAGATCGCTGAAGAAATGCGAGGATCAGCCCAGCGCGGCATTCCTATTATTAATACATCAAAGAGTTTTGTGTTCGACACTCCAGTGAATATTGACTCGCTTAGGCTCCCAGGGCTATTAGAGATAGAAGACGGCAGACGGGGAGGTGACAGTGAGGTGTGGCAGGGCTTAGAGGACCTCTTAAGCTCCCTCGATATGAGCCGGATCGCAAAATCTCCTGATGTCCCGAAAGCTAACTAGGAGACATTCAACGTGAAGATTCGAATCAAGCCATCACCAACTTCGTCACTTTATTGATATCCTGCGAATATTCTGCCTCGTCAACGTCATATGATACCGGAATGATAAATTTCCCTTACCTCCCTTTCACCGCCTTCGCCGCTTTTACCACCGCCCTCACCACCCTCACCGCTATACAAAAGATCCACCAAGACTTCTCTTTATTAACACGTCTCGCACGACTAGGCTCTTCTGGCTAACCAGAGGGCAGAGAGTTAGGAGAATAGAAGAGACGTAGAAATCGGTTGAGTTGAGTGGTGTTGAAGGTCTCTAAAAAGGTGCAACTTTTGTATGCAAATCAGAAATTAGACTGTAGAGACCGAAGTGGCAGGGTGATGGATGGTAAGTGTGGCAGAATCTAGGCGGAGAGGAATGTGCGGCAGAGAATTTGGCAGAAAAAAAGTTGGCAGCCCTGATGCCTGGGTGCCTTAGGATTCAGGCATTTAAAGGCATTTCAAGGCATTTCAAGGCAGGGGGTCCGTGTGACGGGAAGTGGGGGTCTGTTAATCACCTATTTTTACTGTTAGTCTAATGCCAAGCAAGAGCTAGTAGCAGTAGTGACTCACCCGCCACCGGGCCAAGACGACAATAAGCGAACTCTTACTGGCATCTGTCACGAATATTTAAGCGATGCACCAACTCCGACCTAATTACCTGGCTATCTAACGCATTTCATATCCCCTAGAGTGTTCTACAGGAAAGCATGACCTCGGGCCTTTTCCACCACGACTCGTGGACTACACCATGGCAATCAGCAGAATTTCCCCCCGAGGAATCACCGCGTAAGAGAAACAAACGATTCGCCGCAAAACCGCGATGGATATTGGGTTGGCCTCATCATTTGCCTCGATTTTTTCAATTTAACGCTTCGATGGAAGGTTGGCCGTGGGGATTTATTATCTATCGCACAAGCTTCAGAGCTACATCTGACCAGGACTGGGCAGCCGTGATCGAAAAGATTGATCGGTACTGCCACAGGGAAATATTTCACACTCAAGAAGGACTCGGGGGTCAGTTTACACCCCAGCCAAACATCCGTGAGCTTGTTTGGGAGGGCTATCGAAATGTGATTGTCGAGGATCCAAATCTAGAATATGCCCCAATAGATACCATTCGTAAACGCCATATTGAATGGGTTAAGGGGCAGGGCTACCACCGTCATATTGGGAGGCCTCGATTTGACTACTGTATTGTTCTGGATGACCGCTCTATCCGGTCAATCTTAGCAAGTTCAGAGCCAGATAATAAATCTGACTCTGCTTTAGTCGGATACGTTAATGTGATCGACTGTGACTTTGACCTAAATAATCCCGAAAATGACTCCGGGGAGTTCTATTATGGATCAGTGAGAGTTTGCCTAAGAGACATTGTCTGCTTTACTCTTATGTGTGAAGATCTCCAAATGGGAGAACAACAATGGGGCGACTGGGGAATAGAAAGGCCCGGGAAAGTCATTTATACAGATGGATATGCATCACTTCTTGAGGAACAAGATGTGTTTCTCTGTCCATCTGACTACGATATCAATTTCCGCTGCCGAGAACCCGAAATTCCAGGACACCCGACCGTTACGGAGTCTGAGTATCGTGAGCGGCAGAGTATTATAATGGAAAGCTAAGCCACGTTCTAGTGATTCAGGATTCATTTGTATAATTCATGACTCCATTGGAACAAACTCAATAAATTTGTATTCTTTGCTGTGGAAAATCTCTAAATCAACTATTTAACTGAGTTTCTCAAGCTCGAGATCATCTATGTAAATCTCCCCAATATGGCTTTCCAGCTCTGTAAGAGCATCGCGGACCGTACGTGCTCGGTCGTTCCACTCAACACTAGCGTCTGAATCTTAGGTCCATCTGGTACGCATTCCCTCAATCGCTTGATTGACAAAATTATGGCCTGTTACTACCATTTGATTCTTCCTGGATTTAAAAAAGCGGTCCTAACAGTCTACAAGGTCGATGTCCACTCCTTTCTGATCTTTGTATACCTTTAAAGTGCGGTGCAGCTCAGCACGAATGCCATCATTAACCATTTTGAAGCGTTTCAGGACTTTGGGCATATTCTGATAATTATAAACCGAAATTGTCTAGCGATTGATAGTTAGTGAGGTAGGCCTTATTTTGAGTTAGCTGATGTTATGCTGCCATATACCTCTCGGATTATACTTAGTGCCCCACGCGGGTTATCATCCTGAACCCGCCCTGGCCAGGAGCCTCGTGGTCCTAGAGCTGGATTCAAACTCCAAAGCTAATATAGTTTGATTAATATTGTATGATGATAGGTTTCGGTTTATATAGGTAGAAGTCAGACTTACATCACCTTTGATTCTATTGATACTTTCTTTGAGCAGCCGGAATACTTCCTTATTTGATTTGCTTCCAAATTGTTCCATGACACGATCAACTGGCTTTTTCAGATTTTGACTGCTTCCTAGTGTGCGAGGCGCGTTTTCGATAACATCCTAGGTGAAGAAATTAAGAAAGAAATTGCAGTCAATACCACAGTTTCCGCCTTTAACAGCCCATTGCATAAACAGACCCATCAATTTAAGCTCAATAAGATGCTCCGCTGTGACATATACTTGGTTAATATTGAAATTTCGTAGCAGTCTCTCATTTGATACTTACTATTGATTTTTGGTTTGCCAGGCGCGCGTTCCTCCGTAGAAGCTTCACGTTCCTCGACTTCGGTGTTTGTACAACTATCCGAATTCGCCAGAACAACAGCCTCTCTAACTTAAACAGCTATCGCGGGCCACTCACTTGCTCCAGGATATGCGAACCGAGTATACTGGATTTTTTTCTTAGTGCCATCTTTATCTTCGCACTCAAATTCTTCCTTCTTCGCTTTGGCTCGTTTCCTCAGAAGTCTAAGCACGTCTCTCTGGCAAGTAGAAAATCTGTCAGCATATTAAAGAAATTAAGGGAGTTATCCATTGTTCACCTTTTCTGTCCACTCAGCCTGACGGCGTTTGAGGTCCAAATCGCTCTCTTCCCGATCACACATACCATCTCCGTATTCACACAAATCTAATGTGCAGAAGATGGTGCCTTTGGAATTGGCAATCATCTTGTCATAAGCTTCAGGCACTTGCAAAATGTGCATTGCAGTAACCTCATAGCCCTGCTAATAGAATTCTGGATATGTATCATTGGATGTTATCCATGGAAGCATGAACCTAGTACTGAGATGTTCAAATGGGTCAGTGACCATGTTCCAGATATTGACGAGTCGATTATAGTGGCTTGTTCTACCACTCAGATTCAAGTAGCCAGCAAAAATTGCAGCTAGCTTGACTACTAGAGAATGCTTCGCGACAATCTCACAAAGATCCTCACGTACTTCGAGACCGCCACTTCTTTTAACCAGATGCAGTTCACATTTAGCGTTCATAAGCCAATCGCCAAGCTCATCTTTGAACTTTTGTAAATCATCTGACAGATGCTCTGTCTCCGTGTAGTCGGTGCCATCGCAGCAGTATAAGCTCGCACCGCTATAGGAGCATTTACCATCGCTGTTCGATGCTACCCGAATTTGACCCTCGGGACAGCCGTTCCAGCAACGGTTGTCGGTAACGGGGTGAATCAGGTCACTGCCATCGTGCCAGTCACAGTTTTCAAATTTCTTGTTCTTTTTCGAAGTATCGCAACAGAGGTCGCGACCCTCTTTGTAGCACATAGAAACGCCGGTACCCCACATCGAATTAACCAGTACGGTATCCATTGTACCGGAGCACGACCCGGATGGACAAGTGGGCCAATCAGACCATTCGCAAGTGCTATATAGAGCCATGCTCTTCAAGTCATTTCCATCGTCGTCTGTGGAGGCGCAGCAAGCCGACTGATACTGCTGAGGCGCAGAAAATTCACATCCCTCTGTTATTGAGCCAATCTCAAGCATTCCGTCAGGGCATCCAGCTATACATTTTCCCTTGCCATAATCATACCAGCCACACTTTGGAAGCGGAGATGTTAGTGGGCAACAAAATAAAGCGTAGCCGAGACCACCGCAATAAGTGGAGTCTATCATTGGCTCACCATCGTATTTCTTCCATTTATCTGCTCGCTCGATCATTGACCACCCAGCCGGACAAGGCTGTGAACAATCTGTCCAGCGACATTAGCTATGATCGGTTCTCTCGATGACGGTATCGTTGTCGCCGATTTAGTCGAACTGCATAGATACTTATCTGTTGGATACCTTTGCCAAATCCCGGGAGAAGTCACCCGTAGAAGTGTCGTGGCTAATAGCCCAGACCATTATGCCACTGAGACATTGCTCACGAGCAAAATCTACCTTCAGGCCTAGAGTTTCTTTATCGTCTATAGAAACCCACTGGTCATCCCAAGTGACCACCTTGACGGTTACCTCCTTATACAATTTAGGTTTGAGTTTTTTCTCGTTAATGATATCCATAATTTCGTTGTTGAGTAGGATGCCGGTTTTATGGCTGCATTTTCCAGCGAGGCCTCCCGATGCATATTCGCATCCAGGTTCGACGCAACCACCAACTGTGGTGTACGTACGGCCGTAAAAAGCAAGACCCATCACCACCTAGTTAGGTTTCACGTCATTACGCCAAAGAAGGTCTATTCCTTATTTAATCTCGGTAAGGTTGGTATACGCATTGAGGTATGCACCTATCCATATATTTCCTTCATCCCAAGTACCGTGCATGTCATAGGACATAATGTTAAAGAAAGAGACATGTTTAGTAAGGTTCTTCAAGTCGAAGTGTTAAAGATACCAATAGGAGGCGGGGAGTGTGATTGAAAGGGTGTTTCGCCCTCCTGTTCCATCTAGGGCGTTCTTCAGGTTTTTCATAAACGTCGGGAAATTTTTGTAGTCTTCAGGCTTTCCGCTGCGGTCGGTGGCTTCGGGATACTCCCAGTCTAGATCAACACCGTCAAAATCGTAGTTTAACAAGAAATTGGTCAAAGATTTAAAGAACTTCTTCTGCTTTGTTTCAGACGCAGCAAGGTCGGAGAAGACCGTAGCCGTAGACCCAGGATCATTAAAGGTCCAGCCACCTAATGCGATTAGGATTTCCACATTAGGATCATATTTCTTTAAGGAGTTCAATCGCTTATAAAGATCTTTATCCCGACTGTCGGCTGGTAGGACTTCGTAGGTCTCAGGATCGACCGTGGCAAATGCGAAATTGATATGGCTATACACGCCAAGTGGAATCTGCTCAGGCCAAAACCTATAGCAGGGACGCCGAGTGGACCATCCTTCATAGTAGCCTACTATTCTCGACAGATATCGATCTTTTGAGCAGGTTTTATGTTTCACAGTTGTGTTTCCGCACTATATAGGATCGAGATTAGCTTACATAGTAGCGGGTGATATTTAGTAGTAGGCCAGGATATCAATATAGCTTACAAATTCCTTAGTCGTTCCACAGAATCCCTAAATTTTCAAAGCGATCAGTATCAATTCTCTTATGACTTCCAATGAGTTGGGAATCTTCCATAGCTTACAAATTCGGAGCAGCACACGTTCAAAGGACAAGTCGAGCTTTCTGCCCACTTTAATCCGAAGCCGGGGTCACATTCCGATTTGCGATCACAATCGTTCACACAAACATCCTTGCCGCAAAAGTCTGGCCCATGGCCACAGAATCCGAAAGAGTTACTTAAAAATATGAGAGTTAAGATGAAGTTCTAAACTTATGGTACATCAACACAATAGTGGGTGATCTTACCAGCATCCTTTTTCACAGGGGTTATCTGCGTCGCATCCGAGTTTATAGTCACAATTCGCGAGACATCCTTCGCCGCAATGCTCAGGTGTTGTTCCGCAGTATCCATCTTTTGAGCTGAATGAAGTGTCAATACGTATCACATACGTAAATCGTTGCTAGGTCATAAACTCAGAACCTACCAGCAACCAGTAGCACAAGGCTTATCTGCACTACAGTCCTCGGCCAGAACAGTGACCAGGAAGACACATAATAAAGCAAGAAGCCAAACCAAGTTATGGCCTCGCATTTTGAATTAGTGGGATAATCCCTTCTCATCGATATTAAAATTCCGGCAAATCAGGAACCTTTATACAACTAAATAGTTATAGCCCTTCAGGGTCCTACTTCCTCAATCTCATTTTTATTTGGCGTTTTTCCTCTGAAACAGGAGACTTCTACGTTAATTTACCAAGAAGATAAGTACATCGCTTGCTCAGTAGTAATTTTCCCACTAAACTAGCAGGGTAGTAGTCATTTCTATAACTCTGTAGAGTGATTTTAAACAAATTTTTGTCATATCCAATCAAACAATCAGGATCCCTGAGTGGATACTGCGCCTGCTTAAGTAGGGTCTTAGCCTCTACTAACGGAATCCCTCGGCATTATACTAGATGCCGACCTAATTAAGAGTTAGTGTCCGATTTAATCAAGCGCAAGGATAAATCCCGCTTTTGGCGAAGCTAGACCCTTTTTTTTCAGCCGAGCCAAGAGCCGCCGCCAAGAATAGGCGATCACCGGAACTGATTCCTATCATCCACATCACCTACTAGATTTACTAATAATATCGGAATCGGATGTTATCCGTCGTTTATGTGTTAATATTTTGCCTAGTATAGCCCATAAATAGAAAGGCGTGATTCTCATCCAGCTCGCATACTAGCATTTATGCATTAAAATACCACACAAAGCTATATGCACGATCCAAGGAGCTTGAATAGTTCATTTCACGGACAGAAAATCAAAGACATCTCATTTCCACTCATTTCACTAGTAGTTCAAGCGATATAACCTTCCAATCGTACAGGAATTCGGCTAGTGGTATCACAGTATCTGCGGGAGAGCAGAGTGGTCACTTTACATCCCTGAAAAACTTTGGCTCTTTATCTTCTCAGGGTCTCCACCCTTTGCATTCGTAGATGTGAAGAATATTTTCGGGATTGGTGGTAAACAATATTTGACATACTGCAGTCAACATGCAGGGCATAATATCAGCTGTGTACTACTTCGTGCTCATATGTCAAGCCACTATTGTATAGGCCGGACATCATAAACATGATCATTTACATCAACACTATAGCCGGGATAAAGTTGCTTCAATCGAGGTTACTGCACCAAAGTCTACATCTGTCTCTCATAAGAACCACTTCGGACATACAGAGGCTACCCAGAAAGTCTCCGAGGCTTTGAAAGCGCTATCGGTCATCAATAAGCTACGCATTGAAAATATCAATTTCAACAACTACACTCTGGATAATAAGATCAAGAGCCCCGACAAAAAAGATTCTGCTCCTCCCCTAGATTATTCGAAGGATACTGTGGCTAAGCTTTCTGCTTCTATTGCAAATGCTTCCTCCTCTAGATCCCCAAAGAAGAAGCGTGACACCGCATTCAAGAAAAGCTTTGCCTACACAATTCCAAAGGACCTTACAGAAGCTGCTCGTGAGCTAGCGGAGTCATCACCTCCATCCCCTAGTAGGGGAGAGGAGACAAAGTTGGCCGCAAAGGTCAGAGCGAAGTATAGATCAAAGTCCAACGATACCAATAGGCCTCCACAGCGTCTCCAAAGTTCGAATGGATTGTTCGAGTATAATGAAGATGATGGCGTGGAATATCTGGCTGCAGATGAGACCAATCAGGTTAAATTGGACAAACGTGCCACCTCCGGATCTAGCTACTGGCTAGCAAATCTTGAACAGAGAGGAACTAGCCCATACGCTTCAGACGATTACAAGGTAATAAAGTCTAATACATCAACTCCAGAGCTTGCTTAACATCATGGTTTGTTTATAGGTCTGGAGAAATGTGAGGGATTACGGCGCAAAGGGAGACGGTGTGACTAATGACACTGGTAAGTTGACTTCCTGCCTTCCGATGGAAGAAACGTATTCTCTGATCAATTTCAAAGCTACAATCAACAAGGCAATCTCAGACGGTGGTCGATGTGGAGCGTATTATAGCTCTAGTACGATCTATCCCGCAGTTGTCTTCTTTCCTCCCGGAAAGTATCTTGTCAGCAGTCCTCTCATCCAGTATTACAACACCCAGTTCCTCGGCGATGTAAGATCTAGTCTTTTCTACCTAGGTATTCATTGATCAAATCTTCTCTAATGCATGCTTTTCAAAGCCTACGGACTATCCAACTATTCTTGCTGCTGCAAGTTTCGTTGGCCTCGGAGTGATCACTTCTGATGTCTATGTTGGAGACTCGGAGGAATGGTAAGACCAGCCTAGTTACTCTTAAAGAAGACAATATCTTCATACCTACTACTAATACTAGTACTGACTTGAACGATTCATACTGGATTTAGGTACCTGAACACGAACAATTTCCTACGCAGCGTTCGTAACTTTAAGATGGATATTACTCGCACTGATCCTGGAGCTTATATTTGTGCCATTCATTGGCAAGTCGCTCAAGGAACCACACTCGAGAATATTGACTTCTATATATCTCAAGCAGCTGGTAATACACAGCAGGTACCTTTGCCTTATCCCTTTGTTTTCGTATATTCAGGCTAACACCAGGAAGGGTATTTACATAGAGAATAGAAGCGGAGGATTCATGGGCAACCTCACCTTTGTGGGTGGAAATTTCGGGTATGAAATCGATTCAATACCACTAAGATAAGCTTTAAATCTGACAAAAGAACTTAGTGCTTACCTTAGAAACCAGCAATTCACTACAAGCGGGTTGGTGTTTGTGAATTACAAAACTGCTGTTCAAGTCCACTGGGATTGGGCATGGACGATGCAAGATGTTGTCATAGAGTCATGCGAAACTAGAGTCGTTATTGTTGGGGGAGTGAGTAAACTAATTTCTCTTACTCCATGAACTTGCCTCAATTTTCTAACTGACTAGGCTGGTGGCCCAATAAGTGATGGCCAATCAGTCGGGGCTTATATCCTAGTTAATGCTATCATAGCCAACACACCGACCGGAATTCTCACATCCTCATACCAAGACAACTCTACCGCAGTTCTTCTACAGAATATGGGTTTTTTCAATGTCCAGAAGGCAATTATCTCAGACACCCGTACAGAGCCTCTCCTAATAGGAGGAGATAAAGTCATGCTTGACACTTAGGGCTTTAGCCTCTATGCCGACGATAGTAGCATACATTTTGCTCAACAGGTTTAACTACCATCCCTCAATCGCAAGAGTTCATTAACTGGCAGCAAGTCCTATGTGAATGGGACTTTCAACTTCTTCACTAGGCGCCGTCCTCAGTATTACGATCTTAGTAGTGGGGAAGTATTTGATGTGAAGGCTTACGGTGCAAAGGGCGATGGTGTCACAGATGACACAGCAGCTTTGAACAGTGTTCTAGCCTTTGCGGCGAATATGTCCGCAATTGTTCATATCCCGTATGGAGTTTATGTGGTCAAGGATACTGTTCATATACCACTCGGATCCCGAATCATTGGTCAGGCCTGGCCGCAAATCATGGCAAAGGGTACCAAGTTTGAGGATATAGAGAGCCCCCATGTGGCTGTTTAGGTTGGGAATGACGGAGATGTTAGAGTTCTTAAGATTCAGAATATGATGTTCACTTCATCTAGGCCTACAGCTGGGGCTGTTCTCATGGAATGGAATGTCTATGAATCTAGTTAAGGGTCCGCCGGACTTTAGGGTACGTTATTTCGCATATATTCGCAAACCTTTTACTAACATTAGAAAGATTCTCACTTCCGGGTGGGTGGCGCTATTGGATCTCAACTCCAAGCAGACAAATACCCCAAGAAAGCTTCGTCATTAAACGAAGATTGTGTTGCTGGTTCACTTATGCTTCGCATTACTAAACGGGCTTCGGCCTATATAGAGAATATTTAGGCATGGGTCGCAGATCACGATATGGACATAGAGTCACAGGATCAAGTCGACATTTACGTAGCACGAGGTATTCTTGTGGAGAGCCAAGGACCAACGTGGATGTATGGTACAGCGTCTGAGCACAGTGTACTATACCAGTATCAACTATCTGAAGCCAAGGACTTGGTTATAGGGATGATACAGACAGAATCTCCTTATTTCCAGCCGAGTCCTCCAATACCGGAGCCTTTTACCCTTAGAAGATTCCCAAATGACCCTGTGGATGTTGATTGCGAAACTTGCACAAGCTCCTAGGCAATGAGAATCGTGGGCTCAGAATCTATCTCTATTCTTGGGGCAGGTATGTTTTGATCCATTTGCCAATAGGTTTGAAATCCGGGAATGACACCTTAGCCCTCTCTTTCTAGGAATGTATAGTTGGTTCAGGTCTTACTCCCAGGACTGCCTGCAAACAAATAACTGCCAAGACAAGGCCTTCTATGTTGAGCATAGCAGTGGGGTCTAGCTGGTCAATCTTGTGACAAAGGCAATTGTTCAATCTATCAGCCCTCTTGGTGAAACAGGTATTTGGTCCAGAGATTTTCGAAACGGATATACCTCGTCATTGCTTGGCTGGTTCCGTGCGGATGAAGATACCATTGGCAAGCGTAACTTCACCGGATTTTATCTATTTGAAGATCAGTACGATGGGAATTTGCTGAACACGCTTCCGTCAGCTTATCAATCTACACTAACGCAGGTGATTGACTGTCCTAATAAGATCTAAGAATTCCAAGCTGCTAATTGGCAAGGCGGATTTGAGAATGATACACTCAGCAAGCAGGTGTGCTCTGCTGAATGCGAGGTTTCCATAAAGTCTTGGTTTAGCCATGTCACCGAAAACTGCGCAGACGTAAATCAGACCAATATCGTCCTCAATGCCAGGGGAGGTAGGCTCTGGGCATTATGGAATCAAACCTATGTTCAAGAACCTAATACAGGGGAATATTGCGGAGGTAAGTTAGAAGACTTCTGTCCATTTTTTTGCGAAAAGCCGCTAACTTCAATTACTCGGATTAACAGATGTCTTGAACAAACAAACCTCCTAGGACGAATCTATTGATGAGCTTTGCTCGTTCTATAGAGTGGATCGTTACAAAAAGATGCAATCTACTCCATACTCTTACTACAGTGAAACTTAGAAATCGAAACTGGAAGAAATCAACTCCAAGTGTGGACTCGATATACCTACGGATATCCCCAATCCGTTGACTCCAACCCTTAATCCCTATGAGCCTACAACGGATTTCTGTGCCTCTGATGTGACTTATACGTCTATAAAAGGAGACACTTGTGACTCAATTTCCCAGGCTCACAAAGTCGCGTCTGCCGCTCTTTTCATAGGCAACGTCAACCTAAAGTTCCACGACAATATTCCTATGGGAACGAAACTTTGCATTCCATTCGAGTGCGACAATATCTATACTCTTCAAGCAAACGACACCTACAGTTCCATCGAAAAGGCCCAGAATGTCGGGTACCAGGATGGTCTTACTCTGAAGAATTATAATCCGTGGCTAAACAACGAGTGTACAAACCTGCACATGAACAGCAATGTCGCTTATGGGCATATCATTTGTCTAGGTCCGTAGGGAGGAAATTCAACGGGAGACGTTCCAGATACAGACACCACCACGCCGAACTACAGCGATGGCTACGCCATTCCAGAAATTCCTCCTCCCGACAATGTACCCGTTACCGATGGAACAACTCTACGGTGTAGTAAGTGGCACGTTGTTAGCAACGAGCAGCTTAAAGAGACTTGCACGACGATTTGCGTTCAGGAATCGATACCTTAGAGTCTGTTCCTGGACGTAAATCCATCTTTGAGTGTGGATAGCTATACCTCTAAATTGGTCGTTAGGACCGCATATTGTGCAGGACCAACCTATGGATGGGATTTTGAATTTGATGGTGCGGACGATGAGTTTTAGGGAAAGAGTTTGAACTTTAGACTTGATAGATTCATTGGAAGATGCTAATATATAAACTAAGCAACCGTACTAGGTTTTATTACAATTGAACTACCTAGGTGCTAGTGCAACATATCCTTCGCAACAGAGGCAGTAGAAACTAAGCCGTACTCACCGTCTGGCAAAACGGCGATGACAACATTATGATTACCCATCCTACCCAAGGCATACGAGTTATTATCATGTTGAGCAACCTCCACCGGTGGGTCATGCTTCTCATCGAAAAAGGCCTAGGCGGCGATGGACTCCGTGCTGATGGCACAAACCCACACGACCGAATAGTTCTGCGGATCCGACATGGCCTAGGTCCGGCAAGGATGGCAGTGTCGTCCTGGGGAATCAGAAGTAGTCTGTCAGTAAGCGGTGGGTTACTGTAGAGCTGGCGTACAGAGATCAGTCACTGTTCTTATCTCGCTGTCACGAGAGGCTGTACTGCCAGAAAGAGACAGAGGAATGTTGGGTGCGTGCTGGTTGGGCCGCGGAAAAGACGCGGGGCCAAACAAGAAACTAGTACTGGGTGAAACGGTGTCCGTCCCACTCTCTGGGGCCCCGCCAACGCAGTGACCTGAGTTCCAATACGTGAGTACGTGAAGTGTTCCCGAACTTGGTCGCGGTTGATGTAAGGGTATACGATAGTGGGCACACGACCGAGTACGGTTCTCATAGTGCTCTAACACATGGAGGTCGAAGGTGCCAACACCAGTGTTGCCACGTGATGTGAACTTGTCAATCGCTGAATTTAGTTACGCCGTACTGGATGTTGATGTCCAGATTGTTGGTGGCCTGGACACTAAGCAAAGGAGTTCGGCCCAAGGCGCCGTTGAGGTCAGCCTCGCCGTTCATTTGGCCAATCCTGGGTTGGGATTCGACAGTATACGCAAGTGCCAAGAGACCGCCGTTTCAGCCAGGCCAAGGGAAGCCAATAACAGTGTTTGTTTCTGAGCCAAGCTGCGAAGGTCAGTGCGATGGTCGCGCGACGGAGGCCTCTCACCCAGCTTCTCACCCTGTCTATTGCGCACTCACCCCATCTCACCCCGGTCGCGCGACCGTAAAGCGGCGCTCACCCTAAACTCACCCAGGCGGCACCCACCCGACTATCTGCCGCAGATAAGCCACACGCCGGCCAGTTAGTAGTATGGTGGGTGACCACATGCGAATCCTGTCTGTTGTATGTTTTTGTTTTTGAATTCTATTTCAACCGGTATACTCTTTAGCCCGTTTCTCTATAAACCTAAGTATTGTGTGTGATCTTGCGTTCGGCTCTTGGCGGGCAGCTTGGAAGAGTCCCGCCCGCCACTGGGTGGGCAGGAAGCCGTGGGTGGGGTAGAGTAGTTCTATCTTCTTCGACGCTGTCTAATGCTCTGGCCAAATAGTTGGCAAATTAAGGACACTGCCCTCTTTCGCACTCACACAAGTACACTCCCCCGTATGCACATCCTGCAAGAACACCTGAAGAGTCTTCAGCGTCCCACCCCATCCATCCCACCCAAAGAAGTCATTACCTCAAGAAACTATTTTCCTCTCTGTCACAGCCGTGCTAACCATTTTCTCAGAAACTGGCTGTAATCCCCACACAGCAGCCACCATTCTGATATCTGATGTGACTATAGTATTCGAGAAGAAGAAATTCCGTCTTATCCGTTTCCCCGGGTCAATCATGACATCCAGAGTCATCACCTGTAACCAGCAGTTGCATTGGTTCCAAAGACCCATATCGATAAATTATCGAAATCGTTCTTCTGCCATCCGGGTGACGGATCGGGAGATGCAAACGCACAGCCATTCTTCGTGTCAAAGTGTAATGTCTGCTGAGGTGTGATCTTCGCTCGAACAAGATTCGTAATATCCAGCCCACCCCAGTTCGCACAAATAACATCCAGGTAGGGGGGGATTTTTATCGAAGAATTCTCAGTTACAGCCCTCACATCGCAATATGATAGTGCAGCCGCGATATCCGAGTACGTCCACGTTACGGACATGATCTTCTCTTGTCCGTAGCACGGATCCTCTACGAAGAACTCATGATTTGACGCGATGATATCCGATCGTGAATCCTTCGCCGTTATCGATGCGACATGTTCTGTCACGTCGATATTATGCCAGCTTGCGTTCAAGATATAGGTCGAACCCCGTTTCTTTGTTGCCGAACTATTGTGGAAAGGCAGAGGGATTGAGAGATCGATGGTAAGTAGTTCACCTTCCTCAGCGAAGAGCTTCTGAGGCGCTGAATAAAGATTCGATCCACCACCAATTTTAATGGGCTTGGAGGGCTTTTTGACCGCCGATCTAGACCTCGACATTCGTGGAACTCCCTACACTGGATTTAGGTTATAAGCACTATAAGGTCATTTAGCTATAGTCCGTCTTGTTACGGGCCAAGAGAAAGATCCTGGAACAAATTGTACCATTCAACGAAGGTATCAAGACTGGAGAGAAAAGAAGAAGGAAATAAGGACAAATTAGGAAGAGAGGGTTTAAGCACACACCTTCCTTTATCGGGGACTATGGCGGGCTGAGAGATAGGAAGAACAATTCAGCTCCGATTCTACGGGTACATTTCGCAGATACGAAGATCAGTAGGATCGAGATAAGACTATATGGTAGTACTGTCGGCTTGGGTAGATGCATGATAAGCCGAACTAGAAAGATATTCGTGTGCGGGAGCGACCTGCCAAAAGAGGCAAGGGTGTCCTCCCAATAGCCGATACCAGATAACAAATCCAATCTTTTGGGTCGACTATCTACTGTAGTAGTCGGCGTGGCCGACCATTGGGTCATGCCCATTCATCTGTCATGAGCTAGCGTGCGTTCTGGGGAAAATTTACCTCATTCGAATCATCTAGGATTCTGCTGAGGAACCCCAATACCACTTACTTTCATATCCTTTAATTGCCTGATTGCGGTCACAATCGATCCATGCCCTTGCTCAAGAAGTGGATTTTGAGCTCTGCAGAAAACATGGACCAAGAAGAGATATTTAAGCCTTTGGTGTGTACAAACGGGCAACACGAATGTTTTAATGGCCAGGAAGCTCACATATGACAGATTCATCTGAATTACTCACCACCTGAGAGGAAGATCACAATGCAAGACCTGCTCTTGGATCAGAGCCCATGCGCTTCTTCTATCGCAGGAACAACACCGTTTCCACTGCTGTCACGAGAGGGTGTAAGGGCATATAGAAGGGCTTTGTTCCAACAAAAGGTCCTCGACCGATGTGCGAGCTCACCGTTCCCAGGCACTTTAGTTATTCGTGACGCAGGGAAAGAATCGAACTTCATCAAGGATTTCTGGACACATCCTCAGATAATGAGCATAGTGTCTGAAGCCATGGGTGTTCCTTTGAATGTGGTTATGCCTACAGAAATTGGACATACTAACATTCAAGTTGAAGGTGCTACTGTTTCGGAAATGACGCAAAAGCTCAAGGTTGAACCCTCGGTCGAAAAGGTAGAATTGAGCGCAGAAGAACGGGCCTATGACCCATTGAAGGATGCTAGCGCTATTATTCCATGGCAGTCAGTCCGTTCTCGTCACCTTGCTAATAGTATCAGTAAGACTGACGTTGCTAAAGCTATGACTCTTATCCTTACGTATGTGTCTTGATGTTGAGTGAGACGGATGGTATGATTGGGGGAGAAACATATATTAAAAAGGGCAATGGGACACCTCAAAAGGTCTGTCAAGATTCAATTCCCACACGAAGAATGTGTCTAACGGCCCCCAAGGTTGAAGGGCCTCAGATTGGCCATGCGGTAATGCTTCAGGGTGGTCAAGTGCAGCACCTAGCTGCTCGAGCCAAGGGTGTGAAGGAACGCATATCTACTATCACTTCCTATCGTTCAAGTATGCCAACAGTCTATGACTCCAGCTACATGACCAATATACGACCCTACGCAAATTTAAACCGTCTCTACCCGGAGTGGATTCAGTACCGATTGCGAAAATTGAGAGACGAGATTAACCATTATCTCCAAAAAATTGAGAAAGAACCAGAGCTGGCTCTGGAAAAAGTGCAGCTGGAAACCCTTATAAATGAGCAAGCAGAGTACCTTCAACAAACCTCACGTCAGATGGTTTCGCCGGCAGAAGAGCATAGGATTTTGAAGAAATATGGAAGTACGGCATACTATGATGCGCCGAGAATATGGATAAATCTCCAATCTCTGCCAGATTTTGATATAATTGCGTCGTCCGCCGATAAGAATAGAGTCTGGAGGCCAGAGAGTACTTACTGGTTGGATCTTCAGACCTCGGTTGAGTCACTTCGTCTGGGAAAATCTCTTAAGAGTGCAAGGGGGAATTTGGCTTGGGACCACAAACGGCAGTACTTCATGGGCGATGAACTTATCCGTCAAGGATTAAACGAGATGTTTTTGGACTGGCTAGGGGTTTCGGGGCTGTGGGATCTCTATTGCAAGATGACTTGAGTGATTAGAAAGGAGGGTTCCGATAATCCAATCCTTTTTTAACTCTACTCTTCTCTTCTTACTTTACTTTCAGATGCATGAATTTGAATTACTTTTGAAATACAATGCCTTGCTGTTAATTCATGGGCGCCAAGCATGCCCACGCCGGATATGATAGTAGAATCCGGGAAATAATCCACGAATGGTTGCTCAATACTAATGCCGTTTTTTATCAGGACAATCGTCGTAAATCGTGTAATGACAGGAGCAATGAGAGCTGGGATTGAATGAACAACAGGGAGGTTTTTCAGTTCTATAACGAGGGAATGGAAAGGCCCATGAGTCATTGCATCTTGAAGCGAGCGCGCAACTGTCAAGTATAGTAAGTTATGTGCTCGTATAAGCTCCGTTCTAATTAACAAGAAACCCTACCATGTGATGGACGCCGACCAGTGAGACTGCCATGGTCAAATCTGTCGATGGTGAAGCCTATTTGCTTAACCGCCATGAAATTCGACCTTAGCACTGCAGTGACTCTGGCATGTTGAGATCTCTCCAATCTAACGGCCGCCAAAGTACCGACCGCTCCGCACCCTAGTAGAAGTATACTGGCTTGGCATGAGAAGTTACGTCAGGAGGTCAATGTTCGCGATTTCCACGTAGTTTCAGCAGGCTCGATTTCCTACATCATCTAAAGATAAGATGTATTTCGCAAATCGTTCCCCCCATATTAGCTATGGTTACATAATGATATGTATCTTATCTCTGGATTTCATCCCGTAAATTCTCCTGGTAGAAAATCGGACAGCCCGATCGTTATAAATACCCTTTGTGACGCCGTGCGAGGAAATATTTGCTGTTTTGAATCATATTTGTTGGTGAAGGCCGAAATGTAGTCGGGCCATGCCCACTGGGCGGGGGGTACTCTTACTTAAGAAAGTCTAGGCCAGGGGGTACACGATTACTCTTGCACTCCTCCCTATGTACCCGAAATATTGATATTTTTCATTCATATCTCTTTAAGCCTGATTCTTTTTGATAGGGCCAATCCAGGGTAGGAACTCCAGAAAGGTCAAGTTGAACCAATAGTGCTGTAGTCGATCTCAGCTAACTAAGAGGGTTTATGGGACGGTGAGAATCCCCCGCTCTACCCGACTTCTCACCCAATCTATTGCGCACTCACCCTATCTCACCCAAGTCGCGCGACAGCAAAGCGACGCTCACCCGAAAAACTAATGTCGTACGTTGCAGATTAATGTCGCATACATTTTGCCGCCGTCTCGGCTCTGGTGATGTACGTCACCCGCTGCATGTGGCTGTTCCCGCACGCATCAGAGATGATTCATGAGCTTACAGTGGACCCTTGTGACCTTTAGTAAGATTAGATAATTCCTTATTCACAAATTTCCTAAGAATAGATTGTTCCTTCTAGATGTTCTTAAATGGTGTCTCCCCGGGCTTACTTTGGCCACAGTCGTGGAGTGACGTCGACGACTACAACACCACCCAAGTTATCGCAATAGACATTAATTGGCCTAACAACTATATATTCCCCAGGGATCGCAAACGAAATTGGAGAAACTTTCAAGAACCGGAATCCGGCTCTGCTTTGTTTTTTCTTGCGGACTAAATTGACGTGATAACAATGCCTTTCCTCGAACTTCGTGATGGCGCCCAACTATTTTACAAAGACTGGGGCAACCCAAACGGCTCGATTATCACATTTTCACACGGCTGGCCTTTGAGCAGTGATAATTGGGAGAACCAGATGTTTTTCCTGGCTGATCACGGATACCGCGTCATCGCACACGATAGACGTGGACATGGTCGCTCAACGCAGACCTGGAGTGGAAACAACATGGACACCTTCGTCGATGATCTCGAGGAACTGTTCCAGCACCTCGGCGTCCAGAACGCTATAATGGTTGGACATTCCCACGGAGGAGGTGAGGTCACCCATTACCTTGGGAAACACGGCAGCGGTCGTTTCAAAAAGGCCGTTCTGGTTGGCGCCGTACCTCCCCTGATGTTGAAAACCTCGACCAACGCCGAAGGCACCGATAAGTCCGTCTTTGACTCTTTCCGGGAATCTATGAGGCAGGATCGCGCTCAATTCTTCTTGGATGTTCCGACTGGGCCATTCTTCGGATTCAATCGGCCCGGTGCCAAGAAGAGCGAGGGTCAGATCCGGAGCTGGTGGCAGCAGGGGATGAACACTAGCTTCAAGGCGGCCTATGATTCGATTAAGGACTTTTCAGAGACTGATTTCACCGAGGATCTGAAGAAGATCGATATCCCCGTGCTTGTGCTCCATGGCGATGATGACCAGGTGGTCCCCATTGAGGCTTCCGGACTCAAGTCAGCGAAGCTTTTGCCTCAAGGGACGTTGAAGGTTTATCCCGGTGGCTCTCATGGGATCCATAACATCAACGTTGACGAAGTGAATAACGATCTGCTTAAGTTTGCGCAATCTTAGAAGAGGAGGGTGAGACATTCTGTTTGACGATAGGCAGAGAGTTGGTCTTGGCATGGAGAAGAGGCGATAATAATTGATCTGTCAAAGAACACTGTTAGGACATGGCTCAGATACTGAGAAACTTGGGAAGAATCAGACCTTTGCCCCGTGGGCTAGATTCCTGTGCCAGCGTCATTAGCTACGTTGACGTCTGACAATAGACTCCGTGGAAAAGCCAAACTAGATGGCAGGGATAAAGACTTGGGTATTATGATCTTTTCCAGAGTGTGTATATGACGCCAAGTAGACAAATCAACAACAGCGAAAGGATGTATCTCTACATGGTATTTGTGCAGTTCGAGGGTCGAAGTTCTCTAGAGTCGTATGTTTAATAGCTCTGAGTATTGACATGAGAGGCATGCTATCATGAGCCATACTATTGGGCCATCGACAACCGGCAGGTTCCGGTAAGGCTGCATGCCCGGTAAGGCTGGATCCCCCCGAATACTTCTCGAAGTCATAATTCCTTCGCATCGTATTCCTAAAATGACGTCTGCAAAGACCGAAAAAATCTGGCTGCCTGCCCGCCAGGACCTTGGCAGCGGTTCCATGCATAAAGCTCAACAATACGTGCGGAACGACGGATAGCCAAGGCACTATTACTGTACGGAGTATTGAGTATGACCTGACGTTCTCCACTCATCACAGCGTGCCAAGCAAGCACGACTCTTCTTGGCAGAGCCCGTTGACAAGTCAGCGAGAGCGATTGACAGACGAGCCTGTGAGACAGGGGGTGGAATTGCTCTCCACTGAAAATGTGTGGAGATTCGAAATTTCTCGTAAACTCGTTTTCTGTATTTGACTGCTCTTCGGCCGGCCTCCGCTGTCTAGCTAGCGTACCCTGTCACATTTTTTTTTCTTGGTTTTCAGGGTCTTCTGGAGTGATTATTAATGAAATCCCCACATTAAGGGTGACTGGCAATCCACAATCGCTGAAAAGGGGTTCTAAGTTTGCGGAACAAGAGAGGCGTAAACGAGAATGAACGTGCGTATGATCCGCGTACGTACGGCTCGGTAGTTAAGAGGAACGGTTTCCAGCTGGCTTGTTCCTCGTACTGTAGGTTTCTGGCATTAATATAGGATCTGTTGGTAGTCATTGTGATGACAGAGGGACCGAATATCAATATGGCTTGCCGGCTAGCCATATGAAGTAGATGTTACGGGAATGAAATTTCTACACTAGACCTATCAGGAAGAAAGGAAGGAAATTTGATAGAGAAGGTGGCTAGAAATATGTACATTTAGATATTGCAATGCAAAATATCGCTTTCATGTGAGCCCAATGATTCCGATGCAGTGGCACAGAAAAGGGTTATAAAAAGGAGAATAGAAACCATATACACCGCGATTCATCACGGATGCCATGCCGCTCGACAATTACGAGGAAGTCATCGGCATGCTCGTCATTGGCATGTTAGTCAGAGGAAGTGTAGCTGGGGACTTCTCAGTTTCCTCGAACATCATCTTCTCCAGTTTCTGCGTCATCTTGGCACAGAATGGGTCCACGTAGGAGGTCCAAAGTGATGCGCAAAAGTAGACAAGTGCGATCCACGCCGGGATAGAGATGGCAACCACCCATGGAGGGCGGATAGGAATCCAGTGGGGGTGAAGCGGCTGGCCATTCTCATCGAGAATGGGTTGGCCGTTGCCATCGACAACGTCGCCGTCCCACGGTTGACCGGTGATACCGTATAGCATCCAGCACAGCACAGTGCGAAGGAGGGTTCCGTGCACGAGATAAACAGCGAAACTCTGTTTGCCGAGCCAGAGAAGGAGACGATTTGCCAGGAAGTCCTTGGTAGAAGGCGAGATGAAGATGGCGAAAATGATCAAGTCGACACCGATGGCGGAATAGCGCTTGCCAATGTTCACATCAGGAGGGAAAATATATCGAGCCAGCTCAAACATATAGTTGGACCATGTTGCCCATTCGGGGTGCTCGCCGGGGTATGAGCAGATTAGAAGACCAGAGATAGCGCAGGTGGCCGACACGATCTTGCGGCCCCATTTGTGGCGGTCAACAAACTCTTTGAATGCGGTTTCGTACGAAAGGTCGCTAAGGAACATGCCGTAGATCGCTTGCACTTGGAAGGTTTCTTCAAACAGTCAGAAAAGAACTGGAGGAGCAAAGAAGGGAAGGAGGGTTCGTACCTGTGTTTTTGGCCGCGTCTTGGTGGAAATAGAGAACCATGCCCAAGTAAATCGCCAAGCGCCAGCGGAACTTGACGAACATAGTCGCGCAGAGAAGAATGTACACGAGCATGGATGCCTGTAACAGTGGTAACAATGCCCATTGGTGATCGTCGTATGCCATATAGCCGGTAGTCCAAACACTGAGGAAGTTCTCAAACAATCGCATGACCTCCTGCCCGAATGTCTCGGCCAGATCGACAGCTGCATAGCGGCACCACCAGCTGTCCGAACGGTTGGCAACAACGAAAGCGCCAAATTGAGCCATCACCCATGAAATGATCAGGGCGATAGTAGCGGGGAAAATCAAGCGAGGTGGGCGGCGGAATGCGCTCTTGGCCACCGAGGTAAAGGAGCCCAAGTGATCACCATTACGGGACTGCTTAATGGGTTTGAGGGCACACACGTAACCGGTCAAAAAGGCGAAGATAGTCACACCAAGCCGACCTTGCCACGGTATACGCAGAATGGGCCATTGCAAGATACGGGGGGCGACGTCTTCGTCATCTCGGGGGGAAAAGAGGTCGTAGTCCCATGCTCGGGCCAGATGTGTCAAGACGACCAGAAATGAAGCAATGCCTCGCAGGCCCTGTTGATAGAACATTAGCGGAACCGAAAGAAGAAAAGAGCTTCGTATCGGCATCATATCTGTGATGGTGAACCTACGTCAATCCATTTAACACTTTTCCTTGGGTCACCCTTCACGTTTGGGTCACCCGATTTCCAAGGCACATTCTCAAGTAGGCGGGTATAAAGATGTCTGGGCTGAATATAATCCATGATGAAATTCAAAGTCGAAAACCGCAAATGACTGGGAAAAAGGAATGGTCTTTTTGAAATCAAAGGTCAGTCATCTAGGAGTCCTAGGTCTCTTAGCCGGAAGAGAGTAGGCGATAAGGAGTGTCGGGCGATGACGAGAGCACACAGCGAGAAAGCGAAAAAAGAACGAGTGGCTTGCAGAGAGAGTGACGACGCTCTGCCTTTTTCTAACGGAGGCGAATTCAAAAGCTGCCAAGAATCGGTCGAGCGGTTGTCCGCCGGGAGGCAGGCTGAAATGATCTGAAGAGGTGACGAACAAGGAAGGGATGGGACTCGAAGGGGGCCTATTGGAGTTTTGAATAACTTGCGGGTCACGCCCTCCTTCCTCCAAGACTCCAAAGGACCTCCCAATTTTCTCTAGGAGGGCGGAGGATAGGGGATTCGCCGAATCGGAGTGGAGTATGCCAATGCATAAATCGCAACCTCGGTTTTGACAGCGGGCCTTACAGTGGAAGGGCTACGGAGTACGGACGATTGGGAACGGGCCCCATACGATGCTAGCCGATCAATTGCCACAACTAGATTATGCTAATCTACAGCTTAGAGTCGGGTTTAATCTCATCGAGTAGTACGTTGCAGATACGTGTTCGTTTCATTGCCCGTAGATGTAGCCCGTTTCATCGAATGTAACGGCATCCCACGGTCCTTGCTTGTGAACTGCCGCCCACAAAGCGACATAACCACATGGGAAAGCTGTACGATTCAGAAAAGGATGCGGTTTCGGACGGTACACAAGTCAGCCATGTGCTAAATCAGAGCTCGGGTCTCAAAGCGGGTAAAAGGGCCGAATTTCGCCAAGCGCGAGGCCATTGCTATCTGTCCAGAAAGGCTATACAGATACGACCGGAACGAGATCGGGCGACGGAGCTGACGACGCCGTCCGAAGGACCATTCCGCTCTGCCAATCATCCTGTGACGTCCAGAGTCTCTGACCGGGGCTCCGGCGATGGCCAAACGGACGAGCTGGATGGCGTGAGCAATTTGGTGCAGATCACAGTTCTCTGGGCCAGGACCGGGTTCGACCAGCCTTATGGAGACAATGTCCGACGGGGACTCCCCGCTTCGCGGTCTTGCCCTGCTGGCTGTGTGGCGAGAGGCCTGGAGAAGGGTCTATTTTCTCTGTTGTGGGGGTTCGTATAGCAAGCTCAAACTATATAATGAGAGATCCCGCTCTGCGCCGAGAAATCAGGTACCCCAAAAGAAAAAAAGGATTCAGACTCGCATTTCGTATCACGACTCAAAAAGAGTGTATCTCCTAATCATACCAATTGATTTGAATTATGATACCGTATCGTTTGCCCCTGTGGTGCAACCAAGGCTCATTGCATGTAGTTGTGGATGAATGGCGTCATTTGACCTAATCCTACCATCGGCGCGCGCTATTCGATCTCCAAAGATGTGGTCTTGGCATGGCTGAACCCTGGCGGTTTCTTTCGCGCGGTACTGGAAATACCGTAGTGTGGTCCTTCGATTGGACAGTGGCCGTTCATTGGTATTTGGCAGAAAGATACTGTAAGTGGGGCAGGTACCGTACGTGTACCCTGTTCCCAATTTTAATAAACGCTGACCGTATGTATCGTATGGGGCATTCCTTACAAAAGCCACCAATCGCAAGTGATCACCCGATACGTCCAATGCCAATTCTTAGCGACATTGTTATTGCCCTTTTGGCGTGCCAATATCCTTTCCATACGCCAGGTTCCATTCCACGGCTGCTGCAGGGGGGGGGGGGGGTACTAAGGTCAAAAACAAGCCTCGAATGCCGAGTGTTTAGCCTGTCCGCGATTCAATCCATTTGAGGGGTCAGAACACGCGATCAGACGAAGAGCCAACGGTAGAACCATAGAATGACTAGGGAAAACCATCAAGCGAGAGAGCGGGGCACTCCGCTCGTGTGAGACAACCGCTTCTTACACGCCACAACTGTTAATAATTGGCAATGAATGGGCGCCCCCAGCCGCCATAAGTCAGCGTGGCGGGCTTGGCGCACCGGTTACCGAGAATTTCATGGTGTTCGAGTTTAGCTTTTCGGATTCAGGGGCCAAGTGAGAGTTTATTATAGTACTGTAAGAGCAGAATCGGCATTCTTGACCTTGTGGGCGCGGTCCATGCCACAAGCGAGGAAGGAAAGTTGTAGCGAACGCTGGGCCAAATCTTTCAAGGGCCAACTTGGAAGAACTCAGATTTAGCAAAATTGTAGGCCCCGGTCACTTATTAAAAGCTATACGGTATTTATGTCCTGATCAACAGTACCGTATATGCGTTGTGCTAGTGCATTAACTGCATTCATGACTCGCAACAGGTACTGAATCATTGGAAGATTGAGCTATGACATCTTTGCAAACCTGACTCGGTAACAGTATGTCTTAGGTGTCTAATTACCATAGTTCTGGAGATATCAGAGTTTGAAGGGTTCGTGGAGGGTCCAGAAAACAAACCTAGACCAAGTCGAGCGTACGCGTGGCATTCGACGGGGAGTGGAACCCAGGGTCCAAAAGGGCGCTGGAAGCCGAACGGCTTTGATGGTACTGTAGAAGATCGTAAACAGTAAATAATGATCTAGTGTGGTCTGTCAACAGCTTAAATGCTTGCAGGGCCGTGCGGCTCGAACCTGCCCATCTCTCGTCTACAGATGGGTCAAGCTGCAGAATAGCCCCGGTGGTTTAAAATTCCCGGGGCTCCAAAGGAGATTCCTGTAATTCCTCAGAGGGAAGTATACCAAGAGGCTTGGATACCACGTCGAATCGACGGCGGCTTACCCAAGCGGGTTATGAACTAGTGTAAGGTACCGCTCAGGTACAAAATTGTGGCGCACCTTGGCTAATCCACAGCTAAACCCGAGGAAAGCCCAGACATTATCGGTGGATCACAACGAGAACGAGAATCGGCTGCTCTCTTCGCAGCCCACTGACCTGTCAATCTCGGAGGAATCTCCGCCTCGATCAGATAGCGCATTCGAGAGGGGCTAATTTTTGAAACGCAGAGTTGAATCATCAGCATCATTATCATATTTATGAACGAGTGGATCATTCGTGGCCAGATCACGCCATTCTTAGCCTTCTGACTCCATCAGCTAGTCAAGCAACAGTGGCACTTTCCATCGGCACTCCCATTCCTCCTGGCTGGGAATTCCACAAAATAAACGATTGATGTGATCCGTTGTCTACCCCGATCCAGTTGACAGCAAAATGCGGGTTACGCTTTTAGGTATACTGTCCTGGTCTTTGCAAGTGGCCGGGACGATCTTGCAGAATGGTCAGCCCAGAGAGAACCCGTACCCAGGGCAAGCACCCAAGATCTTTCTCGACGATACTTGGAACATTTACGGTCCTGATGTACAGGAAATTGCCTACAAAGGGCGATGGGACAGCCAGCATGTCTCTTGTAAGTCGACTGTTCTTTTTCCAGCGCGATTGTGTTTGTGACCCCTAAATTTCTGACTGGCATGTAGGGTGGTCGTTCGTCTCTCCAAAGCTCCTTCCCTAATGCCCCTTTCTTATGAGCCCCCTCGTGGCCATGCTGACATAACTAGGGCGCCCGGAATCAAAGTGGAGTTTACTGGAGATAAGGTAAGTTTATCCTTTTGGGCTCGTCCCGTGATGTATACACTCTATTATTGCTTCAAAGTGTTAATACTTTCTCCAGCTTGCCGTGAGCTTTGGTCCCAGCACCACAGATGGCGTTCTCGTCGCCTATAGGTATGGAGTGCTATCTCTACCCTGTCTCTACCTTGTCGTTCTAGGACGGTAATTAATTCATCCCTTGACAGGCTCGGATCTCTCGATTGGCAATTTTCCAACGTTACCGCCGATGCAACGTATCAGTTTGTCGGCAATTGGACAGAGCTGAACGATGAAGAGATCCAGGAGAAGAAAATCTTTGAGATGCGAGGTAATTGACACCACAGCGCGGCAGATAAACGAATTGTGTATGCTAACTGAGATATAGTCACCAACTGGGGCTTCGGATAAGTACACCATCTCCTTTCATGAAACGTCTAACTAATTCATCGCACAGTCCAAATAGCCGGTGTTGCTACCGCGAACAATGCAGAGCTTACAGTGCCTCCTAAATTCGACAAGAAAGTGGAGGTTATTGGAGGATCGTGAGTTCCCTCGAATGAGTACCGAGATGTAGTTCTCGTCATCTAACATTCGCCCTTCCAGTATTGCTAGTGGTCAGTACGGCACGTACGAGACCATCTCATCCTGGGCATATATGTTCGTAGCTGGGCTAGGCAACGTCGAACACACCATCACAGTGGGTACTCTTCACCCCCTCCACTACGACAGTATTGACCAGACCCTCAGGCCTACCCGGGTGCATGCTTGACTGATAAAGCATGCTATGGTGGTGACGTTCACGGCATGGTATGCTACCTCTCCTCTCGGGCACAACGCACTCACCTCATACTCTAACACTCGAACCCATAGACATGGTACTGGCACCAAGCCTCTGATCCCGGCAGCCGCGCACACCAATTCTACGGCAACGAGCCCGAAGGATGGGACGTCACCGCCGAACAACCCGCCGACCTAGTCCTAATCCAAATGGGTGGCAACGACTTCCGACACCCCAACGAAGTCCCCGGCAAGGATTTCTACCACGCATACGTTGACTTGATTGAAGATATCCACAGCGCCTGGCCCCATGCGGTAGTTCTCATTGTAGTACGACACCACCCAATTCCAGCATATAACCTCTACGCTAACGCTAACTTCCCTTTCTCAACAGTCTCAATGGGGCTCCTTCGTCAGGAAAGGAATGACCCACCAACCGACCCAGGTCTACGAAGAAGAAGCCAAGAAAGTACACGAGCATTTCCTGGACCGCGGCTTCGTCTATTATTTCGATACAACGGGTATCTTGCAATACAATGATATCAATCCTAAGAATCATCCGACGGATGTTGGACATATCAAGTTGGCGAGTCACTTGTTGCAGTGGGTGAGGCTTGTGTTGCGGTGGAAGCTTGAGCCGCTTGGGGAGGTCCAGCATGGAACTCTTTACTGGAATGACCAGCAAGAATATTAGACACTGAGTCTATGGCTTGTTTGAGGACAAGCTTGTGGTGACTCTTTTTGATTCGATTTGTATTATATAGCCAGTGAATATGGATATAGGTAAACATTGTTGGGTTGTGTATCCTATTACTCGGATAGGTCAGTGTGGGTTTGGCCACAGGGCCCTCTGTCCATCAACGTTCATTTTCCAAGGTCCAACTACGCAAAGCTAATCAGGCAAGCTCGCTGACGTAGCTTAGCTCGAAGTAACTTTGAAACAAAGTCTGCCAAAGTGATACATGTAAGCGGGTAGATTGGCTGAAAAACCATACAGTCAAGTTCATAAAGGACATCAAATCATAAGCATGACGGGGGTATCATAGTTCAATATCTCAAAACAGCATCCATCCCTAACTCATTAATCTGCTGCAATGATCTTCAACGCACTGCTAGTCTTAACTGTCTCCGTCTCCCCCACAACAGAGTACGACACCTTCCACTCTATCGCATTAGTATGTTGAATACTGTAAGTGGTAAAGTCAGGAGTAGGTGCGACAGAAATTAGATCTCGAGAGCCAGAAGTCATCGCATTCGAGCGAAGTCGCAACTGGAACATTTCACCAATGTTGACTTTCTTCTCGCCCTTTTCCCCAGTGCTCATCACCAGAGGCGAATCGAGGCGTTGGAAGGCTGACTCCAGATTCAAGTTCGCCGAAGACGAGTGATGGTCGTCGTGCGCGTGGTCTGTGAGAAAATTACTCGGTGCGAGGACGGATGTGCGCTGGTGAAGACACATTCTAACCCAATTAATCACGATACTTTGGTCCTTGATCGAAGAACTCGTTTGATCTGGAAGCGGCACAATCTCCAAAATGATTGGGATCGGTTGTGGATTATCAAGCTGGATAGCCGTGGGGTAATGGATTCTCATGTTGAACGCAAGCTTCGGCACCTTCGAAGAACCAAAAAGCTTTTGCGTCTTTTGCTTGAAACTGAGATCCGCGTGTTGCATGCCCGGGAGTAGGCGCTGGCTCTGAATACTCTGAAAGACAGAGAGGCAGTTCAACTTCGAGAGTTGCTCAGATGTACCCTCCACTGGGCTATTAAGCTGGAAAGGCCATATTGCCTCGATTGTCTTGCTGGAACCTTTGTAGGTATACCGAAGGTGAGCCTTGAGATAGTACTCGATAAAACCACTTGATGAGACGGTGATGCCGTCTCGCGAGGAGAAGAACGACCCCGGCAGCGTGTGGTGCGCTGGATGGTCGCGGTCCAAAGGTACGAAGCTAGTCCTAGGCGTAAAGCCCTGCCTCGCCGACTGGAGTAGTTCGGTGGGGATGTCGACCGCAAACTCCCAGCAAAGGGGTGCCCCGCTGCCCTTGGCAAGGTGCAGAGGCTGGCCCGACAGGATAACTCGATCGGTTTTCACCAAGAGCGCGTCGCTGCGGTAGTGCGTGCGCGAATTGTTGGATTTGCTCTCGGTGATCTTGGTCTTAACGCGACCGAGCAGGCTTAGCATGATTGTTGCCTCGGGTGTGACGATGGGGGTGTGGCGGACGAGACTGCCGATGATGGTATCGCCAGCCGCATAGGACCAGCCGCAAGGGGCCGCGATATCGAATTTGAGATCTGGCGATCCTTTTCTGCTAGTTCTGGGCATTTTTTGTGAAGTGAAATAGGCACATCATCTGTATAGTGAATTTGCGAACATTTTGATGCAGAGTTCGTTCGAGTTTGTTGACGGGGATAAAGGCTGACTCATGCGGATGGAAATGGAATGGGTGGTGCAGATTGATTCAAGTTCAAGTCTGCCTTTCGAGGCTGTGCCGGCCACGGTTTAGGTGCAGCACCCGGGTCGAACTCGGTTCTCGAATGACAAAACGCAGATTTAATTAACTGCTCAGCATTTCCAGGCTGTGTTGGATTGATCTGTTACTGAAAGTACATCTCGCGGTTCGTCATTAGTTCTGCGCCCCCCACGTTGAAGCCTCTCTAGTGGCATACTGATGTTCATTTGTGATGCCCTATTGAGTCTATTACCGAGGATACTAATGCATGCGTCGGCAAGCCAAGGATCGTTGTCAAAATTGTCACTAAGTCGGCTAACATGTGACGCACTGCCTCTCCGTCGAACAGGGCAAAGTCGTACCGTAAGTGCGCATTGATAGTCTCGCCGTCCTGCTCAATGCGCAGCTCCAGAGGCTTGACTGGCTTCTGCTCATCTTGTACTTTCCAGCGGCCGAAGTCGGGCGACATGTCCAAGAAAATTGTAATCGAACTGACGAGGAGCGATTCATAGGCTTTATGGGCTAATGTCTTCTCTAAGATGCCGTCTGATGACCATTGAAAGTCTCTCACTTCGTAAACCTCGCGGTGAATACCTGCTAAGTATTGTTCCAAGGCCGCTGTCTCTTCAATTGTGGTGAGGGTTGGACATCTTTGATTCAGCGGCCCGACAATAGATTCAATTGACGGAAAAGCAAGACTTCTTCCCGAGAAACTGCTGTTGTAGCCGATGGTCTTCGAGTTGGTGTATTTCGACAAAATCAAGGACCAGGCGGCATGAAACAGGGAAGATGTGGAGATGCGTTGACCGTATGCGAAGTTGTCGAGCTCCGATTGTGATACTCCAATTACCGAGCTCTTGCTTAACCAGTCCTGGCGAGTTTCGCGCGACGGAACATTGGCCGGCTTGGGTAGATTGATAGGCCGTAGATCATGAACTGATGCCAATGACTTCTCCCAAAAATGGTCACTCTCAGATCTGCTTTGGGCTTTGACGTGTTCTTGGAAATGAACAGCGTCGGAAAACTGTGGTGGGGCTGGTAATTCACGATCATTAAGAAACGCTTCAAGCTCATTTAGCAGAATTCCTATCGACCAGCCATCAAATAGACTATGGTGCAATACCCAGAATATCCTGATTGATTTCTCAGGAGCCTCGATAACTTTCAGGTAGTTGAAGGGTTTCCAAGGGACTTCAATCGGTTTGTATATTTCATTCCACAGGGCCTTTTGTATCGTCTCACTGGTGGAATCAAACTTTGAGTCGGATACTTGAATTTCCGTCCACTGCAAGTTTGGTTCTGGCTGGACGATCTGAGTTTTTGTATCTAAATCAAACGTTGTTCGTAATATTGAATGTCTTTCAAACAGATTCCCCCAAGCCTTGCGCAATACGGAGCTACTTAGCTTCCCACTTGCTTTCTGAACAGTGATGGAAAAGACCAAGTTGTTCTAAGCGGGGCTTCGAAGGGTCTCGCTGATGAGCTGGTCTTGAATATCAGCCATTGGTAGCTTGTCCGCAGTTCCTGCATCCCTCTCGTTCCTAGTCATGGCGGATTCAATCGATTGCTGGTGTGCTTCCGTGAAGACCACTTTCTGCAAGATACTGGAGGCTTTATCCAGCACAAACATATCTCCGACTGAGATGCTCAACCCATGAACCCTTAGAAAAGATGCAAGCCGCACCGCCGAGAGAGAATTCCCTCCTAGCTCCCAGAAGGATGAATCTTCATTGATTTGTAAAATGGGCGTCCCAAGGGCTTTTGAAAGTCCGTACTTCACTAATTCCGATGGCGAGGAGTGATCGGTCAACCCCTTGTGTGTCGCTGTCTCCTCTGTTATGATCGCTCTAAGAGCAGCAGTGTCAATCTTCTGATTCGACGTGACAGGTAGTCTTTCCAGAGGAATAACTACATCTGGCACAATAAACCGGTCGCATTTCTTTGCAAGTTCCTTCCGCAATGATTGCAGGGATATCTTTGATGGGGTAACGAACCCAATCAATCGCGAATCATGCATAATTGCAGCAGCGGAGCGGACACCGGGGAAGTTCAGCAGTGCTGGCACGACTTCTGTCTCGAGATTGATTAAGAATCCCCGATTTTTGACTTGGAGATCAATTCTGCCAATAAACGCAAATCCCTCCGGTATGCGCTTTGCAAGGTCACCAGAACGATAGTGTCGCTGCCCCTTCCACGTGATGAACCTTTGCCGGGTAAGCTCGTCATTGTTGAGGTACCCGGTTGCGAGACAAGGACCGCGAATACAAATCTTCCCAGCCTCAACCTCCTCTAAATTCTCATTCAGTAGGACGATCTCAATTCCTGGAATTATGCCGCCAAGGAATATGGGAGTATCAGGGCGCATTTCAACGCTCGAGATTGCCGTTGTGCATTCAGTCGGGCCATAGCAGTTGTAAACTTTGCAAGTTGGGCTTGACCAGAGCTTGATGAGATTTGCGCTGGGCGGTTCAGCTCCCATCCATATCTCTCTCAGGTTAGGATATTGAGCGGGAGAGTTCATTTTGGCAAGGATCGTCGGGGTTATGATGATGGCTTCACATTTTGTGGCCTTTTCCGTATAGTCATCCGAAGTGGCCATTATAATTGTGCCGCCGTTGCACATTGAATTGAAAATAATTCCTGCGCAGCCTGTCGCAATTGTTAGGCACAGAAGAAAACAATATTGAGGTAAAGGACCGACCATCAAAAGCGATCGAAAATAAGAGCAACACTTTTTTGCCTGGTTTGATCACCAAAATGCCATCGTAGTCTTGTATGATGAGATTTACGACACATGAATGGGGGATCATGACACCTTTTGGTTTTCCGGTCGTTCCCGATGTAAATATTATATACACCAAGTCCGTGGGCTTAAGCTCTTGCCGCACGCTGATGAGATATGGGTATTCCTTTAAAGACGGGGACGCCTCTGGCGAGTCCAGAATGTCACTCCCGATGATGACAACATTGTATCCCAGCAAATCGATAGCAGTGGTTGCAAGCACTGTCTTTGCACCAGTCGCTTCGAGGGCAGCGTCAAATCTGTCCCGACTCCAAGAAGCCACATCCATGGGCGCGTAGCAAGCTCCAAGCCTCAGAACACCTACAACTGCGGGAAGCATTTCCAGTGACATTTTGGTCAGAATTGGGATTCGGGAACGTGGTCCCAAACCGGCATCGTGGAGCAGAGACGCAACCTGGATGGAGGCTCGTCTCAGCTGGCCAAAAGTCAAGCGTTTATCTTGCCACTGGGTATTGGCGAGTATTAGTGAAACCTCACCTGGAATAAGGCGAGCAGTAAAGCCTGACAAAGAAATTCCTGTCCAGGCTTGCATGATGAGACTGGAACCAATCCATTTTAGGACGCCGCAAGATGGCGTCGTTGGTGCCTTAGGCTTCACGTCGGGTCTCGACAATAGACCTCTTCTCTTCATTCTCTTGCTTTGCTTGTCAACTTGTTCAAGCTCACACTTCTTTTATAATCCGATACCAGAACTTTTCTTACCAAATCATTGATATCGGCAACGCACCAGACTTTATTTTCGTGCCAAGTTGCCATGAAAGATATCGCGCAACTTAAATGGATTAATATCCGGCCAGGCGGAACAGAATGAACGGACGTACCGGATCTCTTTACCTGTGGGAGTCAAATGGTACCAAAATTGGAGCATATTATGCGCAAACCCAGAACCCTTGGCCTTCTAGTTCTCTTAGGTTTCCTTTTTGCATGGCTAGTCTCGACCTGATCGAGAACAGAGGATCTTTTAAACACCCCGCTACTGACCGATGAGAACAATAATTCTGCTAAGATCGTAGCTGAGGGGCACCCACCGAAATGCACGTCAACCCCTTTTGAAGACTCGACACAGTGGAAAATGCTTATAGCTATTCTATAGTTCCGAGACAAGCTCTTCAAGATTCCTACCTCAAATTTCACAATGCTGATCGAGCCAACAAGCATGCTCGACGGGCTAAAATATTGTCCAGTCAAAGCAATAAGCCACAGACAAGCAATGTACGATCGCTACTGAGCAATCACACCGCCGTGGCCTCCAATGATGATACTACCCATGTCATAATGTCGAGAAGGGCAGGATTGGAGCTGGAATCACGGGGGAGATATTTTCGTCTGTCAGTGGAGACTGAAGGTGTTGAGGATCTCATTCACAATTTTGATCAAGCATTGCTAGTTCAGATCCGCTGACGAGCAATGTGAGCAGTAAGCAATCCCGAGCGATCACGCTGGTTCCCGATGATGAAATCGTCAGAAGCGGAGAAGAGTTGAGGAGATTTCGGAAGGGAGGCAGTATTGCCTGTTGCAATGTGGGTCTGTCGAGTTGACCCGGTTTACCTTACAAAAACATAAGTAGTTATGGAGTGTGTAGTCGCCGAATCAGCCAGTTCTCAGTGGAGTCGATTCGTTTGGCTACTAGTCTCTAAAGTAGAGATACCATTAAAGCTTCCGCATCCGGCTCAGACGCATCGTGTGGTTAGTATAAAGCAGAGGGTTAAACTTCATCCTTGATCTAGGTTTAACTCACGCAAGGTTGAACCATATAATAGGGCTATGAGACCCGCAGTCCAAATCCAGACAATGAGATCCGGCCGCTTGATCAGCTCTAGACAGGCCGACTTTGAGCTGCTCCATATATTGCTGACGGAGAATCAGGTAAAAGGGTACAGAACGCTCTAGACCTGATTAATAGCCTAGTTCAAGATCCAGAATAGAGTTCTACTTTCGCTGGTATTGACATAATTGACCTAGCCGTGTACGCATGATCGTACGCTTGTCATGCAGGTAACCTGTCCGATCCGCACGTTATAATCGCATTCCTTATAATAAACCACCGGCATATCAAACATAGTCATCGGCGAGAAAATGCGGGACAGAGACGAGATCAGCCTGCTTTCCACAATAGTCCGTCAGCAGACAGTTTGGACTAGTATTGCGACCCTATTCATTGAGGTCATACTTTGCTGTATTACCTGTTTGCTTGTGGGCCTTGCTTCCACTCGTTTGGGTCCGATGCATCACGGTTCATGGCTTAGGTCACACATAAGACGTGGTTGGAATAAGCTTAAATAGAGTTAGGCATCTGGATCCGCCTCTGAGAGCTTCGGGAGGAGCGCTTGTTTGATTGCACTTAGATAGCCTACGCGTACCATCAGACAATGTGATCACGACGAAACATACGGGCGAATTAATCATTTTTTAAGGCAATCCATGGTTTCAAGATGTCAAATGGGGATCACAATTGGTCATAATCAAACGCCATTCAATGTGAGTCCTTCTAGGTTACATCTGGCCATAGCAATACCCGAACGTTGACGGTAACAAAGACCATTCCAATTGACGTCATTATTTCGTATCATATTTTGTCGAGCAGTATGTTTTCGAGGAGTCTTTTGCATAGAATTCAAGTCTTTATGTTACGCCGGGAAAGCTTCCAACATGCTAGTGTTACATTTACGAGTGAGATTGTAACTATATAAACGCTGGAAGAGTACTCTCCACGGCAATATTTGCACCATGTCAGATTTCTTAATCTGCACTATTTTTACACAAAGCATTGTTTAATCCCATAAAACCAATGTTCTTTGTCTCCGCTTCGAAGGCATTTGTTGCCCTTACTATAGTCAGCTACACTGGTGCCAATCCTCTGTCCCTGCCCCAATGGACCCTGGTCGGCCCCAACGATCAGCCGCCTCAAGCTCCAATCCAAGGATTCAACAAGCCCCAGAGTACCGCACACGGCAGCCAGGCAGGCCTTGGTGGGCTAAATGTCGACAGCATTAAATCTGGTCGCTGCTACTTCTTCACAAACCCGGTAGACGAACACTTGGGTTCCGATGGAGGTTATTATGCTTACCTGAAGTTCGGATCCAATGATCGTCGGCGCCCTTTCCGCCTCTGCAGGGAACTTGATACCTGTTCGCATGGTGGGCCGGTATCCGACCACGGCAAGTTCTGGTTGCAAGACTTCCATGGCTCCGGCGCTTCCAAGGGAAGAAACATAGTCGCTGGCAATGAATACGGCTATCTGTACCCCAGTTGCCCCGGGTACACCAATTATCTGCACTTCAAGGCCTATGACGACTCTGATGTCGGTGATGGCGAGGGATATGTCCGGCTGAAGCTGGTCGACGAGAAGGCTAATTATAACGGGCTGGAGATCAATGGCGCGAACTACCCCTATCTGAGTTCAAATCAGCAACAGACTATTTCAGTGAAGTTCCACCCCGTTCGATGCCCAGATGACGAAGACGATATGTCCGAGCTGTAAAGAAGTTTGCATACAAAAGGAATTTATGCGCAATATCGAGTTATGGAACTGAATTGGAAGAAAGGTCGCTTGGCGATAGCTGTTCGACAGATATAATGCCACAAAGGGGAGATTCAGAGAACTTTTCTTAAGTGGGGTACGAAGCCTATATTGAATACTTCTCAAGGTATATTGTATATCGATCTACACTTGTATTCAAATGGCGATCCTTCAATGGGATAAGCTTAAAAGTGTATTATCTGAAGTCAATGATATCTTCCATAGATGAAGAAAGGCGTCCTAGAGGCCATGTATATATAGTACGCTGCCACTATCCCCCAGTATATTTCCAAGTAGGATAGAAAGCTACTTGCATTACGCTAACATTTGAAGTCACTACGTATACAAGGTAAGCAACGGCCATAAACAGGAATCCTTTTCTTGAGCCATCTTTAGAGATTCGGGGGCTATTCACTGCAAAAGTAAATCATGGCAGTTATAAACTAAATTTGAGGGACATTGTATCGAGCTATCCCCGAACCCACGAGAACAGAGAAGTCTCTTCTAATTTAGATAAGTTAGTCTAGTCTGGGCGCGAGGGCGAGCAAAATGCAATTCGGACTCTGTCCTCTATCGAATAAATCTTGGGACACCAAGTCGGAGCCGTTTCATTTTCACTGAGATGAACCACCGTCTTGGTTCTCAAACGTGCACAACCCCAGACTTGCGAATGATCTTACCCGCTTGGATCGCGGCAACTTCCACCACTTTGATCCTATTGGGAAGAGAGAATTTTGTCTCAAACCCTTTCTTCTCAAACTCTCCAAGTAGCTTGAGGGAATTCTTGTCACTTCCAGCATAGACTCTATACTGTTCGACATCTGTGGCACCATTCCAACTAACATGTCCTCGCAAAGAGGATGATTTGCCCGCACACTGTTCCAGATCATCCTTTGCAGTAGCCTTGCTAACTACTAAACTTGGCCGAGTGGATGGAGTCGCATGCCACTCTTGCTTATAAGAGCGATAGCTTTGACCGAGATTATATCCGGCAAATTGAGCTGACCACCGCACATCTCCCAAAGGACCGTATTCCTTGATATAAGGCTCACTACCGTATCCCATCAAGGCATTTCCATTAGGCAATGGGAAGAAAGAGCCCTCTGCGGCGGATGAAACTGGGTATTGGTGATCGTAAAAGTTGGTTACCAGCTCGGGCGGGTGCTCTGGGCTTGGAGGAAACGTGAGACGGAGCGTGAGGCCTTTCGAAGGGACCGTGCTAGTTCCTGTGTTAAGGTCATTGGCGAACCAGCTGATAAGAGCCTGGGTAGAGGAGACATTGCGGAGGCGGGCCATGTGTTGCCAGGACTGTGTCAGTGATGGTTAGCGAAAGCGCACCGAGTATACAACATTTTTGAACGCACTTACGAATGTAACATTGTTTGGCAAGCTACCAAAGGTTCCTCCATTCTCTCCATCAATGTACCAAATGATCTCTCCCTGACGATTGACCAGGTATGTACGCCACAAGTGACGAGAGTTGATCAAATAATGGTCATTCCACTTCTGGATGGAGTTAATATGGAACCAATCGAAGGGAGCAGTCTGACTGGACCCGGAAAATTCTGCATGTGTTGCATTGATGTCCAGGTGTGCCAAGGGGCTCCAAACGAAGACCGGCTCGTTGGTCGCCAGATCGATCTCGACTGCGAGAGAGTCGTATACCCATCCATCCTTAGAGCCACCAAGGGACGTGAGATCAGCTTGGGATGTGTTGTATGCTGTCACCAGGATAGTGTTATCTTCAGTGATAAAAGACTCATGCACATCCGCGTCACAATCGGTAGTGGTACCAGTTGGCATGGTCAAATTCAGTTGTGGGCACACCGTCTTGATCAATTTGTACTGATCATCATAAATCTGCACTTTACCCCAGCCTCGACCAACATCAGCACCATACGCTGCCTTGCCTGTACCGACCCAGAAGGTAATGACAGACTGGTCTCCCCAGTACTGTTGTCGAAAATCGGATGAATCGCCCTCGGGTCCACCCCAGACGAGCTCATTATCATCCGTGAGAATGAAAGGTGATACTTGCTTTACACCTGTGTCCTCGTCATTCTCTTGACCAATGAAGAGCAGGCCCGGTGCTAGATTTTCTCCAGTACGATTGATCGTGAGATACGGTGGCGTAATGTTGGAAGACTTGTAGGTCTGCCAAGGCCAGATGCTGCTATCGTTCTGGGTGACTTGGCGTCCATTCGTGGCACATAGAGTAGTGCTACCAGATCTGATACCAATGGAGCGACCAAGTACCGGGGCGGGGGCAATGAGCCACCCAGCAGCGAGGGTGGATAAAAGGTAATGCATGATTAACGAAGAGTTGACTTACTGGCGACATAGTTTAGGAGTGGAAATTTGCTCTTTTATGCTCACTTCGAGGTAACCTGAAAATCGCCTTATTTCCCTAAATTCAATTGCTATTCTGTATAAGCGAGCTGCGGTAAGTATGTTGCCACCTCCTTGATAGATGTCACCATCATGGTTAAGCGAGAGTACAGGCTCCAATGGGATTGAAATCTAAAATGAGCTGTCAATCTAATCCATGTAGTCAAGAATCCGGCAGCTATGGACGCTGTAGATTAGTATATGATGCTTGAGCGTATTCAGCATAACGCGCCATTGCGTGCTCGACTGGAGTATTGCGTGATGACAGCACCCAATAACGGAGCTCGGGGAACTTCAAAAGCTTGTCAGGGCATACATAGATCGACATTGTAAAGCCCGACCTAGACCATGAGGGTTAATGCCATCCAGCTCCACGGAAGATGCCATGTTTCAATTTGATGGGATTAAAGCACTTGATCGGATTTATTCGCCTGTGACAATGAATCCAGTCGCGACCAAATAGGTCATAAAGTTGGATAAAATCAAGACTTGGGTATTTTTCTGGGCACCAGGGTATGTATGGCGAATCGCAACCCGCTCCCACTAGCCTTTCCTATTCTATCATAGTGCTCTCCTGGCCACCTTTTGATTGCCGAACAGATCGCTAATATTCCAAGGCACTGACGGACCAGGATTCTTATCTCTCAAGAGCCAGGAGATAATCCTGAAGCCGGAAATGCCGAAAAAAAACCCGAGGACAATGTTTGGTGAAATGTGTTAGGAAATTTTTCACAGACGCTACCCCTTTTCTAGAAGCAGGTAGACCACCTGCAAATTTGTTGCAAAACAAGACTCCATTGTAGATACGATTCAAGAGTGCAGAGCAAGCATAAAGTTTGTCTTTGGTATCAAGCATGAATTCAAGAGTTGGACTGAAATGGAACTTAATCGACAATATAGTGATGTCCCAACGAGTTTGGTAATACACCCACGAGACAGACACCTGCCAAACAGTTCAAGGGAAATCTCAGATTTGTAACACGTCCGAAGACAGATCGACACCGAAGGGTCATAGTACTAAGTTTTGCCATCACCCAAAAGCCTCCCCATGTAGGGAAAATTCAGTACCTCGATTTGGCATTCCGAGGTTTGTTCTCCCGGATGAGGCTGATTTTAATGTACTTGCAGAACCGGGATCTGTAGGGCTTTCGTTCTCGATAAGATAAGTTTAAATTACGGTTAGCCAATGATGCCCGTTCCGCCCATCTACCATAGTATGAGGCTCTAGGTAACACGGCTGTCAATGTTCAGACGATTTGTCGATATACTTTTTACTCCGCATTTTTCGGAGAGGGCGAATTGCCATTGCTAATGGGAACCGCTGCAGTTACGTTGAAAAAGGGTGCGCGACCCACTTAAATGCCCCGAACGGGCATTTCTCCGCACGCGCCTTCTCCTCACGAACTTTTCTTTTCTCCTCATTCAAAATGACACTCGCGCAGGGCTACTTTTGATCACATCCATTTTATTTTTCCTCACATGGCCCAGCATATATATCTTTGGTCTTGATCTTTGTTCCATAAATCGATTGCTAGATACAGCCCGATGCCGCCGTCCCGTCTTTCTCGCCTCCCTCCGTGGATCAGCCACTGGCTTGGTTACCGCGCCGCAACTCCGAAGCCACTGGCAACTTGGAAGATCGCCGCATGGTCCTTCATTACAGCTTTTTGTGGTCTTTCCGTATTACAAGGCATCTTTAACTATTCTCATTATTTCACCTCGCGTCATGTGCCTGGCATCATCGCGTCCTATGTAAGTTGAAAAGAAATTTCCTTGCTGACTCATAGACTTGCCTGGATTTGACCTCCTTGATTGCTAACAGGCCACGATTCATATCTATAGGGTGCATCGGCAGTCCTCGTGTTCGGTGCTATTGAAAGTCCGCTTGCTCAGCCTCGCTCCTTGATTTTCGGCCATTTTTTTAGCGCCTTGATCGGTGTCTGCGTCACAAAGCTATTCAGCCTGATGCCCGACCAAGCACGCTTCGAGTCGCTGCGCTGGCTCGCAGCTTCGTTGTCGACTGCTATTGCTATTGTTGTGATGCAGCTCACTGGAACCACTCACCCACCTGCTGGTGCTACTGCTCTGCTCCCAGCCACCAACGATGAAGTCTGGAACCTATCATGGTACTATTTACCTGTCGTTCTGCTCTCGTCCACGATGCTCATGTGCTGCGCTCTTCTTTTGAACAATAATATGCATCGTCGGTATCCAATTTTCTGGTTTACACCCGCTGCACCGCCAAAGCCTGCACCTACTCCTACTCCTGGGCCAGTTCCGAGTGCGTCATCGATGGTGGAGCCTACATCATCAGAAGAGAAGCTGCCCAAAGACTCTGTATAGCGTGTTGAGTTGGCAACGGTCAGATGCATGTAACAGTCGAGTGGTGCAAAATCATGCCTGGAAACCCTTGGGATCACCTTGGGATCACTGGGGTATATTTTCTGGCATTTGTCACCAGCCTTCGGGGATGAGCGCTGGCGAAGCGTTCCAAGTGGAACCCGAAAGACCCTACTGAACTTTCATTATTATAGATAGATCTCGATTTTGTTCTGTTTCAACGGCCGCTTCTCCTCTCCCCCTATGGCGGCTAACGTGTCGAGGTACACGCTCGCCCCAATAATCTTGTCACATTGTGGCATTCCCTGTGTATATAGTCACGGGTGGAAGACCATTTTGAAAATAATCTTTAACTATTCTTCTGAAGCTATGATGATCGTTTGGATCCGTTGCTATCATACAGGAGAAGGTGTGACACCACTTGACTTATCTTGACAACCCATGTAGATTAGATGGCTATATACTGATTTCAATAAGATCCTGTAAGTTGAGTCGCCGTACCTTTCATGATCACCGAGGCTCAGGGACCGAATTTAAAGCTAATTCCATCCACCAGGTAATAGGTGCCCAAGCAGCACGCAAATCGCTGCGAAGAGGGGAGGCCGAAGCACATCTCTGCTAGCCCGCTTCTTTACCCCATATATTTGGACCCTCGGAATCCCAATATTGATCCAGCCAACTGTTGATTTACTCTCTTACAGCCATGCGGCACGGGTTCTTTCACAGTTCTACCAGTCCCCTCCGAGGTTGAGTGCAGCCAAAGACATCCAGCTTGTAAAACCTGATTCGAATTCCACCCCCAGACAGTCAGAATCCGATAAGGACGCTCAAGCTCCAAGGTAGCGGCTTGATTTCCCGTTTTTGGGCACTGGTGCATTGTGAATACAACACAGCAATGCCACATTTTACCTGAAAATACCGCCCGTAGCGGTCTCTGGCTTTAGCGCCATAGTAGATCTACAGTACTACGACGCAAATGATCTTAGCCATAGGGCGCACAATAGTTAACAAGTGTTCAATCTTCAATTCGTAGAAAGTAATAAAGATCTCAGAGAGCACAGTTGTCATGCTAGGTTGGTATCCAGTGCTAAGTTGCACGGTGGAAACTCATCCCTAGGCCCGAAGTCACGGCCAAATAAAGAGAAAATAATGCAAGTAAACTGTGCACGTCCCTAAATATGAACAGTTCTCAGAAATCAGCGCCAGCGCCAATATCATACTGTATCCAGTCGTATCTCATTCCGTGTTCCGGTAAAGAAAAGAGGGGAAACGTCCGCTCCATTGCCCCTCACTAGTGCCAATATCTCATACGCCAATCATATACATACTTTTCAAACCAACCCAGATAAATGTATAAAATCATGAAAAAAGCTCGTTTGTCCTTGGGTAACTGTCGTTATGTATGAAGTCCCTCGGGGGACTGTTGCATCTCAAGAATTAATTCGTTCCATCTTTCAAACATCTGTCAATCTCGCCATGATGTCATTCACGTCATTGGCTTGGTCGTGCACTGGCTAATTAGAATGGTCGGGTAATGTCGGGATAACCCTAGCAGACTTCTCAATGGTCAATCACATGCCCCGATTGGTTTTCGGGTTTGAATCATTACTCAAAGTCCGGATCGATTTCAGATCAGCTTCGTTCTCTTACCGTATCACTTCTTGGCTGCACTGGACTATATATGGCGTGGCGCGGGGTACATATTAATTAGCGGCCTATGCCCGTTAGTATCGTGTATATACCTAGCACGCATCGAAAGAGAAATAGAGACAGAGGACAGAGGCTGCAATACTCACCCAGCTACCGACGCCTATAATATCTCGCTCTATATTGCCAGATTGGGAGGTGGTTCTGTTGACGGAAAACAGGTGAGATATATTGGATAAAGTAGTGGTCAAAATCGGCCGGGGGGGGGGTGGTGGGGGGCACTCATGATATATCATCTTGGTACGTACGAGCTTGTGGAGCTGGGCACTGACGTGACAGTTGGCGGTGTTGCTGAGCTTGTCGATGTCTCTTTTGACTTTGTCGGTGTTACCGGATCAGGCATGATGGTAAGTTGAAATGTACGAGTGTAGTGAAATATAATAACCGGGGTATACGGTGGGAGAAGGAAGGATCTCTGGGATTGTGGTCGTGCTTGGAGCAGAAGCGCATCTTATGTTCACTTGGAACTATCTAGACTGAACGGGAAGTAACAACCTGGTTTTATAAGAAACAATCCATTCAAAGTCTCCCATTAACAGCGCCGTCAAGCGCCAACCGTGAGAGGCACTATCCCACGATTAATTTCGGATGACGAGCATGACCGGATATTGGGCATAAGTCATTACTATACTCCGCAGCGAGCCCCGAAATTGTCCAATAGCAACTAACCTAAGTTTAAGATGAAACCCACTGGGACAACCTACCGCGACGCGGGACAGCTAGCGGCCAATCGCGAGGCGATTTCCAATGCATGATTTGAGCTCCGACCGTCGACCATCAATCTAAACGGCGCGGACACGCCGATGCTCGCAGTTTTGGAGAATTTCGGCCCAAGACAGAGCCCCATTTCACTAGGGATGCTGCAAAATATCCAGTTGCCTGCCTTTTTGTGCGAACCGCGACGCGGACTTCTGTTCGCCTGTTTTATCGCCATATATCTCTTGTCCTCGATATCGGAGCCGAGTGCTCGAAGGAATTTTCCTATTAAATCTATCCTTTTATATATATTGGCTCTGTATGCGCAGTACGTTACAGAGATCGCCGTCTTCTTTTCTTCGTGATCTTGATTTCTTGCTCCTAATTACGAACCATAGTGTAGCGGTTATGGCATGGTAATACACGACGAGGTGTCTTTCTGTCAGAAAGGAGGGGAAATGGCTGGGGAAATGGCTAAGCCCTATGAACGATGTCCCATTTCCTTGAAATAGAGTAATCGGTGTCATGTTTATTTCATTATTCGACATCGTATAGATTATTATGTCGTAATAACCCAGAGGCATAGCATAATAGCAAAACAAGGGGATATTACGACATAACAGTAGTCTGCTTAGAGTATGTCGTAGTTTTCTGAGCTTTAGAGGATGAATGGAGTGTACTCGGCACGTACACTATTAGGATCTTTCTCACTCATAAGGCAAATTAGAACAAGGTAGTAGGTATAAGGTAACGTTCGGTGCACTAGTTATAACGCTTATAAGGGGCTATAAGAGCAACGACGAACAGATCGCGGTGTGGACTATAACGAACATTAGGTAAACCCCGGGTTTTACCATGGAAAAATACAGAGGGAAGCACGGGGACCTAACCACTTACGAAAAACATTCGCGAATAGGCTTACTACTATTAACGTATTTCATAAGCGAGCTGGCCACCCAAGCGAGCTGGCCACCCACCCCCATTAGAAATTTTCAAAATCGATTAATTCAACCAACACCCATTAATTCAACTAGATATAGCGATTTTTACATACATTAATCCTGTGGCCAATCTCCCTACACCCACTACACCTAGGCGGGGCCCTGGTAGGTGGTTGAATTGCCTAATTAGGCAATTCGCCCTGCCCATGCGATCCTACCCCATCAGCTTCCACTGGCTGATTTAGCTGTTTAGCTAGTTATTGGCCCTCTTCAACGGTTAGACCTTCTTCGCAGGGTATCTGCCTATTCGACCGCTGGCGTTTCTGGCGTTTCTTCTCATTGGCCGCGCGTAGGTCAGCGTTTTCCTGGCTAAGTAGGGCAGCGCTATGCATAACTATCGCGCACCCCTTTACTAGCTGAGTTAGTAAGGGGGTAGGCGTTTGGGACCGGCTTTGGGACCGCCGGTTAAGTAGATCTTGAAGCATTGAAGATTGCTTATATAGCTGAGCGATAGTTCTAGGCGTTTTTGGGGCTAGAACTGGTGCTTAGCCGGCTACCTGGTGGTGTCGGCGTTCGCAGAGAGATATTCAGCTTTGAAAGGACCCTTTCTGTATCGATTGGCACTAAACCACTAGATGCGAAGCTATTTTGAATAGTTGATGGCTTTTGGAAGGCTTCTAGCCGCGCGCGTTGGTAGTCATCTAAGAAATCGAGCTTATCGATATGGTTATATCCTCGGCGGGCAAGATCGCTTATAAAGCGACCGTATGCTCTTTTAACCACTACAAAATAGCTAACATCTAGTGGCTGTAATAGATGCGACGCATGCGTAGGTATATAAAGAGGTATAATATCGTTTTCTGTATAGATTCGGTCGAATTAAGGTGTAAGGTGGCTACTATGGCTATTAAGGATTAATAGCCGAAATCGGCCGCGTACGCGCGAATTCGTTAATGGGATAAAGAGCTTTTGTAGCTAACGTAGGCTAATCTCATCGCTAGTCTAGCTATTGGTAGAGACCTCGATTCGCTAATCTTTTGGTAGCTTATCAAACCAACTAGCGATGGCAACCTTAGCTTTGAAAATCACGTATGGCGGAAGCGAATAGCCATCAGCGCTAATTGCCTTAATCACGGTAACCTATTCGCGATTTCCTGGTTGAAGCAGGCGACGGCTATTGCCTATCATTTCTGCCCGCGTAACAACCTTCTGCGAAGATATAAGGCCTATTGCAAATCCTGTCTTATCAAAGTTGTAGATATCCTCCGGTTGTATACCGTTCTCATCGATAGTGCGTTGTACGGTAGAAAACCACTCTCGTAGTAGCTTTGGGTCTTCGTTTAGGGCGCGTTGGTAGTCATAGCGTATTGATGAGCGTATACGAAGGTTAGGGCGACGGTTAATGAGATTTGACGGCCAATTCTCGCCAACAGTAGGCGGAGGGTGGCTACCGCGCGCGGCCAGTAGGATATTAGCCATTTCGCGTATAGTAGTCTTCCTAGGCGCTGCTCCACGCTTATCCATAGAGAATATCCATTCAACAAGCGAATCCTCTTCTAATTGAGTAAGCTTACGCCCATTTGGTGGTGTGTCAACGCGTGAAAGCGTGCCATTAGCGCGCGTCTGCAGAGTAGAGCGAGGCACATCGTATAGCTTAGCTGCCGCGCGAATAGATTGGATACGGCCTTCTTGTAAATCAGACAGGGCCAATAAGATCTTGCCCTCTTGATTGGCTAATTTCTGCCGAGATTCAGAGCGAATTGGTGGCATGGTAGATTGTTGAAGTTGGTGTGTAGGAAGGAAGACGCGATTTTAGATGGGGTGGCCAGCTCGGTTGGGTGGCCAGCTCGCTTATGAAATACGTTATTAAGTGATAATTAGTAAGGTGTTCGATTCTTCCCAAGTCTATACAAGAGCTACGTAGAATGAGACGGCGCGGATCACGTGCTAGTTACTTACGCCGTGATATGCGTGTAAGCCCATATGGCGTAACAATATCGGTAAGACTGACTGGAGTTCGTCATAAACCTAAAAACTTTTGCTTCCAAGCTATAAAGACATCTACTCATTCATAGCTAAGAGGTCTAGTCGGAGAATCAAAGATCCATAGCTCGCAATAATTTGCTTTGACTTCTAAAAAAACTCAAACCAGCTAGTTGTGACAAATGGCTTTTCCACCTTCTATCAGGCCATTTGCTATTTCCTAGATTCCTATGCAAAAGGACCTCGAATGTATGAGACGTATCCCAGCCAAGCCACTGACACCAACTGTGATCCTCGGTGTTTATATGAAAGCTTGATTTGGAACGACGAAAAAAGTCCTCCAGCCATCTTTTGGTGTCTTTATGGAGACAGCGATTAGAGCTCGTTCTACCAAAGGGCCCCAAGTGTGAGGAGCCTACTTTGGAGATGTCGAACTTAAACCGATTTAGCACCTGGAGAGTCTTGGAGGTCTCATCGAACCAAACAGTGGTTCTATTTAGGGTCTCCACCGATGGGTGATTGTCAAAGGTACATTAATGGGTAAATTCGACGAAGGTTTCATCGCAACCAATGTTAGGATCAGGTTGCGTCTGTTGTTTTCTGTGTTGCTGTAGAGCTTGGTAAGAAACAGCTGGATTTTGACATAGATATGAGAACAGTTGATGTTTATAGAATGACAAAGTAGAACAGGGGCAAATGTCGACTCGTCCTGCGAAGGGAGGGCGATGTAAAATTTAATAACCTGAGCGGCAATTTGCATTTGTGATATTCAAGCTGAGCCATGACTGGATCTTGGCCACACAGAGTACCAATGGGGAATGGAGCACTGGGTACAATGTATCCATCGTTTATTTTGAAGTCGAAGACGTAGGTCTGTTTTCTGCATTACTGACTTAAGTCTTGGGGCGGAATTCAGGTGTTTCTGCTGTCCATATATAGCATATATACTTTTACAACTGAGTGCAAAGCAAATTTGATCCAGGCGGACAAGAAATCGGAATATAGCTTCCACTATTTCCACTGGTACTTTCCGGAAGTGGTTGGCCTTCAGTGCGGAGAAGTGAGATTTAGCGCGCATATGATCACGAAAATTCAAAGGGCTGGGCATCTTAATGGGTATTTCAGTCGTGTGAAAGAAATAGTGTCAATATCCTGAAGAATACTGCAACTTAGCCTAAATGCACAAAGGAGTGTTTCATGACACGCGCTCGCGTAATAGACTCCACTATCTGCAACCTTTTTTGATCGACAAGATAAATTATTCCCTTTACGTTTTCAGTGTCGTACGAGCAGCTGGGTAATAAGATCATGCAGAATAGATACAACAGGCGGGTATTCAAGGGCATGATAACGATCCTCAAAGTGCACAGGAGCGATATTTCAGTCCAGGTATTCATGGAAACAGGCAGTCGCTGCGGCAGGCCACGAAATGTCTGTGCGAGTCTATAGAACAAAAGGGTCCGAAGATGAAGTTTTCAATTGATAAACCGGTCTATAACCATTTATTCGAGTTCCACATTTTAAGCGTACCATGCCTTGTAGTACTCCGGCACCTAGTTCCCATCGAGGTATCCGCCTCAAGGGTTCTTTCCCATGTGAGAGTTGTATCTATTGGCAACAGATCCTAATGCGGAACCATCCATATACGCTCTTTCCCCATGTATCTCAGGTATTTACTAATATACGGGATCTCCCGGAGTTTCCTCCTTCAGTTCCCCTTCGCCTGGTATATCCTTGATTCTTTGGAGATGGCTTTCGCGCTAACTGATCAACAATTTCTTGCGGGGCGGGCACATATGGCCTGGGGGTTTGCGACTTGGCGTGCTGTTCGGGCCCTCGGCCAGGGGTTGGCAGGCCGCCCGCACACCGTTCTCGGCTCCCGTACGTGGGATCTGCATTCCTTTTTAAGCAGCGCCTTCTTCAATAGAGATATTATGGGAGGCGGGGGTCGCCCAGACGGTGAGGGACGGGAACCGAATCACGTGATATTCATAAGCTGTATTGCGATCAGTTGTTGCCACGTGATATCAGTTGCAGTCAACAAGTCACGCGTTTCACACCGTTGGTGCCTGAGGTGCCACTGGTCTAGGAAGAGGAAGTACGTTCAACGTTGATATTCGCGCGAAGTTGGTGGTTTCCGAACAACAAACGCACTTCTTTGGGACTGTCTGCTGCACATAAGCCACATGCAAATTCTGGCTGTTGTATGTCCTTGTTGTTTTTCTAGATTTTCGCTTTTACTTCGTGCTTTGCTTTTTCTCCTACGGTCTCCCTCAAATACGGAACATTTTTTTCTCTTCCTCACGGGCGGGGTCCTTTACTAGCTCTGTCAGGTCTCTTTCAGTTATTGATGGAACAGGCGTGCGTAGAGCAGCCCTTTCAGGAGGGCATTAGCATTTCATAAATAGTGAGAGGTCCTTGCGTAATTAATTCCGCACCACTTTTAACCGTATAGTGACTGCTCGATAATAGGGGAAGGTTGATGCTTGGTAAGGCTGACATATAGTGATTCATAATCTTTAAAGTGGGCTCTATTCCCGCTTACACACTTTCGGCAATTATCCAGTCCGTATATCCGATGCGATATGATTGGAGAACCAAAGGGTCAGTACTCTGTGTCAGCGGGGCTGATTGCGAAGCACCCGCGGTCGCTATTGGTGTAATGCCTCTCAACGGCGGAAGGCAAGGCAAGATTGTGGCACGATAACGAAAAATTGAACCATCGATGGCATTCCATACTACGGGAAGTTTTTTCCAATGAAACTGATCCACAATTATATAAACCCCATGGCCGCCATGTATTCATCACACCATTCTAATTGATCAGATCAATATCACTACGATATTTCGTCAAAAATCCACCACGAAATCACCACAATGGGCTCCACTGCTGTTGAATTCAAGAACCCTGCGACCTCCACTCTGCTGGAGGTCGTCAAGGCCCGCCGGACTTACTACGGTCTGAAGGCGGAGAGCCCCATCTCCGACGATGCCATTGAGCGTATCGTCCAGGACTCCGTGCTCCACGTCCCCAGCTCTTTCAACACCCAGACTTCTCGGATTGTTCTGCTCCTGAAGGAGGAGCACAAGAAGGTATGGGACATTGCCATCAGCGCCATGGAGGGCCTGGTTGCCGCTGGACATGTGCCCAAGGAGATGTTTGAGAACCACACCAAGCCCAAGCTGGATGCCTTCCGCGCCGCTTACGGAACTGTACGTATCATTTTGATGACCAACTAAGCCATTTCCGAACTTGAGATGGAACGGAGATTTCTAATTGTTGCGATAGGTTCTCTTCTTCGTCGACTACGAGTCTCTCGCTCCCATCAAGGAGAAGTTTGCCATCTATGCCGACAAGTTTGATCCCTTTGCGCTGGAGTCTAACGCCATGTCCCAGTACCTTGGTAAGTTAAATGACATCATGAAACAGTCTAGAGAAGAGAATATGAATCTAACTTCGGAACTTATAGTGTGGCTCGCTCTTGAGACTGAGGGCTTCGGTGCTAACCTCCAGCACTACAGCCCCCTGATTGACGAGCAGGTCACTAAGACCTGGAACCTGCCTGCCTCTTGGAAGTTGGACGCTCAGCTGGTCTTCGGTGTCCCTACCTCTGAGCCCGGCGAGAAGACCTTCGAGCCCCTCGAGAACCGCTTCAAGGTTTTCGGCAAATAAGCATTATGAAATACTTGTGACTTTAGCGCTACAACTAGAACAATTCAATCATACACCTAGACTTTATTCCACATGTACCGTACCAGCGAAACCTCGCGCGTCTAAATATACGTAGCTGTGGTGCGCTCTATAGATTGTAATATGACTACTGTATTGAGCCTGACAGAAGGCAGCTTTCCAATATTCTAGGCGTGGTGAACCCTAAGTGCATCGTCAGTTAGAATTAAGCCCCCATAAAACGCCCGCCCTCGGTCGAAAAATTTGCTAGAAGAATAATTAGAGATAGGTGAAGCCGTTCAATCTCTCATTTCGAGCAATTCAATTGAGTAACATGGTCGCGCTGCCTCAATCAGTTAAGCAGAGACGATAAGTCCCAACCTGGAATGGCCCCAAGTCAACTTTAAATGCTCCCTCATTGACTAGAATCTCTTCTTCATCATCTTCCAACAGATTTGTCTTGAAGACCTTGCTGATATTCCATACACTCTCTACCGATCCTCGGGATCGGCCACCAAGGGAATCGTAGATCCGGAGAATGACACTTCTCCCCTTCCGAGCGGGGACCTCTCCAAGACTGATGTCTTCATCATCCTCTCCGCGCTTGATGGTGTCCAGAACAAGACTCTTATCGCCTCTCAATGTAACATGGGACTGGTTGAGTAAAGGAGTGTCCGATGGGGACTGGAATAGCTTGAGAGGGTTGTTGAAGTTAAATGCCGCTCGAACGGTTCTTGAACTTAATCCACCTTCATGTGGCAGGATGGTCCACCGGATAGTGTGTTTGCCCATATCGGCTGTATCGTCGGGTGCCTTGGGGGATCGCAGTAGAGATAAGCGCATGACGTTGCCGACTGTCGCGAATCCGTATTTGCTGTCGTTGAGAATCGAGACACCATAGCCATGTTCAGAAAGATCGGCGAATTTATGGCAGCAGACCTCAAACTTGGCCATATCCCATGAGGTATTGTAGTGGGTGGGACGCTTGATGATTCCATACTGTGTCTCGTATGCCGCCTCCGTGCTGCGAATGTCGACCGGAAACTCCACTTTAAGGAACTTCATGTTCTCATGCCAGTCAATGTCCGCGGTGCACTCGACGCAAGAATAATCGTTTTCATCAAAATTTGCTGATAATGAGATGGTGACCCGCATAGAGCTCTTGTCGCTGATTTTTGTTTCGGTAGTAACGCTGACACGGTGAAATTTATCTTCCGTCACAGAAGTGATGGAGCTCGCGAGCTCCTCTCGAGTGTCTAGGTGGTAGACTTCTACATCCCAGGCTTGCCAATAAACTGGCTTATCGTCGAATATGACGAATTGATTGGCCTTCTTTCCATGTGGAATAATCTCGCGGTCAGCTTTCCGATCGTACAGCGACACGATGCAGCCTTCTTCGACAATTAAACATAATTGCTCATTCTGAAGCTTGAAAACTCCGGCTGTAATCTCGTGAACCGTAACGGGTCTTTCCGTCGACACTGAAGAGACTCTTTCAAGGGTTACTAAATTTCCGTCACCCGAAGCCACTAGGCAGGAATCGTCCGAGAAGTCAACAATTTCCTTGCGAGGCCAGGGAAGTGTATTAAGAGCGACCGTATGTTGAGGCTCCCGCAGATTAGCCCCGGTTGACTCCAGGTTGAAACGTTGGTAGAGGGCTTGGAGAACATTCTCGCCTGTTTTGAACACGTTTTCATAGACCTGTCCCTCATCCGTTAGCCCAAGGAGCCGATTACAATGCTTGCGCCTTAATAACGTACCTGATCTGAATCATCATAGCACATGCGAATCGCAGTTCCTGGAAGGCAGTCATGGAATTGACATAGCAAAATCTTCTGCCACATCTGGTCAATCTCAGACTTTGGGTATTTGTAAGATTTATCCGCTATTGAGGCAACTGTAGCGAGAAGCTCAATATCTCGCATCATGAACTCGGCTCTCCGGTTGTTTTTCTTGGTACTTGACTGGGTCGTGTATGTACCGCGATGCAGCTCAAAGTACAGATCACCAGTCCAGGTCGGGAATATGTCGGCCTTGTACTCTAATCGCTTGAAAAATTCGTCTGCAGACCCTCCCACATGCACTCGGGGTAATAGACCGACTGTATCCGATATACCACGACAGCGTCTGAGTCGTTCTAAATGCTGCCAGGTTGGACCACCGCCACCGTCACCTTTTCCAAAGGCCATGAGGGAAGTGTGATCCTGGTCCATGGAGAAGTGGTTCGTGACACATCGCTGGACCTCAGCAACAGAACCTTCTGCAGTGTAGGTTTTCACAGGGGGCATATGGCAAAGCACTTGACTTCCGTCGAGTGAAACCCAGTTAAAAGTGGTATGCGGAAATTGGTTGATATTGTTGAAGCATATCTTCTGCGTCAAAAAATGCGGCATCCCGGCCTGTCTGGACAACTGTGGAAGCTGGGCACAGAATCCAAAGGAATCTGGCAGCCAGAGAACATGGCTGCGAGAGCCAAAATTCGCTTCGAAGAATCGCTGTCCGTACAGAAACTGCCGCACGAGCGACTCTCCGTTGGGTAAATTTGTGTCATGTTCGACCCAGCAGCCACCAATCGGCTGGAATTGACCAGATTGAACCTTTTGTTTCACTCGTTCCCAAGCGTAGGGGTACTCTTCCTTAAGCCACTGAAATTGCTGAGCTTGCGAGCATGCGAATGTCAGTTCAGGATATCGTTCCATCAAGTCGCATTGATTGAGCCATGACCGAGCAACCTTTCTCTTGGTTTCCGCCCAAGGCCATAACCAACATGTATCAATGTGGCAATGTCCAATCGCAAAAACATCGAGATCTTGCTGATGATTAGTCGAGTAAATATCACTTGAGCTCGTTCTCGGCCCAAGATATTCCTCGGCAATCTTGCGGCAGCGGATAATTGAATTATTGTCGCCCAGCTTGAAGGTGTTCATGATCTTAGTGCCTACGCTCCGCGCTTTATGTTGTTGCCAAGATTCGTCTGGTAACACGGCAGCAGCTTCATGAATAGCCATGATGTCCATGTAAAGCATCCTCGCGTTCCAGTTCACTGCAACAATCTCTGCCTTGGATAGAGCGAAATATTTGTTTTGATCAGGCGGCTGAATTGAATCGCCACCGGGGTTATTCTTAAAGATCGGTCGGCCTGGGCCATTTCCAAATATGCCATTGCACGCCATTTCAATATATATGAGATGTTCCCCCCCATCTTTGAAAGATTCAGGGACAATCCACTCAATGCGCTCTCCTCGTCCAGTAAGACCTTGAAGAGGCCTGCCGTCCTCTGTCCAGACAGTTGCTTCATTGTTGCAGTCCCAGTGCAATTCGACATGCTCATTGCTGCATATTGTGTCAGGGAGTTTGATATAGATTTTGAACCAGTGAGTAGACCACGAGGGGCCAAACTCCTGACCCAAAGCTGCGTCCTCATAGTGATTGGACGGATCTGTGGCTTCCTTGAAAGTAGGGCGTCTGCCAGCTGGAGCATGCCAGGCAAGTAGATTGATATGAGGGGGGCCAGAGAATACCCCTTCATTTAGCATGCTGCCCGCTCATGTTAGCTAGTTCATAGGAAGAATTGATCTCCTAGATCGGTGTACACACGCAAGAAGATTGACTTTGTGCCACTGCCCTGGAGAATATAGTTGCGCAAGACGGTCTTTGTCCAGCCGTGCAACCCGCTTCCCTATCGGCTTACCAGCTCGGAGGGGATATGAAGGCGGGTTTGCATCAAGCTCGTGAGAACACATTGTTGGATTAGTTTGGATGTGAAGGTTGGAAAACGCAGCGAGTTTACACGATCACCTTGTCTAGCAGATAATGACTTTGCAGGGAACAAAAGTCAGCCCCCACGTCTTCGAATTTGGCCGAGGTTTATCCACTAGGTAGTGATCGGGTACCTGTATCCGAAATTATTACCCGGATCAAACCCTCGATGCTAGTATTGGTAAAGACCAGCACGCCCAGGCGCCGAATTCCTCAATGATGAGGAAAAGATTATCGTCAGCAATTTGCCGATTCGTCGTTCGGACTGTGAATTCCGTAGGGCAGGCAAAGGAGTCAATCTAAGCGAGCAGCATGACCAATAGGATAAATTCGATACCATAAGCCCGGGCACACCGCAGGAATGCTGGTTGTTCTGGTTGGAATGACCCAATCATGGAGGGATAAACAAACGCTTGATTCCGGCCGACGCGTCGCAAGCTTCGCGGGGGCTTACCCCAGATCGTCCTAAAGCTTCCCCGCCTCCCCACAGAGACGAGTGTGGAGTTGAAAAAATCGTGCCAGAGCCAACAAGAATACGAGAAAAAGATGGAGGTTCGAAAGGTATCAGTAGTCATGGCTTAAGCGGTTGAGCGATAAATTGAGCGCAGCAGCCGCTTCCAGTGGGTCTTTGACGTCGGTATCTCACAGACCCAAACTCGTCTCCCTCACACTCAAGAGCAAATTGAACATCAACTGCCATGAATAAGACCAGTGAGATAAATGAGGCCCCAGAGGTCGTGGAAATGGATATGGTGAAGGAGCATATGAACTATGACCTCATCGATCGTGAAGTTGCCGAATATGCAAATGCGACCATCGTAGAGGTTGACGAAGTTACCAATCGCCGACTCAAGAAGCTCATCGATAAGCGTGTGATGGTAGTCATGGTTGTCACCTACCTAATCCAAACATTGGACAAAGGCACCATGTCTTATGCATCCATTATGGGCATCCAAGAAGATACCCATTTGGTGGGCCAACAGGTCAGTCGCCCATCGTATTTACCGGTTTGGGCCTAAAATAACAGAGCAAACTTTGATCAGTACTCGTGGATGACGACAATTCTATATATGATCATCCTGGTGGTGGAATTTCCGGTACCTTCTCTCGAACGTGTAGTTTTGAAAATTCACTCACGTCTCGACAGGAAAACTACATCATTCAGCGAGTCCCCATCGCCAAGTGGCTATCAGGAAATATCATGCTTTGGGGTGTTACTCTTGCTCTCCAGGCTGCAATGAAGAATTTCGAAGGTCTGATTACCTTAAGAGCATTCTTGGGTGTATTTGAAGCTGTCAGTCAACCGGCATTCACGTTGTTGTCGTCTATCTGGTACACGCGAGAGGAGCAGGGTGGAGCCGTCACATTTTGGTATGCTTACGACTCAGTTGATGGGTGAGGAAGTAGATGATGCGTTTTGTTCTAATTTTATGACCAAATCTTGCAGGTTTATGATGAATGGACTGAATCAAATTCTTGGTGGTCTTTTGGCATTCTGCTTTTCATTCATTCCCGACACCTCTCCGATCAGCTCCTGGCAGGGTCTCTTCATGTCATATGGCATCATGACCGTCTTCTGGGGCGCATTTGTTGGCTGGTGGATGCCAGACTCTCCTATGAGAGCACACTGCTTTACTGAGAGCGACAAGCACCTTATGGTAGAACGTGTACGTCGCAATCGTACCGGTTTGCAGAATCGCAAATTTCGCAAAGACCAGGTGTGGGAAGTGGTCAAAGACCCACAAGGTAGGTGATAGACAGCTCTTCCAAATCTCTCTGACAGCTTGTTAACCCCGCAAAGTCTATGCAATCGCACTTATCCAGCTTTTGCTTACTATTCCTTCCGGTGGTCTCGGTGCTTTCAACAACATCATTGTCAAGTCATTCGGCTTCACCACTTGGCAAACCCAGCTGCTGCAAATGGTCTCCGGTGTGGTCCAGCTCACTGCTATGCTTAGCGCTGTCTGGATCGAAAAGCGGTATAAGCAGACAATATTCGTCATGATGGCCTCGGTCATACCCACAATCGCCGGTGTTGTCGTGCTCCTAACCGTTCCCTTCTCCCATGATAAAAGGGTTGGTCTTCTCTTCGCCTATTATATCATGATTGCATACTGGGGCTGTGCTGGTCTTGCTCTTTCAATAGTGACACGGAATGTCGCGGGTCAGACGAAGAAGAGTGTGGTCATCGCTTGCAATTTTGTGTTTTGGGCTGTTGGAAATGCGATTGGGCCCCAGACCTTCCGATCCAAGGATGCGCCGCGCTATTTTCCGGCACTAGCAACTGTGCTGGGCTGTTTTGTGCTTCTGGAGGTTGTTTTGCTTTCACTGCGCACTTGGTATATTACTGAAAACAAGAAACGCGACCGAAAGGTCGAACAAGGGGAGGTGACAGCCGATACGGCGTTTGCTCACTCTTTCGAGGATATCACTGACCGAGTAAGAAAGAAAGAATTTTGCTTTTCCTTGGTAAAGAGTGTACGATATGCTAATCAATTTGTCTAGGAAAACCCAAACTTTCGCTATATCTATTAGTGGCGAGAAACTGCGCAGGCACGATTAGTGGATTTTTAGTCGCAAGAATAGTAGGCGAAGAGTATATATTGGAATTTCGCCTAGAACGGCATTCTATCCAGACGTTGGAGTGCGTGCAAAAGAGCGTCTAAATTCGGACTTTGTAATACTCTGAATAAGAGCTCTTGTATCCCAAAATATACTTTCCCAGCACGAGCCCGCCGAAGAAATTCAGTACTATCCCTAACGGTTTCGTAACAATAGCAGGCCCAGGCAGAGCAAGAACGACGCCGCCAACCCAGTTGAATAGGAGGACCTGAGGCAAACTTCGCGGCACCCCAGCCTTGCGACAATCATCTCGATAAGATTGTACATTGCCTCAATAACCGATCAGTTAGATGATAAAAAGTTTATGAGTTCACTTTAAATACGGAAGAACGCTTCATCTCGTTCGCGCCATTGCGGCTCGAGAACAAACTCGATCACCAGTTCCTCCGATTCGCTGTAGTTGCGAAAAGTATGAATCGCCTTGGCTGGTATTGTGATCGAATCTCCCGCATTCTTAAGTATCCTTTGACCATCACAAAAAAACTCGGCAGTTCCCTCTAGAACATGGAATGTCTCGGTTTGGTGACGATGCCAGTGGGGTGGTGGCCGTAAGGCGATATTTCTGCTTGCTTCACACGAGCTGGGTGGCCAACGATTGACCACTAAATACCGGTCGGTCGGAGTTTTGAACTCGATGCGAGAGCGCCCTCCATCAAAAATAACAGGGTTCTGATTGGCAGTCACTGTGCGCGGAACTCTTCTTGCGAGGAAGGAGAGCATTTTGCGTGCTCAGTGTGGCCCAGAAGATGTGGAGGGTACGAGGTGGATAAGTGGAGGTGCCAGTGACCGAGGGGCGCGCGCGGAAGACTTTCCCTCCGAACGCGTCGCGGGAGTCCCGTTTGTACAGGATTTATCTGCAGTCTCGAGGCACTTGGTTTGAGACTACGGCCTCAATGAGACAGAACATAAATATCTTCAAACAAGAAAAATCTATCGCCGCCGATCCGCCGAATAAAGGAATTACCATACTTAAATATTCAATTCCGCTTACGATCTTACGGTCTTTGAGACGGAGATAAAAGCCATCTCGGTTGAATCGCCCCGCAATATACCTACACGATCCGTGCCTTTTCCGCAACCAACTTCACGAGACAGAACGTTTAGTAAACATAGCGGAATCTCAAATTCTCTCGATCCGTCAGATCCTCGAATCCTTCGAAATTTACAGCCTCTTCAGTTCCGAACCCTTCCGCACTGGCCAGCTGGTCTTTTTTAACATTTTGCCGCTTGAGGTGGAACCGCAGATATAGCAAAACTAGCTCCAAGAGCGTATAGCATCCAAGGTGGATGCTGAAGGCAGTGAAATACCGAGGCGCATCATGGGTCAAAAATATCTGTGGGCCTATTTATTCATAATCACATTAGCCAAGGAAAATGAATCTAAATCTGAAAATCCGAGGGCAATCTGACCTATCGCGTTACCTGTAGCCCAGGCAATAAAATTGGCGGCAATGACTGTCGACTTCTTAGTCTGCCCGGCAATATTTCGGGAGATCATGGAGAGGGTAAGAGTCTGTGCGGCCCAGAATGAGAGCGTAATGTAGTAGCTTAAGAGTAAGCCGGCTTTTGTGGCCGTCGTCTTGTTCTGCACTGTCATAAGAACAATAGTTCCAATGAAGGAGCTGATTATTGGAAGATATGTTAGTACATGCTTAGACTACGGCGATCGTAGAATGAACTCACGGAATGCAGTAAGCCGCCATGACTATCAGATTTTGATTTGTCTTTTTGACGAGCCACATCGAAGTCAGAAGGACAAAAATGATGTATGCACCCAGAACCATAGAAAGGAGTTGAGTTTGAAGTGTTGTAAAGTGAAATCCTTTGATGATGATGTTGGCAAATGTTCCGAGTCCACTTGTTGGCAAGGTTGTGAAAAGCTGAATTCCACAGTAGCACCACATTTGAGGATCTTTTAAAGCCTCAATAACCTGGTATTTCCGAAATTTCTTATTCTGAATACCAGTTCGGTTGTCTCGGACTCGTTCAATCATCAGCCTCTTGTCTTCTTCGGAGAAACATTTTGCTGTCATAGGAGAATCTGGCATGAAGACCAACACGAAAATTCCGAAAAGTACCGAGAAGCATCCATATGTGATGAACAGAGCTTGCCAGGATTTAATGACTTTATCGGAGCCAATCAGACTAAACAGATAGGCCAATAGACCCCCGATCATCTGCTGAAATCCATTCATCATATACCTACAAGCACTCAGCGTCTTGGTCACTCATATAATCGGGTGCAACGTACCAGAAAGTAACGGTCTGTGCCTGCTCATCACGCTTATACCACATACCCGAAAGGCGAACGAAGGATGGCTGAGCGCAAGCTTCAAATATGCCGAGCAGAATACGACATGCCAGGAGACCTCCGAAACTTTTGACCGTTGAGTGAAGTGCCAGAACAGATCCCCATATAATGATGTTACAACCAAGGTACTTGGCGATTGGAACTCGTTGGATAATCCAATTAGTAGGATATTCAACCACCAAGATTGAGAGGTAAACGCAGGTTGACAACCAAGCATACTGTACCATGTTAGTGTTCTCTAGTTGCTGCAACCAGCAGTAAGGCTCACCTCATTTCCGTGCAGGTGGACATCGTCAAGTATGCCCATTATACTTGTGAAGCTGAGAGTTCCTTTGTCTAAAGCCTGCACAAGATAGGTGAAGACCATAATCGTAAGGACTCGGCGGTCAATCAGGCTTTTCAGACGACGAGAAGTAGGTTCATCAACGTCAACGCGCCCCATGCCTGCATATTTCTGGACTTCATGGTCGACACGATCTCCCACCTACGTTGACTTCAAGTCCTCCATGTCTGTAGGGATCTGTTGCTCAAGATGGATAGAACCCTTCACTTCCTTTCGCTGGTCGTCTGCCATGTTTGGATGCAGTCTGACCAGGTCTAGTACCAACGAGAGAATCAAAATAAAACTTTGGAATGAAGCGTCAGTCTGCGACAGTGACTCTACCTTAAAAGAAACATCAAGGGCTAGAGTCGCGGTCTCTATATAGTCTTTATCCGTGACTCGACCGTTAGTTTGACTATTGACAATACTGTAGACAGGGAAATGACTACACATTTTCCATGCAACCCACATGTAAGGCTTATTGGAGCTTAACCCCGCGTTGTTCTCCCCCGGATTGACGCAGCCCGACTAAGATTTGCCAAGACGGAGAAATCATTGACTAGACAAAGCGAGTCATAAGCACTCGCTTCGCAACCGAAGCCCAACTATCCCTTCAAAGTATTGAGCAAACCTTTGATATATCTTACCCGTTTTCACTCGGTATATTACTCCCCGAGCCTTTGGTATTTCGAACGTTTGGGGTAAAAATGCAAGAGGGGTGCAGATTGAATGATAAGACAGGAAAACGAGTACATCAATAATTTCATTACTGACCATTCCTTGATTCAGCCGAGACACCAAAACCCTTTTGATTGATCCTTTTATTCACCACAAATTTCTGTTGGAGCGCCAAGCCATGTCTGCTCAAGAAATTTTCTCGATCATTCGACCAAGCGCATCAGACATAAAAGGCACTATCAACAGCCTCATCCATAACCTAGTAGATATCAAAGATGAAACTGGGCGTTTTCTGCTCCATCTATCGAACGGTTGCATAATTGACACAAAATCATGGAACGGCTGGGAGTGGACTCATGGAATCGGCCTTTTTGGGATCTGGAAATACTACGAATTGACCGGCGACCCCTCGCTTCTCAAGATCATCGAAGACTGGTTTGCTGCCCGTTTCGCGGAAGGGGGCACCACCAAAAACATCAACACTATGGCAGTCTTTCTTACCTTAGCCTACGTCTACGAGAAGACCAAAAATCCTACATATCTTCCTTGGCTCGATACATGGGCCGAATGGGCTATGTATGGCCTACCACGTACCCGCTACGATGGCATGCAGCACAAAACATATGCCATGGAGCACAAACAGCAGCTTTGGGATGATACGCTCATGATGACTGTGCTACCGCTGGTCAAAATCGGCAAACTACTTGGGCGCGAACATTATATTCTCGAAGCCAAGAAGCAATTGCTGATCCACATCAAATATCTGTGCGATCGCAAGAGTGGCCTTTTCTATCACGGTTGGACTTTCGAAGAAGGAGGCCACAACTTTGCTGGTGCGCTTTGGGCCCGTGGAAATAGCTGGATCACTATTGTCATCCCTGAAATTATCGAGCTCATGGAGCTCTCTCCAGCGGACCCACTTCGTTCATTTCTCGAAGATACTTTGGATGCTCAATGTGAGGCACTCCAACAGTTGCAAGAGCCCTCTGGCTACTGGCGGACCTTGCTCGACCAAAAGGACGACGGTTCGTACATCGAGGCATCGGCGACGGCGGGATTTGCCTTTGGTATCTTGAAGGGTATTCGCAAGCGCTATATTAGTGAAGGCTACAGGGCTGTGGCAGAAAAGGCAGTCGGCGCTGTGTTGAAGTCTATTGATGAGAATGGCGAGCTACAGAATACTAGCTTCGGGACAGGAATGGGGGACGACCTCGATCATTACCGAAATATTGCCGTCACGGCAATGCCTTATGGGCAAGCAATGGCCATGATGGCTCTTGGAGAATATTTGAGAACATACATCTAGTCGGTCTTTTTACGTTAAGGGCATGGTCCTAAATTTTTAGGGAATAACACTCTTTCTATCTCCTTTGTCTGTCGCTTTTCAAAATTCCAACTCCAACCCCTTATTTACGAGAGCCGAACAAAAGACTTCCTTCGAGTCAGAAACATGTTAACGCACGAGGCTGCGCAAGGGGTCAAAGCTCTGATTGAGTTTACGTGTCTTAGCTTGGCATGTACCGAGAAACAACAAGCTCCTGGGCGCAAGGCTTATCACGTCTCGTGTTGGCTTGGAACTCTTGGCCAATAGGTACGCCCCTGTGCAGAGGAAGCACTCGAATGGAGGGAATTGTTGCACCAAAGTCCACAAATCATGCGGCTTCTTCCGAGGGCTAGCAAGGCTACTTGCTGAAAACCCAAGCAATTGGTCACAGTTTCGCTGGCTCTAATACTGAGTTGCATCTGTCCATCGATCAATCGCAACCCTCGGGATAATGCAACCCGAATCTTACGTCTTAAAGGACTAGGTCACTAGGATCGATTGTGCGGGGTAAGCATGCGAGGCGGCGAAGGTGATCGCGACGTGTAACCTGAGAGACGAAGAATGGTCGGCGGTAAAGTTTTTCATGTCAAGAAAAGCTGAAGGAAAAAAAAGCACCAAACAGTACTGAGCCTTTCTTGCGTTTTGAGAAACAACCCAATCTCCAAACTTCATGGCCGAGGACCAGATGCGAATCACTAACGGGATTTCCCTTCAAACTCCCACATTCGATAGCCGCCAAGATGGCCTTGGAATAGGCAACGCCGCACCTAAAATATCTTGGCGATTCTTGTACAATGATCTCAGCGTCAGAGGCTGGCGGCAAGAGAGCTATGAGATTGAAGTTGAATGTCGGGATACTGTGGAAACATATCGTGTGCAGTCCCCTGAATCGGTCCGAGTGCCATGGCCCAGCTCACCTTTGAGCTCCCGAGAAAGAGCCACCATTCGCGTCAGGTCAATAGGAGTCTCTCAAGATGTCAAAGATCTCACTGCAACTGAATGGTCGGATTGGGCTTCAGTTGAGGCGGGCTTACTCGAAAGGAAAGAATGGCGTGCTCAGCTGATCACAGGCCAGCAAGAAATATCTCTTGAAAAGCCAATCCGACCTCTTTTGCTAAGGCGTTCATTCGGAATCTCCAATATCTGCCCAAAGATTAGCCAAGCACGTCTATATGTTACTGCGCAGGGGGTTTATCATATTTATCTTAATGGGAATCGCGTGGGTGACCATTTCATGGCACCAGGTTTCACTTCATATCGATTTCGGTTTTCCTACCAAGTATTCGACGTGACAAATCTAATCCAGAACGGCTCAAAGAACGTTCTTGCTGCAGAAGTTGGTGAGGGGTGGTATGCCTCAAGTCTGTGGAGAGAAGGTCGGCAAATATATGGCAAGGACATGGGGTTGATCGCGCAGTTGGAGATCGCTTTCGAGGACGACCACGAGCCCCTAATTGTGACCACGGACGCGGGCTGGGAATGGAATACTGGTCCCATGTTGGCTAGCGAGATCTATGATGGGGAGACTTATGATATGGCACAGGAACAGCCAGGTTGGAAGACTGGTGCTCAGGCTCAACCAGGCACGCGGTGGACCAAAGTCACCGTCTTGCCCCTCCCTGCTGCCACATTCTCAGCGCCAGATGGGCCTCCTGTTCGTGCAACACAAGAGATCTCCCCACAGAGAATCTTCAAATCCCCTTCTGGAAAACTACTGATTGATTTTGGACAAAACTTGGTGGGAAAAGTAGATGTTCGCGGATTGCACAAGCCAACTGGGCATCGGGTGATCTTCCAACATGCCGAAGTTCTAGAGCATAAGGAAATCTGCATGCGTCCACTTCGCGCCGCAAAATGTACGGATGTTATCGTATGCTCAGGTGGAGAGCTACAGAGTTGGTCTCCTAGCTTCACATTCCATGGTTTCCGGTTCGTTCAGGTGGATGGGTGGTCTCCAGAAGATGAATTTTGTCCGCTACGCGAGGAAAATATCGCAGCGATCGTCTTGCACAGTGACATGAAGCAAACAGGCTGGTTCTCTTGCTCCGAGGAGCAGATAAACAGACTCCATGAAAATTCCATTTGGAGTATGCGTGGCAATTTTCTTTCTATCCCAACAGATTGCCCTCAACGCGATGAACGCCTCGGCTGGACGGGTGACATTCAAGTTTTCAGTCCTTCCGCGAACTTTCTATACGATACCGATGGTATGCTTGCAGACTGGCTTGTGGACCTCGCACTGGAGCAGAATGAGGACAATGGCGTCCCTCCAATGATAGTACCCAACGTGCAATTTGCGAAAGAGTCACGGCCACCGCAGGCTGTTTGGGGGGACGCCTCCATCCTGGTCCCATGGGCCTTATATACATGGTTCGGAGACAAAGAAATACTCTCACGACAATACCAAAGTATGAGATCTTGGCTAGACAGAGGTTGCTCTCGTGGTGAGGATGGGCTGTGGACGACGTCGCTTTGGCAACACGGGGACTGGTTGGACCCATCAGCCCCGCCTGAAGATCCTGGAAATGGTCAAACAGACGGCGTCTACGTGGCCGACGCATACTTGGTATATGTGACGGGAATTATAAGCCAAGTAGCAACGATTCTTGGATGCTCTGATGATGCAAGAAAATACTCCGATGATCATGTTCGCCTCAAAAAGGTCTTCCAAGAGAAATATATTACCCCGAAAGGGATGGTCATGTGCGACACTCAAACCTCCTTATCACTGGCATTAGTATTCTCGCTATTTGCGTCGAAAGACCAGATCAAGAATGCCGGGGAGCGATTAGCTCGAAAAGTGCGCTTTGCTAAATTCCGTGTTGCCACTGGATTTGCCGGGACACCCATCGTCACACATGCGCTGAGCCGGACTGGTTGGCACCAGCTTTCATACAGAATGCTACTGGAGACCAGTTGCCCGTCATGGCTCTATCCAGTCACAATGGGAGCTACCACAACCTGGGAACGGTGGAACAGTATGCTTCCAGATGGCAAAGTCAATTCAGGCCAGATGACCAGCTTTAATCACTATGCGCTAGGTTCTGTCAGCAACTGGCTTCATGAATACGTTGGAGGTATCAGTCTTATTGAGCCTGGTTGGAAGATCTTCAAAGTTCAGCCAATTCCGGGCGGGACTATCCGTAGCGCCGATATCCAATATGAAAGTCCGTATGGCTTGGTCAAATGTTCATGGAGTCTGGATGATGATTCGGTTTTTTCTATGAAGGTTCAAATTCCTCCCAACTGTTCTGCACTGGTCTTTATGCCAGAGATGGAGGTCCAGCCGAAAGATCGGCAAGGAACAGTCTTTGGCTCTGGAATTTACGACCTATCTTGTCACTTTCATGCTGGTACATGGCCCCCGACTCCACTCGAAACCTTATTTAAGCCACCTGCACGAAAGGCAACGAGTTGAAGACGGAAGAAACGATTATACATGATCTGATAGATATAGATTGAGATTGAATCAATGGCGATTGTCTCTAAACACAAACCGGCGATCACTTTGAGTGCGCAAAATTCCTTACACCAGTAGAGCCTGTAGCGCAGAAAATGTAAGATTGTATTTTCACATTTGAGCTCTGTCCAGGCCGGGATTAGATAGATTCTTCCTCTGCCTTGGAAAGAGTCTGTTCTTTGGTCAACTTCGGGTTTCGGATGCAAAGCGCGAAGATGATCAATGGAATAGTAAGACAAATGCCGGTGATACAGAGTAGACGCTGTGTCTTCTGGTAGGCGAGAATCACATTATCCCTGTCGGAAGTCCCGACGGGGTTGGCGTCAGCAAAGAGCAGAGGTTGTGCGTATACCTCTGCCGCAAGAGTAGCATTTCCAAGCCTATGAGTCAGCTCTGCTGGAAGAACTTGATTCCAAATGGCACCAGAAATCGTGTTTCCCAACGCACTACCGATGTTGTAAGAGGCAAGATAGATTCCAGTAACGACAGCGAGGTCTAGTATGTGAAAATGTAAGTTTCCATGTCGTAACGAGACTTGGGCACTTAGTAAACTCACGCTCGTGTTTTGAAACAGCCTGAATACTAGCTTGAGCAGGATAGGGGAACATTCCACCGGCTGGGAGAAGTGTTAGCAAGCAGAGGAAACCTGTCGATAGATAATTCAAACTCATACCGAGACCCAAAAGAACCTGTCCGCCAATGACTCCTGAATGACTTGATCCACTAGAGCCCCCACGATAGTGGATGAGGATGCCGAAAGCGATTGTAAACAGAATTGTGCCGGCGACGATAAAGGGTTTCAATTGTCGGACCCTGATAATAATAAACCCAAGGATAGTCCCGGCAATGACAGATGTAAAGCTGTAGAGTGAAGTGATGCGAGTGGCACTCAGCACCGATTCGTCGAAGCTCACATAGAGCACAGTGTATAGGAAATCACCCTGAAGATACCAGGCTAGGAATCGTTAGATCATTTTCCGACGCGGAGGTTAGCGCAGCATACCGGTATTTAACATGACTGCAATTCCGAGTGCTCCCCAGACACCGCGATCTTTGAGGCGCTATATCAGATGGTTTGTTAGTCTTTGACCGATTTGTAGCGCCCGGATCAGGGTTGAGACTCACCCTGAACGGCAGCATAGGATATTTACATGTCTTTTCCCAGTATGCCCACAAAGGAATTAGCAGAATGCCGATTACCAGTGGGGCAATGACTTTCGCGGTTTTCCATTGTGCGGTTACGCCACCAGCGAGAGTGAATGGAACCAAGATACAGGCGAGCATTGCAATCATTAATATGATCCCCACAACATCCAGATGCCAAAAAAGCTCCTTTACAAGGCGACGACCCCCAATCAGGTCCATCGACCTTTTATAGGACTCCAGCTGACCGGAGGCTTTGGCACGGCGGTGGACACTGAACAAGACGGCGATCAAAGGAAGAGCACAGACGGGGTAGATGATGGCAAACATTCCGATGCCCCATTGCCATGAAGTGACTTTGAGGACGGCAGTCGTTAGATTTCCACTTATCCAAGTGTTTATCTGTTGGTGACAAATTTAGTCATTGTTAAGATTATAGGAAATGAAAGAAGCGCTCACAATGAATGGCAATGCAGGGATATAGGAGAAGAGAAGTCGGGAACGAGTGGAGGTAACATCAGCGATCAAGACCTCCACAAGCAACATAATGCAAGTATATCCGATCTAGACTAGAAGTCAGCTCATGGTATTAGTAAAGTATTTTCACGAAATTTTTACCTGGTAAATAACGGCTCCCGCGCAGAAAGCTTCCACGCTCTTAGAAAAAGTCTCGATGATTGTCCCTACGGTGTAGAAGATAATCGACACGATGATAAGCTCCACTCTGCCAAAGACATCTGCAATCTTTGCAGCCGTGGGCTGAACAAACCTTGTCAGTCAATCCGGGCACTGTCGTTAATGTCCAATGAACATACCTGTGCGGCGGCAGCGATGACGGCACGAAGAACATTAACTGTTGCCAGAAGACTATGTTGTCCATAGCTTTGAGTCGCATATGGCTACTGTCTTTAGTCTTTCTTCTATCCCGAAAATTGAAAAGAGAAATAATCCCAATCGGGAACATACCTGGTAGGTGTAGCGGACGGTGCCATCTAGGCCGTAAACATAGGCGATAAGGAAAACGCTGAGAAATAGAAAGATACGGTCCACAAAGCGGAAATGCGAAGCGATGATCTCAATGCGCCGAACACCAGGGCTTCCCTCACCCAGCAAATGGATTTCCTGGGAGGGACCGACTTGGGGTTGCGGGGCCTTCTCCTGGTTCTCGCCGAAGCGATCGGCACTGGTGCGTGGTGCGGGAATCTCTGCCATGGCGACTCGTGACTGGCGACTGGCGACCAAGGACGTCAAATCTCTTACAAGAAAGAGAATTTTTTTTCATGCACAGTGCCTACAGTCCCTTTATAAGACAGGCACCCTGTAGCCAAGCCTGTGGCCTAAGCAAAAGTGCTTTGCGTTCGGAAGCAATTCGTGCCGCTGAAGAGGGGATCCACAATTTTCCATCTTATCTGATGGAATCAGGTGGAGGAGGCTTTCCTACCGCCCAAATCAGAGAGCCTGATTCCTTGCCCAGAGAAACTAGGCCCTTGGTCTACATGTCTCGACCACTCACCGAATACGAAACTCCCCACCTCGTTTTCTCGCCACGATTTGCAATTTCCACAGGTCGCGCACCATGCCACCGAGGCCCTCGGTGGCTGAGACATTTGTACGGCGGTTCCAGTGACCAAAGGCAAATTATGAGTAGACTGCTGCTAAAAGCACCCAGGTTAAAATGCATACATCATCTTCTCATTACATATATCGATTTCTCAAGGTTCGCTATTAAGAAAGTAGAGAGGAAATTGACAGGATCTTTGGACTTTGGCTTTTCTCCAAATCGTCTCGTTGTACCCCCTGACTCTGCTGCCTCCGAAGACAAGCCTGTCCTTTCTGAGATTTATGATGACTACTCAACATATCCCTTCGAGCAAATGGAGTTCGGCACCCTCTACAGACCCAATTCTTTTCGCCGGAATGTGTTCTCATGTGACGCTTGGAATCACTTTTCCTAGCGAATGCTCTGTTGCAGATAGTGCATGAGTATGGCATGGTACGGTCGTGCGTCACCAAATGTGACTTGAGGTTGTATAGTCTTGTAAACGTTTTTGAGCAATGTTCGCAGCGAAAATTCTTTGAGGATTTTGACTTGATTCCAGAGTTTGGCAGGAATTGTGTTCCAAGCTCTAAGCTCGGAATCATAAGCGCAGCGGGTGTATCTTGTAATCGTTCTTCGCAAAAGTCGTTTGGGGATTGCATAGATGCGGAAGATGCGGTATTTGATGTCCCCAAGCCTCCTTGCTGGGTCTGGTAACTTATCGCTATACCCGTCAACGCTTGGCTTTCATCATGCTGAGCGGATAACTCAGGACGACAAGTTTTCATAAAGCTCTTGCGTACATCCTGTGATCCAACCCCAGTCATATGACCCTTCAAATTCCTACTTGTGTGCTGCTTTGATCGTATGCATTTCTCGTCTTTTTTGTCAAGATCTGGAGTGCATTTCTCATAGGCCATGACGGGCAGTTGATGGTCTGTTGTATATAAGAGTATTCCTCATATAGAAGTAAGTTGAGGCTCATATAATCATCGTCGCAAAAAAACCAGGAAGCGAAGGAAAATCATAGAAATGGAGAGAGTATGAGCACCTACCCGATGCGGCTCTGCGAAGAGCACAGCCACCCCACCCGGGTTTCAGCTGGGCACCCAGTTGCCCGTAAGAACTTTTAGCGGGCTGCGAAATAGGCAACGCTCCGCGAAAGAAACCAAATTGTAAGCTTTAACCCCATCTCACTCGATCTCATCTCGAGCTTGCTTATGCACCTGCTATTCCCAGTGGGTAGGCTGACTGAAATGCGTCTTTGGTTTCTTAACGTGACCAGGAACGATGAGCTCTTGGAACTCCAATGACCACAAGCAGACTTCACTATATAGGCGAGCAACTTGGGCGTAACCGTTATCGTTGTGTTTTTAAAACTCGAAGCCCACAGTGCGTCTGGCCGCCCCACCCTCCGGCTGCTTAGGCGTAAATGAAGGGCTGTGGTGGTAATGATGAAGCAGACTATTATAAAGTCGATATTTGTTTTTAACATATATTATGGATTTCCTTCTCTTCCCTGATACTTTCTTAGCTACAGCAGTAAGTAATATGACTTAGAAATTTATACCTGGATCAGTGCTCCTTCCGGAATTATCGTTGCTTTAATGTATACCTATCCTTAGAGTCATGTGCGCTACTGAGACTACGGCTTAACACTTATGTTACTTGTCGCCCTACTCATGTTCAGCTCCGAGTCTGATAGACTAATTCGTTGATTCGCTAAACGAAATATTGGTATCTATGGAACGAGATTGGTCTCTTCACTGCTACCTGGAATACCGGGCGATCCGGTGGTTATTTAGGGTAGGAATCGTCAAGGTGCTGGTCGGTACACAATTAACAAGGGCTTATCATACGAGCTTATATCTATATGAAGTTACCTATTGGGTACTTCTAAGTAAAGAAAAAAGCCAGAAACTTTAGGGTAGAATATATGTATTGGCTTGATTATGTCGATTATTATCTAAGCAAAAGTTCAGAGGGAACAAGCCTCTAGTTCAATTTTGCTGTCGTTTGTTGTAGTTCTTAGTGAGGTCAATTCGCGTTCTTCAATTGATTTTCCAGACCCAATTTTTCCAATCTCGGTCTTCTTAGGACTTCGTAAGAACGTCTCTTATATGAAAAAATCTACCACATATCGGATTTGGGTGTTTCAATAAGTCGAGCGGATCACTTCGATTCGGGTCGCCGAAGTATGTTTAACAAACAAATTTTGACGAACCCAGTTTCCCATTCATGGCATAGCTTGCTTGACGTTTTTACTCCTTTGGCAGAACATAGCGCGTCCCTAAATGCCCGGCACCTGATCATTGAAAGTTGTCTAGGCTTGGTGGCTACTGTACTTAAATGAGGGGCATTAGATTTGTCAGCTGGTGCGGTAACGCCTGATCTCCAGGGCTGGCGAGGTGATGACTCGACTTGTCTTACCACATCCGAGTCCATCGACTTTCGAGCTGACAATATCAAGGCCGCGGAACGTATGGATGACCCAAGATGGATAACGCAATCCCGATGGACTCATCTTGTCAGCGGAGGAAACCGACCCTTGCGTGCGAAAAATGCCGTGTCCTCAAGGTGAAATGTATCCGACCCGAGGAGGGACAGCCTTGTACCAAGTGCGCACCAAAGGCCCGACCGTATACTTTCTTTTTAAGCTAAGTTTAGTAGATGTGTCAGGTCAAACTCTCAATGCGTAGTTCCCGAACCGAAACAGAGAGCTCGAACTTCACAACGAGCAAAGCCGTACGTGACCCTGGAGGCCTCCACACTTAACAGGTCATATTTTGCTGACATGAAGAGGGTGAAGGCGACTGCTCGATCTTGAGTCCAAGCTCACCGATATACTCGGTCTTCTTTCGCGCTCGAATGCCCCCATGTCCGAAGAGGAGTTATCCGTGCATGCAGATTTGGGATTGCCTGCAATTCACGGATATCCTAGCGATAGTTCACACCGAACGACTGGATGCATGAGCGCAGAGTACCTGGGTAATTCTGAATCGATTGAAGGTTTGGAGTCGGGCAAAACGCAGATCACAACCGAAAATATCCTGGAACATCCGTGGGACTCATCTATTGCCATTAGTGCCCCGTGGATAATTGATTTGGGACTCGGTCCTGTCGTCCTCGAACATCTTCTGGACAGATTCCGCAGCATGGTATCTTGTTTTCCATTCGTACGGCTTTCGAATGACTGTACTGCTGCATCAATGGCTAAAGATCGACCTTTTCTATTGCTTGCAGCTGTTGCTGCTGCTTCCTCAAAGTACTGTCACCTGCAGGATGCTCTGATCAGACGATTCAAAGAGTCCCTAAGTGAGCGGGTAATTATGGCCGGCGAGAAGGACCTAGACTTGCTCCAGGGGCTACTTGTCCACCTTGCCTGGTAAGATCTCAGATCACGGATGATCTCCTACTTTGTTGGCACCAGGGACACTTGCAAACTGACGCATGGAAGGTTCCATTTCCATTTTGTTCCAGGGAGTCAGCAAGCCTACCAGTACATCCAAATTGCAATCAGCATGGTCATTGACCTTTGCCTTGATCATAAGGCTGCGGACCTGCTTGAGCAGCGAATTGATCTTGGCGATACGTATACCCTGGAAGCGTGCCGTGCACATATAGGTTGCTATTACATGTCTAGCATGTATGATCCCAGTTTCCACGAGGGTATGAGGCTTGAACTGACTTAACTAGAATCACAATGGCTTCCGGGAAGCCCAACAATCTTCCATTCCACAAGGATATGCTTAGATGCGCGATGATGCTGCAACAACAACCACAGTTTGAGACTGACCTCTTGATATACCCGGCGATCAAGGTTTCGCAGTTCACCGAGGAAGTCTGTGAGACTTACCAGTTGGAAGGAATTCATGGCTCTCGGTTGCACATTCATGCAGAGCGATTGATGACGTGGCTGGAAGAATGGTGGTCGTCCCTATCGATGGATGTTCGCAACACGGGTAGGAATTTCTCAGGGTCCAGGCTTCCCGTCCAACCAACTGACTATGGAAACTGACTATGTCACAGTATTGATAATCAACGGCTATTATGCTGCCAAAATCCGAATCCAAGAGATGGGCTTGGTCTATTGCTACGGACGGAGAAGACCGCTGTCTCCGAAAACGCAGGAAGGTTCTACTCTATTATCCGCACATCCGATGGTCATAAACAACTTGATCAAATGTCTCAGTTCGGCTAAAGAATATCTTGATCATTTCTGCGCCCTTCCAGCTTCGGAGCACAGGACCTTGCCATTCTCCGCTTGGTATCAGGTTATTTTCACAGTATTTGTACTGTACAGATTGTCCGTTGGGCTGCCAGAAGTACCTCAGTGGGACGTGGAGATTGCACAACAAACTCTGGATCTACGATACTACATTGATACACTATTGTCTCACTTACAGGAAATAAAGCCATTGCCAGACAGGAAAATTCCGACCAAGAGCCTCTTTACGAGGTTGCCCGAGATTATAGGAAGTGTGAGGACTTCTTATGCATTGGCCAAAGAGAACCCTGCAGAGGTTCGTGATAGCCACCATGCTCACCACGACCTTATGTCTTCAAATAACGCATCTCCATGTGTGCGACCGTTGCACCGCTGCCCTGGAATGCGGTATTCAAGCCGTCACGTCGATGATGCTCAGGGTCGACCGGGACTACAAAGCGCTATTGCTACTGAAGTCCAGAATATAGAAGAGGAGACAATTTGGGGTGATATTCTATTCATGGACACATTTCCTAGCATGACAGATCCATCATCTGTACAGGGTTGACAAGTCATCCATGTTTCCAGACCTCAAACCCGCCAAACTGCGATTCCAACACAGCACAGCGTTACCTCAGATCTCGTCAGGGAAGACGTGAGTGGAAATTTTGTTTCCGACCGAATCGTATCGCGGGGGAAAGACATTGAAAAGCCCATCAACATCCCGTGGTTCAAAATCAAGCGACAATGCCGCTTGAATGAGAATGTCCAGCCCAAAAGTCTCTTTGATCCAGTGTGCAACCATATCCATCCCCGCCACAGCTCCACTCCCAGTCCAAATGTTGCCGTCGATAATCCACTTCTTCTCCTTCGTCCAATTGACATTTGGGTACTTGTTTTTAACCCAATTGAACTCGAGGTTATTGACTGTAGCCCTTCTGCCATCTATAGCGCCAGTAGCAGCAACGACAGCGGAACCGGTACAAGTCGTAAAGAGTAACTTCCCAGAAGCAACATGGCGACGAATTAGATCCTGCAATTTCGGAGGAAGGTTGGTTTCCCTAGGACTATCCCCACCGACGAGGAGGATATCCAGTTCGGGGACGTCGTCCACAGTGACCGTAGGCACCATAGTCACAGAACTTGTAAGCTGGTGCACTGGGTCCAGATTCTCTCCGATATGATGGAAAACGAAGTCGGGCGCCTTTTCCAGAAGGGCTGGATCCACGGGGGTATACTGATTGATACCTTCCATGAGCATCTTACTCGCGGAATTGAGCAGATCGCAAGGTCCAATGACATCGATTGTCTGGTAATCAAAGACCAGAGCGCCAACGTGGATCGGGGCCATTTTGATAGGAGTATTGAAAGAGAAATATCAAATTTAGATTGTATGTATGTCAATTGTTGATCATATTGGCTGTAATTTCCAGCGTTTAAATACTGCCACTCTCCGGATTTCATAATCGCGGAGCGGGCTGAACCCAAGCATCCGTCCTCCGTGGTAGACGGTCTTGGCACGGGCAAAGAGAGAAATTGCTGAGCCGTGTCCGTGGTCGTAGCTCGTTAGGGTAACAAAGGATTTGAATCTACTAATCTCATTTGTTCCAACAAAAACAGTCACTTATTTTGTTCACACTCGGCTGGCGCGACCTTTGCAATGTCAGGCTGGGATCGCCACGCCTGGCTTTTGCTTTCCTCCATTTACCACGTTATATTAACTTCCCCTAAATATGAATAAAAACATTCTATTATCGGATCATTCCACTGTGTGTTGACAATATCGAACAAAAGCAATCGAGGGGTACGAGCTCTCTGTTTATGGCGGCCTTCTACGCATGGCAATTCAAACACTCGTCCAGTAGCTGACCCGCTTTTTCATCTCTAGACTCCATCAACCACATCTCGAAAAGTGAAGTCTCCCGATTCGATGAGGACCGTTTCATCCATGCACGAGAGTATTGATCCCTCGGCTTAGTGAAGCTGGAGTTCTCCCTACATAGATCCGGGATTATCTCTTGAGCAATATTTTGGGTATGATTAATAAGATAATTCGAAATTTGTTCGGGGTACGCTATAGAGAGTAGAGCAGGAGTTACCCTAATTAGGTAGTCTTTATCTGTACAGTTACACGAACCTTTTAATAGTGCTATGATTTTGCTAACCTACTCACTAAACTAAATTCGTATAGCCTTCTTGCACTCCAGATACCGCAGGGTCTGAAATCCGAGCTCAAGGAGGTTTATCGACGTAGCTTTAAGCAAGCTTGGTCTTGATAAAGGCCAAAGCCTGAGAACCATACTCAGATCCATAACCTTGGTGAGTCGCCGCATTGCTACCATTGCAGCAGTACGGATCCGAAGCGTCACAGTAAGACTGAATCTTACTAGCGGAAGGGCAAGAAAAGCCAGCCGGGCGCTCATCGAACTATTTTCAGCCGTCAGTATGAACTCAAGAGTTTCAAGCCGGAATAAGGAAGACGTACACCGCCAGCTGCACAAGTTCCAACATCATACGACAGACCCGCTCTGAACATCGGATCGCCCATGAAAATTGCAGCCTTGACCATGTTGACAGCTGCTGAAGAAAGCTGCACAGCGGTGTTGGTGTATCCCTGATTGGGATCGCCGCCACCGCACAGGGCCGCATCCATGATCTCGCCACCCTAAAAAATTTCTTTGTTAAGTTTTACTTCCTCGTTGCACTATTTGATTTATTAAAGTGAAAACTAACCTGCGAGTAGCCAACCAAGACCAGTTTGGTGCTTGGGCATTGGGAATTGAAGGAGTTCACCGCGGATGCTACAGCAGCGATACCCTGAGCGACCGAGCTAGAATAGCTGACGCTTCCACAAGAGGATTGTCCACCGCAAGCAGGGTAGCTAATTGCCTCCGCAGTTGAGCCCGAATAGGCACTGAGAACTCCGTTTACCACAGTGCTAGAAGAGCCATATCCAGGAGAGGCGGTGGTTTCACGGGCACCGAAAACGTGTATGGCGGGACAGCTGCGCTTCTCCATGCCTCCCTCGAGAGGAATGGCAGCAGCTCCAATGGCAAGCAGCGAGGCTGTCAAAAGCTTAGACAGCATTCTGTCTGAATAACTTGACAATTGCAGATTGGGAGTTAAAAAATGGTAATCGAGACCTGGGCAATCAAAATATTTCCGGTATATTGTCTCCTCTTTGACGAGTTGCAAATATGGAGATTTATAGTTGAGCTGGATCCCATATGACCATTCGAAACAAAGATCTGTTCCATGTCTCCGTGTAGCATCTTGACAGGTTCGAATCCACGATCCATTTGACCGAAACAAGGGTTTTGGCTAATATTGTTAAAGCTTGAAGTTTCACCCCAGACTTGGCAGGCAACATGCCCCATTTAGCCGTGAAGAGGTTGGTATAATCCAATCAGGCTGAATCAATCGGCGTCTCGGGGCGAGGACGCCAGAGAGAAACGAGCATTTCAGTTTGAAACACCAAAGAGTTACGGGACTGTCTCGGAGTGTGAGTCCTGAATAGGAGGGATCTGCGCAGACCCTGGGGTATTTCCCCCGCATTGATGTGCCGTGAAGAAATGCAGGTGCCCTTTCTATTTTGCCGGGTACCGATACAGCCTAAGAGGACATAGTCAATTCTGGGGGAAAGGATTGTTTTGGATCGACGGTGATGTACCATGTCTGATGGGTCATCTATACATGGCGGGAGGCTCCCCAGTGGGTCAGGATCCTCGTGTGGGGTTCGTGGCTGTGAAGATGATGGTACAAAGCTTAGTGCTGACACGACTCCAGCTGGAAAAAGCATTTCTGACTTCCCCGCTGCTGACATCATGAAGTTCTTCATTCTCTCAAATCAGCCGCCATGGGAAAATTAGTGAAACTCCTGGGCTCTGGTATTGGACTAACGTCCGAAGCCATCCACGCTGCTCGGTCGCGCTCCCGGTCGCGATCGGGCCAGCCATCATCTTCGGCGAGTGCCAGCAACACCGCTCCTCCAGAGTATGTTGAGGTTGCTGATGATACGGCTGAAGCGCTCATCCGTAGTGGGCAGGCTGAGCGGGTGGTCAACACCGGCAACGAGAAGCACCCCTCCAAGGCAGCCGAAGCTGGATACGATTCTGAAGGCGACAGCTCGGAGTCCGAAGATCTCGAGGCTCTCGGCCAGGATGAAGCCGCCTGGGAGCTTGATGACATGGCCGAACGTGTGAGGCTGCCTACATATGACGAGTCAGAAGCTGCCACCGCTGCAGAGCCAGAGGATGCGAAGGTCAAGAAGGAGGAGGCAATGGTGCGCGAGCTGGTTCGAAGGGCCGGAACACCGCCTCAGCCATCCCAGCGTCTTCTCTGCCCCGTCATCATACCCCAGCGCCGTCCTCGAAACAAGGGTCGCGGATTTGTGCGTGCATATGCTCCTGTACTTGCCGATTGTGGTATTAGCCAGGATGTTTTCTTGCAGTTTTTGGAGGATTGTGACACGGCTAGCAAGGTTGGTCGATGTGTTCTGCCTCGTCGAAAGAGCGAATGACTCAATCAGCTGACCGACATCTTGCAGGCTTCTCCATGGATTGAGGTCGTCTTCGTGGCTGCTACCATCGTCGGCTTCGTGCCCGAGGTCACCGCACAGATTGTGAGCACTGTGGTGCAAGTGGTGGCAGGAACAGCGCGGGAATTGCAGTCGAGATCTCGTCGCAATACCTTCCTGGATCGTGTCAACCAGGACTTGCTCATGCCTCGCGAGCTATTTGCCATGGTTATGGCATTCAAAGACGAGATTCCTGGTCAACAGAGCGGGCCCCTGTACCGACTGTCCAGCTCGATCGGGAAAACTCTATTCTCCAGCGAGACACTTGACATTAATCAGACGGTCGCCAAGTATAGCAGCCCGGATCCGGAAATGTCCAAGTTGAAGAAGGGTCTGAAGGATATACGATTGGCGAGTGGTCAAACGCGGGGTCAAATTGAGCTTCCCGAGGCTGCAGAGCTGATTTTCCCTGATATTGACCGAGTCGCAGAAGAGGCCTTGGAGGGTGAAAGCAAAGGAAAGGAGACTGGTGCTCGTGACAAATTCAAGAATGCTGGTACTTGGGTCCAAGACTACCTGGACCGCCGCGGACAAGCCTTCTATGTACGTTATGCCTGGACAAAGCCTGACTACTGATTACTCCGTGAATATATGCTTACAATGAATCACGCAGGAAGCTGAACACCAAGGATCCTCCTTGGCTGTCCCCTCGTCCGACCGAAAGTCCATGGTCTCACGCTACAATGACCCTAACCATCCCGCCAACAGCGGCTCATTGATCTCACTCATCACTGGCGGTGCTATCAACCCGGCAGCACGAAGACAAGCCAGGCGAGAAGCCAAGCAAGACTGGAGAAATGCCAAGCGTGAATACAAAGATGCCAGGCGTGTGGCTCGCGGTCGAGCTCCCCGAGGCCCTCGAAGGGTCAAGCGAAAGGGTCAGCGGAAGACCATCCTCAAGAAGATCCTGCATAAGGACGTATTGTATCTACTGATTGTCAATCTTCCCAGCCAGGAAGAAGTTCAGCAGTCTGTTACACAGCTTGAACAAGTCATGGCACAGACTGGAGCACACTAAGTCGCTAGATTGAGCAATTACTGAATCTACTCATAGTTTTGGAGGTTGAAGAATTTTGTCGGATAGTGACGTAGCTCATAGTTCTGACGAGGCTATCCGCTATGGCTCATAGAAGGGAAAGAGTCTGTTGAAATTTCAAGTTGAAGTGTCGATAGCTTACTCGCGAGCATGGCCCCCAAAAGCCCAAGGGGGCCCGGGCGTGGAACGCCGTCAAAGCGGGATCCCAGAATGGCTTAGACCCGGCCATGGCACTCTACAAATCCAAGCTTTGGTCTATGAACATTGTGAGTCAGGTAAGCTTATGCTCGGCGCTTGATGCTGTGCTGTGACTCACTTGATCTTTATATTGCGAGAGGGAACTCGCCGATCTTTCTTATTTTCGTTTTATTGACATTTTCCTCCTCTCAGCCCCCTTCTGAAGCAATCCGAGCTCACAGCTGACACCAGCTGGATATCTTCACATTTTCCCGTTGCTAATCTCTTTCCGCGCCAGTCTCAACCTTCAGACCTTCAAAACTTGAGTTTCGATACATTGAAGTTCCAGAATCATTTGTGCCTTGGCAAAAGTGGTCCCCACGGAAGGAAGATGGCGATGCAACACTTGCTCCGGGTTCATAGGGAAGTCCAAGACGTGAACGACGACTTTCATTCCCTTCGAACAGTCCTGAGAGAGACCGAACACAAGTCAAAATGGAACTTCATCATGTTTCCCAACGATGGAGCACTCTCACATCTCCCATTAATCGGCGAACTCGTCATTCCCGAGCAATACCCCAGGGAGCCGCCCGTGTTGCATCTATTCACCAGAACGCTACGGGGGAATGTCGATGTCTACCACTCCTACGCCAACAATGATACTCGCAGCACAATGTGCTTCGATATTCTTCGTGCCGAAGCTCACGGCGGCACATGGAAGCCAGAATACACGATATCCTGTCTCTTTGCGAGCCTGATGCAGGCCTTGGTGACGCCGAAGGTGCCTCAAGACTATGGGCCCGACAAGCCTGAGTTTGTCACCATGGCCAGGCTGGAAGCAGTGAAGCAAAGCGTGGAAAGGACATACCATGACCACAAGGACAAAATCCCTCATCTGCCTGTCATACCCACTATCCCTGCGGTACATATCCCGGCAAAGGCCCTCACTTTCACCCGACTCGGAAAGGAGGAAGTGCTGAAATCTCTCGATTTCCAAAACGAGGACAAGTATATCAGCCAGGCCATTTACCTCCAGGACTATGATCAGCCGCAATTCTGGTCCACTGTCTTGGACCTCAGGAACCTACATCCCGGGGTGGTGTTTTCAGCAATTCTCTCAAACAAGCCCGGGGCCGATCTGGTAGGCAAGAAAAGTGACACTATCCTGCTTCGAAATGGAGTTACTGGGACCGCGGCGAAAAAGCGGGCGAACCTCCCTCTGGTATGGTTCTACCATGGAAAGCCATTGAATGATCAGAACCTGTCTCTCTCTATTACCATCACCAATGACCAGTTTACCATGGCGTACAAGGATGAGAACTCGGACAAGTTCTTGGTACATGGCGATACTCCAATTTCCAAACTTGGTGAAGCCCAGATTGGTGACGTGAAGGGGATCCCATTCTATCTAACAATTTATCTGAAGCGCAAGTCCGGGGACGAAGGCTTTATCAGTGTCCTCGACCAGAAAGAAATGGGTTACATCCATGCAAACTTGACAACTCTCGCTGTCCACCAGCCCTTGACTCACTCTCCTAAATCAATCAGTCTGAATCTGGGGAGTGAGCAGACCGCTCGACTCCAGGGGGTGATTGATTTCTATGCCTTGGGCGTAGACTTCAAGGTGCAGCGAAGCCTCATGAAGCCGGCAACGTTGACATTGATCTCGGCAGATGATGTGCCATCGGATAAGTACACCAGAATCATCAAAAACGTGTATACCCCGCTGCGTGACAAGTCTATCGAGGTTGAAGTCACGGCTATTGCAGCTGATAGACATTGTGTGGTGTTGATTTTGGATAATGCCCTCTGTTCTAAGAAGGAGACGGCGAAGCAGGAGGAAGAGGAAGAGGAGAAAGAGAACGATAAGGGGGCACATGTTGCAATGAATAAATTGCTATGTGTGACTATGCGCTTGAGGGAGGAGTCAATCAATGCTGACTATCCTGCCACATTCGCTCAACGAATCATCGAGGAGCATGCAAAGGACTGGGTTAACGTTGGTGACACATACGTACAACTGCCCCAGCCGATCAAGATTACATGCTATCTAGATTTTGATGGCTAAGAGAGCTTGAATTATCAAAAAACAATTTAATGTCGAATATTTGGAATCCCTTTTCGAAAATCCAAGATGATCCCTTTAACAAGTAATGTCCTTCATTAACTCTTCAAGAATTCTAATCTCGTTGATGGATGATCACTTTAAAAACACTCCAAAAAATCGCAAAGTTTCAGTTAAGATTGTTCGAGTTGTCGAAAGCTTGGGAAGGAAACGACGAAAGGCTAAGCTAAAGTTGACCACTGGAACAATGACTGTTCACGATGAAACCAATCACTCATTCATCAGACATCAATGAGTTCCCACCAAGTGCAAAGTCGAAATCTTCTCAGTCCTCAAACATCCTCGATATCGAAGCGCATCTGCAGGGAATCCCCTCTCGGACCAATCCACCAAAGTGAAATCTTAGAAACCCGTTTGACACCCTGACCGAAAGCACCCAGGACGGTATAAGCTACCACCCTGCCAATACCGGTACCAAGCAAAGCGCGAAACTCAGGAGATCCTCGCTCAAACGTCTTGAATTCGGGCCCACGCCAGATCGTACGGGCAACAGGGCGTGTTTCTTGATTCACAATGTTGGCGACAAACATAGTTTTGAGAGTCGACAATGCAGCGACCCGTTCGTAGGCCATGATACCAAGCTCGGAGGCGTAGGGACCGAGACCTTTTCTCGCGATACGTTCGACGAAAAGAACACCTTCTTTGGCGAGGCCTACCCACGTAGTACCGAGATACGTATCACTCTCGTTCTTCGGAAGTTCAATGCTGAACTTCTTAAAAGGACCCTCTGGAAGCTCAAGATCGGCCACGTCGCTATTTTCGTAACCGTACGGCAGAAGGTTAGTGGTTCTTATTTTAACCTCCCAGCAATCAGAGATCTCAAGGTCATCAAGGGTCATCGTGTTTCTGCGGACGCCGCATGCCACGCTCGGATCTTCCATCGCTCGCTCCAGGTGAGCGCCATTCGTCCGTAGCCTCTCATATAGGGGGGCTTCTTCACCTGTTGAGGGGGGAGGTTGGTCGGCCGGGCCATCGTAATTGCTTCGTCGGGGGTATCCGCTGTAGCGATAAACTGGACGGGGATTGAGAGGGTCGTCGGGGCTTAGCCTGTCAATAAGCAGGACGAGGTTTTCCCATCTCGTTTCAGCATTCATGATTGAGGTGTGATGGTCATTCTGGGAGGCGAATGGTGTACGCAAGCGAGGAGAGGTGGTAAGCGATCAGGAAGGGTGAGAAGATGAAGCTTTTGACAGTGCACGATTGAAAGTTTGATGACACGCGCTGTCACAAGGCGATGACATCGTGCTTATAATCGAATCTTCTATGGTCTGTGAGTTCGATGACAAGAGTACCAAACATCGTCTTCACAACAGGGTTCCCAAATTTAACGACATTCGAAACAGGCAAGACAAAGCCTCTTACATACCGATTAAGGCCGGCCTTTCATGAGCTAAATCAAATACGGCAAGCCACGGATGTCTATTATTAGAGATAGATACTCCCTGGAACCGGGGGATGAAAGGAGAAACATACGGACAAGACAAAGACTATTGGATTTACAAATTTAGCACATTGTAAGATGAGCAATAGACAATCAAATTGGCTTTTATAATTGCTCTGACACTTTTTTGGTCGTTAATCGTTACGCAATCGCCTTTGACGGGCACCGCCGTCTACCGTTCAGGGTCATGCTCCTTGTATACGTGGCTTTTCACTCCTCGGAGGGCTTGACATCGTACTCGACGTCGGTTCGGATAATGTATTTTGCCCCTTTTCTGACTCCCGTCCCTTCATGCAACAAAGCTCCGTTGGCCTCTCCATGTGGGAAAATGGCAACGGATCCCATCACAGGTCGGACCGGGTAAGCATTCAGAGTTCCCTCCCGCGCCGCGGGCATAAAGAAGGTTGTCTCTCCACCCTCAAACTCGTCGTTGAGGTACAGCAAGAATGTGTACATGGAGCTCTGTTTCTTGTCTTCCGGCGAGGCGTCGTACACGTACGTGTCGTCAGGGAGAATGCCTGACGGTGGCCACGCGCCATCGATGTGGCAGCGGTACTCCGCACCCGGGACGTATCTATACACACGGAACCGCCGGTTGATACCTCTGACTAGGCGACCGTTGATCGAGGCAGGCACATAGGGAGAAATACGCGCCCAAAGGAGGTCGTGGAAAGTAGTGTCTACAACCCAGTAGAAGTTGTGAGCCAGGATGCTGATGTCTCCATCCTCGCGGAGAGGCGCGTCGGGCAGGAAGTTCACAGATTCACCGGCAGCAATGATTGCCTTGCATTCTGAAGGGGAGAGCACGTCCATGGCCACGCCGAGGCCCGGCACCGCGGGATGTGGGTGATATGTGATTGTTGGCCCGACAGGAGCCAAAGGGACAGCATTGGGTGCGGTAGTGTAGAGAATGGCGGGATGGTGATTTGGAGGTTTGCGGAGCGGACCGGGGGTAGTTTCAATGACGCGGATAGCAGAGGGAGAGGTAGGTGCCTCGGCCAGGATCGTCTTGTCGAGTACGGAAGCGTAGACTGGGAGAGATTCTGTTGAGGGTCGCAGGTCCCAGATAGACTGGAAAGCGATTGGAGAAGTGGAGAAGGCGGCTTTCGGATTGGTATCGATCGGAGTGCTAACACGCAAGACGGCATCGAGAACGCCGAGGAGTTCGAGGTCTTTTGCGCTACGCTCGACGACCCGATCGGTCTCTCCGGGCTGTGTCGAAAGGCCACTGACCACATCCAAGTCTCGAACCCAACGACATAATGCTCCAATCTTGGGCTGTTCGCCTCTGATCCTCATCTCGGCAAGTAAGATCTTAGCCTCCATGTATTTGCCATCAGCCAATGCACCGGTAATTCGCGCCGTCAGGTTGGCACCCTCTATCGACAAGTCAGCCGCATGTTCCGATTGAATGATATGCAGTGTAACCGGCAGTACCAGAATTGTTGACGCCTGTAGTACAGGCCTGGCGGAAATCATAAACCGCTACTCGAAGATCCTTGCATGCCTTCGATTTGGTCAGGCCGGGGTATTGTGCGAGTGCTGTAAGGGTTTCGACGGTAATTTCGAGATCTTCGTCGGAAACAATGGTGTTAAGATGCTTCGGCTCGAGGTTGGTGCCATCGGGAGGAGGCGTCAATGTGGACGAGGGCTTCGCTTGTTTCTGTGGAAGATCAATTTGCGCATTGCGCTTGCGCTTGGCTGCTTTGGACTTGGCCATGGTGGAACGAAGCGACAATGACCGGGTTGTCTGATAATCGATTGAGACAAGCGGGGATCTGGAGCATACTCGGACTCGGAAGGAAATTGAACTGCCAGTCTCCTCCGTCCTCTAACCCGCCAATCAGCAAGCTTAGATCGACCCGGTCTTTCACTTTTTCCGATCTTGCCTGTCAGGTTTTCCTTTATCCAATCATAATGCAATTCTTTTGGTTCTGGGTCCTATCCGTTGTATGCACAGCAGATTTGGGAAAACGCAATATGTGTTGAGCTAGAATAAATAATGGAAGTGAGATTTTTGGTATCCAACCTAGTGTGAGCCTTTTACATTTATATTGAAAACTCAAAAAATCTTGCGCCATTGTGCCCTTGTGCCCTTGTGCCCTATGGTTTTTGAGGATCCCGGCCTCAACATATATAGTGCAGGACCCGTAGCCGCAACCCCAATTTCGCTGCATTTACAGATTTCTAAAACGCCTTCCAAGTTTGAGGTTTGATTTATCGAGAGAAGCTGAAAATATGAACTCAACTAAACTACGGTTCATGTCGTGGTCCAACCTCGGTGCCCAAGGGTGATATTCGGGGGTCATCACCTGGAGCAAGACTCCTATAGCGGTGTCGTATAAGCTTGGAGCCCTGAGTCGAAAGTTTCAAACTCTTTTCGATCGGTCCCCGTGACGAAAATGAGCAAAGCAAAATTTCCGGACAACACAAACCAGAGCAGTTCCATTACATTGAGAGAGAGACTTTTTGATGAGGTGAGCGTAGCATAGCTGGTTAGACTCGCGTTATCTCAATCTCCGGAGTTCGGCTCATCTTCAACCGTAGATAGACTAAAATATGAAAAGATTATTATATTCATCGAGAACTCATTTATATCATTATGAGCCCGGCAATTCTTGTCGGCCATCCAGGGAGCCCATGAGCTCTGGCTTTCGCTCCGACGCTCGTAGTTCAGCGGGTTTGTAAGGCGATCCAGTCCAACGGTATGATTTATTATCGGGCACCAGAGGGTCTCTCTGCTGTTTCTGTTCGCGTCGTCTTGAGTTTGCACAGTGTATCATCATAATAGTCGAGATGAGAAGGGGTATCCCAAGGCCAGCTCCCAGGCCTGCTCCAAGTGCAATTAGCTCCGACTTTTTGTACGTGCCTGATGCGACTGGTGAACATGTTGAAGTCGAGCACGTTTCGGAAACAGTCGGTGTAACAATAGTCAAATTACCCGATGAAGTAGTTGTCGAATTCGTCGAATTGCTGGCTGTGGACGAGGCGACTCCATAATTTGTTATGCCGATTTGAGCGGCTGTCACATTGCCTGACGTCCACTCGTAGGTATTCAATGCATTTTCAGCTTTGCATGCCCCTTCTGCGGTAACTTGGTGGCTACATGTCAACACCGATGTTGAGCTATTGCACTGGAACATGTTTGCCCATCCATCAGGAATTTCTAGCAGAAACCGAAGTCAAGTCAGCGAAGACTCTTACTATTGATCGAGACTCATCGAGCAGACGCTACCTTCATAACAGGCTCTTGGGCAGCCAGAGAGAGGCCATGTTTTATCAGCACAAAGCCCACGATAGAGGATACCGAAGTTCGCGGTGAAGCAATATCCATTCGACAGACAAGCTTCGCCTTTTGCGCAGCATGAGAGGCTATTAGGGCACTGGATGTAGCCCGAATCGGTCTTTCCGTTTGGAAAGTAGCATGTCGCATGAATTGTTGGAAGTAGCAATGGCAATAGAATTGCCGATAGAGGTAAGATTATTGGCTTCATTTGCAAAGTTCTTTTCATCGACAAGCTATGAGCTAAGTAGGGGTTGAAGCCAAAGGGGCATAAAGAAGACTCAAGGAGAGAAAGAAACGACCGGATACTGTGAGGGGCGTGAACGGAATGAGTTTATACTTTTTATGGTTATTTAACTTGAAATTCGGCGGCCAGAAGGAAATTAAAAGGAAGACCCTGGACAAAGACGTAAAGGCGCTTAAGTACGCTAGCCTCGAGTGTAGTGATAATATGCAGGGATATACGCTGGCACGGCGCTTATAGACCAGCGCTAGGTAAAGTAGTGGTTTCATCATCGGTAAAAAAAGAGCAGGTCGAGCGTGACTGGTTGATGAAAAATACGATTAAAAATGCTCGTGCTTGGCCCTGAGCGCTCATAATGGAGTTAGGTTGAAAAGTTCGATTAGCCGCCCGCCCACAAGTCACCTGATAAATGAGGCTGATAACTGGACCATGGTAAAAGCACAGTAATTGAGTTAATCGTTGGTTCCAACCTATTTATACAGAAGTATCCCGAGTTTTGCCTCTATCAGGCCATGACCCCAGCGACGGTCATTCGTGATTGCAGTTTGAACAAAGTTCTCCTTTCCCTCCTTCCTTTTGCTGAACATTGAACTTCATTTTCTCCACTTGTCACTGCACGCAGCACCAGCGCCACTGGCACCACTGCCCGTACTATTTCCCAATGGCGGCTACCGAAAAGTCTGGTATCAGCCTTATGAGCCAATACAATATCGTTCTACCGAAAAGGCAGGCGTATGACTCTTCCGGCAAACCTATACCTGCATGCGACCCGGATCAATGTGCTGCGGCAATAAAGGGGGAGGATCTCCCCGTCGATCTAAGCTCGTTTTGGCATCAGAGAGCAGTTATCCGTGGGATTCGTGATTCACTTCAATTTGCAACAAGCCCGGCAATTCTTGAGCTATGCTCCGGCGACAATGATCAGGCCCATCAATTTTCCCGCGCCCGCAATGCTCGCCTGATAATGAGTGACGCAATCCCCGATATGCAAAATCCTGCCACTCAGCCGTACTGTATCTGGTATCCCGACCTTGCATCAGAAGAAACATATCGCGAAGTTGCCCGTCGGTATCCGGCTATGCGGTATCAAGTGGGCCGAGCGTGTGCTGTAGCATGCTATACAGATCTCTACAAAGAATTGGACCTTTTGCCTGACGTTTCTATTGCGGAAGAATCTCGCGAAGCTGACAAAGACGCCGAAATCTACAAGATTATCATGTCTGCCCCCCAACGTTATGTTGTTATGGAAGATTTCTCTCGATCCGTTCATCTTGAAAACCCACAAACACCGGCGTTTCTGAATGGAGATATGAAGCCCCGATGGGCTTTGTTAGGCCTGAAGGGGCAGCGAGTTGACCCTGGTAAAAATTTACCAGAGACGACTGCTGATGATATTGACATCGAGGAAGATGGATTTATCGGCTTGCAAGATGTCAGCTTGGAGGATATTAGCGAGGACTACGCTAAACTGGGCCCAGGCCAGTCTGATCAATTGTGGATGCCTCTTCCGCCTGATCTCCCAGTTCTCGAAAAGCGTCTCCAGACGCAGATGGCCGCGTGGGAAGGCAATGTGGATCGATACAGTCGACTAATGCACCCACGCAGGCTGAGAACCAAAATTGAATACAATTGTGTTCTTCGTGGCATTTATCACAGTACAACTTTCGCCAGATGGTGGGCCAATCAGCTGGAAACAAACCCTGGACGGGCTATCCTCCCAGGTAAATTGCTCAGGCAAGGCAATGAACGGGAGTGCAGAGAGATTCGCACCGCGATTAATGCCCGCATGATAATGAACAATGATATTTCTGGTATCGACGATGACTCGGACTGCCTCCCGTGGGTCATATGGGGGCCCGTGAAGCCCTCAGAGAACACTTTAGCTGATCTGGTTCGAAAGTGTCCGTCCATGGGACATCAAGTTGCGATCACTTGTATAATGTGTGATTACGGTTCGATATTCCGAAGTTTGAAGCCCCCATACACCAGATCCTTGTATGTGGCTGCCCGGAGAAGTGAAAATCCATTCTACCTAAAATATCTTGAGGAAATGATGAAGGAGCGCGACATAACTCCCCCGGATTTTCACTACTTCAAGGACTTTGATCACACTGCACCAGGCTTACAGACTGATCTGGAGCCCAGAGATGATCTCACTGGTCCTACTGTCAGCTACCATGACATGGAGATCGGGTATGGGCAATATCCCTGTGGAAATGAACACGAAGAAACTCGAGGTACATATGGAGGCGGGCTAGCAAATCCGGGAATGGTGGAGAGATATATGTGGCTCTCAACTGAAACTGCACAGAAGTTGAAAGATGAACTTGACGCACCCTACCCAGGTGCGGATATTGGTCTTTTGTATGACGATGAAGAACTTCGATCCAAGCTTTCACGCTGTATACAGCCCATGGATCGGTAGTATGCAGGTTTCGATATGCCAAATACAGTCAGTCCCTTTGATTTTCGAGTATTATCTGCCGGATATTCGCTAGCTTGATTACCGATGGCAATCTAGTGTATACAGCTCAGTGACAGTGATACATGAGATGGGGATACACTGCGGCTTTGATTGGCCATGAAATTAGATTTGCATGGGCGCAGTTATCCCTGGAACTCTCGGTCCCTTCGCATCTGTACATGGCCAGTCACTGGGACACCGAAATCTTTTGACCGCTGGGGATGTTATCAACTCAATCTTGCTCAAGGTTACTTCGACTCTTGTGCTGAAGCGGAAAATTTCGGCCCTCTGAAAACCGACGTTCCAATCCGTGTTGTTGCATTGTCCGTGATGTTCTCTTTATCGATGTAAAGTTGCTTGATGTTTTTCATCGGGTCGCCGAACTACAATACCTCCCGGGATTCCGAGAGATGGTACATTTCAATGCACTATGGTGTGATATGAGTCATGATGAGTGCCTGAGACAGTTTATGATAGCTGCTTATGATTGGTCAGACAAACAGAGTGAGAGATAGCTCGGCAATACTTCATCTTGTTATCATCCACTTTTTACACAGCTTCTGGAACGCAATCAGTCTCATGGTTGACAAGCCCACTCTCGTAGCTAAACCCGTGAATATGTCAGAAAAAAGCGCGGCCGCAGGGTCTTTAATCCTGCGGCGCCCCCTCTGGAGTTGAAAGAAAATGAGAAAGAGATCCTCAAGCGCCAAATCCACACTCCGGAGTCGCAGATGAGTCGTTTGGCGCTTTTGTATACATGTGCAACACCATATGATTTGCTTATCCTAGTCATCAGCTCAATTGCAGCCATGATAGGCGGAGCCCTTCAGCCTGTGTCTCTTGTAAGCCGCTCTCCATCGTCTGGTGAGTAGCCGCAAACTCTGAAACGAGTACTTCAACAAATGTTGAATCATTTTAAATGGCAGCCAAAGCGTTGGCCATAGATATAATTCCCAGATCCCTATGCATTTGCAAAATGATAGCGCTGTCAATGGCTGAAGAAGAAATGGTGGGGAAGGTTTCCATAAGCTGGTATAACCGTACCATCTATTGACTGAAGATTGGGAATATAATGTTGATTTGGCAACGGTTCAACGTTGATCCGGTCTGCCGTCGGCGGCACCCACTTCCAATCCACCCACGGTTCGAAGTGGGCCAATTAGGTTTGCCACGAACTCTAAAAGTGCCGTCCGCCAGCTAGCAGCGGTCCAGTCGCTCCAACCGGCAGCAGATACAAGCTGTTCCAGACTACAGTAACTTGCAGTGAAATGATTTACTTCAATGCGCAAAGGGAAGAAAAATCAACGTACCCCTATTATTCGTGACAGAGATAACGAATGTATACTGTAATCCGCTTTCACTTGCGGAGTCAGTCCAAGAGCAGGATCTAGAACTCTAGCGATTTCATGAACTTGCAGATGATAGGTCGACCTTTTCTGGGACTGATTTAACCTAAGTGTCTACTTAAATGTCATACCAAGCCATCTCTGGAGACTATGGAACTTCTCCTCGTCGCTCTGGGATGAATCGATCACACTTGTTCTCCCTCCCATATTCAGTTTAACCACACCGTTGACGTACATGAATTTCCCAACAATAGGGATTGCCTCAGCATCATCAAAGTCACCCTCGCCATCCAGCAGAGGCAGGCCATTTGTCTCTCCTCCTCGAATGAACTTGACAATCCAGAAGTTGCCCTTGTGTCGAGCTTCCCAGCTTGTATACCGATTCATCACTTTGTAATCATCTTGGAAGAACCCGAACTCTCTAAATGCATAGAACGAATTCCACTCCTTTGTTGACTCATTGCGGTACTGGTAGATCCAAAGCTTTTGCTCTGGGCGTATTTACTTAGGCATATTTCCATATACTAACTGAACCTCATGTGTTCCGAGATTATGAATAGGTTGTTCCGAGACTAGTTTAGCGGCCGCGTCGGTCCATCACCACTAAATGCTTGGTCGGCGTGATATTTCTCCCCTGTTAGATTTGCATTATTCAGTGGTTGATACTTCTGAATACCTATAACATTAGGTTTAAGTTACGATCAATCTGCTGCTAAAGTTCATTTCTGAATTTTATTTGTTGGTGTTAATTTAACATTCTTCCCACAACACTTCTTAGGAAAGTTGGACTATATTCACAATGTGCGTCCTTAGCGTCGTTATTGCAGGCCTGCACTTCCCTGGAAACAACCCTGCGGCTGTGGTCGTCACGCAAATTAGGAATACCTTTCGACACTTGAGATTCGGCTTGCTTGTCGGCATAGGCGGTGGCGTTCTAACAAGGACTGAATGAGGTAACATCCATCTCGACCACGGGGTAGTCAGCAAACCAGTCGGCGAGCATTCCAGTGTGGTACAATATGATTATGGGAAAGCCGAGGTTGGCTAGTTTCGGTATACCGGTTATCTAGCTCTGCCGCCCGCTGTGTTGCTTAATGCTGCTCGGTAAATGGATGTGAGGCGTGTAATGACGCGCGAAGATCCTCTCTTTAAATACATAGCACGGATAGACACCGCTATTCAGGGTCTGCGAAGTTATGAATATCATGGGACTGATAAAGGCTAGCGTTTCTAGGTAAAGTATGTTTATTCTGATCCTAATGGTTCTAGCTAGCTTGTGGAACGCTACACGGAAGAAAGTGATGAGGATAAGGTTATTACTGATGAAAATAAGCATCTACTGGTACACAGGGGGACGATTGCCGCTGGTGAACTATTTATTCAGTACAGGACACTCAGAGATGAATTAGCACGGTAGTATAGTATCCTCTGCTCTGAGGTAGAGGCTGCGGGAGCTTTAGCTAACTTCCCTTGTCTTGTTGTACGGGGCATCTTGGACTATACGGACTTGCATAAGAATGATTAGTGGCAAAATTACGCCGCGGCTGCTGCTACTGCCTACGCAAGAGAGCTGTTCTTCTATATGCCTATAGATAACGTTAAATAATGCCAAATAGCTGAGCGCATTTAGTGAGCAGTTAGAAATGAATGTTATTATGTAAACCGAATATTTATCCACTAACTACTTAGTAGATGTGAAGAAAATGATTTATTAAGTTGGAAGATCTCGCTTAGGACAATTAGCACTAGAAAATACATAGATGGCTGAAGCCGACTCATCCCTCTTCTTACATCAAGCTCTAGGGAAACGATATTTAGGAATAGGTTTCTGGTTTCTCAATAGCCACCCTTTGATAGACTGGATGTCTAGGACATATCAAAGCCTCTAGCTGTATGGAATTCTGGGGTATAGAAAGACCGTTCTTAATGCGGTTATAGAGCACCTTAATTATTCACTAGATCCTTCTTATATTGTCCTCTATGTTTCTTCGGTTTCACTAAGATCAAAAAACCAATTGACTAACAAGCATAACCGCTCTCTTAGTTCGTCACTATGTTCGAGGTGTAAGAATTCTTAGAAAGAGCTAGACAGGCTATATTCGTCCTACGCAATTGGCTTAAAATAGCCCGTATATAAATCCCTCTTTGGCACCTCACTGCAGATAGTGAACTTCGGAAATATCTGTATCGTACTAGATGCGCTGGATGAATGCAGAGCAAGGACTGATTTATTTTGATTGTCCGAAAACCTTACGACCGCTAGGTGCTCTCTCCTTGTCACTTGTCGGAAAGAAGAGAATCTTAAGTCCGAACTCAGAAGCTAGTTGTATCCGGACGACATTATCTCGGTCTAGCAAGATATTTTAAATGATGATATTCGTTTATACGTCCGTAAGCAGCTTCGAAATGATCGGGGTTTTAAGAGGTGGCGCTCAAGACAGCATGTGCAAGACCAAATTAAAGCTGAACTTCTGGACAAAGCTAATAGAATATAAGAAGCGCTGCTAATTTACGGCACTATTCAATTTTTAAGCTAAACGACGCTGACTCTGTCTTCAGGATTAGATGGGCGGCTTGCTAACTCGATATTCTAGAGAAATTTCCTGATCTCCGAAAGCTTTGGAAGTCGCTTAGATCTCTCCCAAAGACACTGGAGGAAACATACGGTCGAATCTTAGCCAGCATTAACGAGCACTATCGGGATTACGCAATCAGGACTATTAACTATGTAATATCTCGCTTACTCAGAGCTACCGCTTGCAATTGAAGAAGCTGTTGACGCATTGGTAGCTGAACCCAGCGGAGAAACCCCTTTTGATCCCAAACTACGGATGCCGCAACCCCAAGATATTACGAAGATATGCTCAAGTCTGGTCACTCCTGTGTTAAGACCCAACAAGGACCATTCTGGACAGTCAATGGTACTCAAATTGGCTCATTTTTCTGTTCAGCGAATATCTGAAGTTCAGGCGGATTATAGCAACCTTCCTAGATAATATGGTCTGCGGCGGTGTACTATTTCAGAATAGTATGGGCGAAACCAGTGCAACGGGATCTATTACAAAGATATGCTTGACATACTTGTCACATCTACCGCAGAGTGTCCGCTTGAGCAAATCATGTTGGATTCTCCGCTGGCGATGTACTCCGCACAGTATTGGTTAGACCATACGAAGCTTGCAGAAAGTTGAATGATGTCCAGGAAGCGGTCCTGAGACTTTTCGGTCAAACAGGAGCATTAAAACTCTAGGGTAGACTATTTGATCCAGACTATCGGGGCTTTGTAAGACCACAAGATCAGGGGATAGGACCTCCGTTGTACTACACATGCTCATCAGGTCTCCAGCGTGTTACAAAACTGCTACTAGAGAGAGGTGCCGATATCGATGCGCAGGGTGGCCGCTACGGCACTGCTCTCTAGGCAGCTTCTGCTGGAGGTCACAAGGAGATCATGGTGATGCTGCTTGAGAAAGCAGCCGATATTGGTATACGTGGTAGAGATTACGGTGATGCTCTCCAGGAAGCCTGTGCTAATGACCACACGGAGGTCGTGCAAACGCTGCTACATCAAGCAGCCGATGTCAACACTCAGGATATTGTTTTCGGCAATACTCTCCAGATAGCTTCTGCTCGAGGCCAAATGGAGATCGTGGTGATCCTACTAAATCACGGAGCGGATGTTAATGCATAGTGTGGCTTTCACGACAATGCTCTTCAGGGAGCATCTCCTCAGGGTTACAGAGAGATCGTCCAAATACTGCTAGATCACTGAGCCAGCGTCAATGCG